TGCTCAAAAAAGGAGATGCAATTTTACAGCAGGACATGAAACAAAAGCAGCAAAATTCTCCACTTTTCTTGTGCTTAGTTTTCTTCCATTCACAGGATACTGAAGAAAGTATTACAGTATTGAATAGGCTCTAACCTATATAAAATCTTGAAAAAATTCAGATTAAGGAATCACATCACTTATTGCTCTCAGAATCAGGAATCTGTAAAGGTGTCTCATGATTTGCCAAAGGTTATCTGTGAATATTCAGTAAGGAGAGGAAGGGGAAGTGAGGGATTAAGATATGAAATGCAAAAAATACAGAACGCTATGCTATTCATTTTTCTCCTAGGTAGAAACTAAATATTTTTCCAGCTTTGTTATGAGAAGACAAAAAACAAAAAGTGTAAGTTGACTACGTAAGAGTAGCTGTAAACATTGGAACAATGTTCAATTTGGGCTGAGGCAACAGACCAGCAGGGCTTGATTCCAAGACCAGATAAGAAACCTGCTGAAACTCGTAAGTGATGGAAAGCAACCTGTAAGTTCCTGTTATAACTAAAATGTTTATTCAGAAACAGAATGCTTATTCCTCTGTACCACAAGGAAAAATCACCATTCAGATAAAAAGTTTTCTCAGCAAGGCAGTTATTTTCTGCAGAAAGGGTGCGCCTGGCAGATGGAACAATGGTGACAGCACACCAGAACAAAGAAGGGAAGCAATTTTTATCCCTTATATAACTTCTCCCTGCTACTGTGTCCTGTCTCCATTGGCTGGAGCTGGACCACCCAATCTAAGCTGAACCTTATAACTTAAAACTAAGTTATTAATAACTTAAAACTTTATTTATAACTTAAAACTTTCCTAAATAGGTAAAGGCAAGGGAGAACAACGGAAAAGAGGAAGTTGTTTGCAAAAGGACTTAGGGAAGTAGTAATATTTCCAAATAGGGAAGGGGCATAGGCTGTGAGTTGTGACGTGCTTGAGTATGTCTAAAATATCTTGATTAAAGTATAAGAACATAGAATGTACTCATTCCCTTTGCTACCTGTCCCTTTGCTACCTGTCAGTATAAGACACTCCCACCAGTACCATGACAGTTTATAAATGCCATGGCAACACCTAGGAGTTACTGACCCCTTTTCTAGAAATTTCTGATAACTCACCCCTTAATTTGCATGTAATGAAAAGTTAGTTTAAGTATACCTAGCCAACAGCCCATACGCTGCTACTCTGGACACACTGCCTATGGACTAGCCTTGGTCTGCAAGGAGCAGTCACTGAGCTTTAACACTGCTTTCTGGCCGGGCGCGGTGGCTCAAGCCTGTAATCCCAGCACTTTGGGAGGCCAAGGCGGGTGGATCACGAGGTCAAGAGATCGAGACCATCCTGGTCAACATGGTGAAACCCCGTCTCTACTAAAAATACAAAAAATTAGCTGGGCATGGTGGTGCATGCCTGTAATCGCAGCTACTCAGGAGGCCGAGGCAGGAGAATTGCCTGAACCCAGGAGGCGGAGGTTGCGGTGGGCCGAGATCGCACCATTGCACTCCAGCCTGGGTAACAAGAGCAAAAACTCCGTCTCAAAAAAAAAAAAAAAAAAAAAAAAAAAAAAAAAAAAAAAGAATTGACAGTCATAAGGAAAACCCATACATCTAAGGCTATTTGATTTTCAACAAAAATACAAAACTCTTGCCGGGCGCGGTGGCTCAAGCCTGTAATCCCAGCACTTTGGGAGGCCGAGGTGGGTGGATCACGAGGTCGAGAGATCGAGACCATCCTGGTCAACATGGTGAAACCCCGTCTCTACTAAAGGTGCAAAAAATTAGCTGGGCATGGTGGCGCGCGCCTGTAATCCCAGCTACTCCGGAGGCTGAGGCAGGAGAATTGCCTGAACCCAGGAGGCGGAGGTTGCGGTGAGCCGAGATCGCGCCATTGCACTCCAGCCTGGGTAACAAGAGCGAAACTCCGTCTCAAAAAAAAAAAAAAAAAAAAAAAAATACAAAACTCTTTAATGGGAAAACTATAGTCTCCTTAACAAATGTTGATAAGAAAACTGGATATTCACATGCAATATAATGAAGTTGGATCATCACCTCACTCTATGCTTAAAAATTAACTTAAAATGGAACATCCTAAATTTAAGAGCAAAAGGTATAAAACTCTTAGAAGAAACTATAAGAGTAAATCTTGATTTTTTTTGGCAATAAATTTTTAGATAGAACTATAATCACAAGCAACAAAAGAAGAAATACATAAATTTGAGTTCAGTAAAATTAAAAACTGTACCCATAAAAGAACATTGTTAAGTAAAAAGACCATACAGTATGATGTTTAGTATTCAAAATATATTTTTTTTAAAATTTATACTCAACAATAAAAATATAAACCATCCAATTAAAAAATGCAGAAAACACATGAATAAACATTCAGATACACAAATGACCAACAAGCATATGAAAAGATACTCAACATCATTAGTCACTAGAGAAATGCAAATCAAAACAACACTGTGTTATCACATCACAAGTACTATGATGTCTATCATTTGAAAATGGAAAATAAATGTGCGTGAGAATGTGAAGAAATTCTCACATTTTGATGGTTGGAACATACAGTGGGGCAATTGCAGTGGCAAATGGTTTTGTGGTTGCTCAAAAAGTTTAAGAAATTACCATATTGCTTCACTAATTCCACATCTAGGAATATACACAAAAGAAGTGAAGGCAGGTAGTGTAATAAATATTTGCACATGAATGTTTATAGTAACATTATACATAACCCAAATGTCCATCAATGACCAATAAACAAAATCTGGTATAAAACATAACAAGAAAATATTTATCTTTAAAAAGAAATTAAGTACTGATACATGCTAAAACATTCTACTGGGGCCGGGCGCGGTGGCTCAAGCCTGTAATCCCAGCACTTTGGGAGGCCGAGGTGGGTGGATCACGAGGTCAAGAGATCCAGACCATCCTGGTCAACATGGTGAAACCCCGTCTCTACTAAAAATACAAAAAATTAGCTGGGCATGGTGGCACATGCCTGTAATCCGAGCTACTCAGGAGGCTTAGGCAGGAGAATTGCCTGAGCCCAGGAGGCGGAGGTTGCGGTGAGCCGAGATCGCGCCATTGCACTCCAGCCTGGATAACAAGAGCGAAACTCCGTCTCAAAAAAAAACAAAAAAAAACATTCTACTAAGCAAAGTCAGACACAAAAGGTTACATATTGTATGATTACATTTATATGAAATATCCAAAATAGGTGATTAAATAAGATGGAAAGATTGGTTGTAGCCAGTTGAGGCTTAGGGCAATGGGAGTGAACTGCTGGTATGGGGTTTTCTTTGGGGAGATGAAAATGTTTTAGGCCTTACAAGGTATTGTTTTCACAATGTTATGAATGTACTAAACGTCACAGCCATTGAACAGTACATTTTTAAATGGTTAGTTTTGTCTTATGAATTAATCTCAATAAAAATATTTTTTTAAAGATAGATTACATTAAAATATCTTTTTGTGGCAAAAAAAAAAAAAAGCCATAAAACCAAAAGAAAATAAAAAATATTTGCAAGAAAAAATAATTATTTTACAAATGTATAAACAGTATTTAAATATTGAGGGAAAAGGCCAAAAAGCCATTAGAAAGGTGGGCAAAATGTTTGAACAATTTACCAAAAAAAAAAAAAAAAAAGAAGAAGAAAAAGAATGGCCTTTGAAAACATGAAAAGATGTTCTGTTTCATTTACAATACTGGAAATGCAAATTAAAATTACATTGGCGTACAATCAGTTTTAGCCTCATATCATCAGGTTATACTAAACGTTTATCTCCTTTCAGTGCTCTGTTGATCCTTAAGTAGTAATTCCTCGTTAGTTCCTTGAAAATATTTTATCTCCACAGTTGTTTACTTTCCAGTCATACTTCTGTCGTAATTGGGGATATTTCGATCAGAAAATAATCGTTTATGTAATATTTTTGCTCGAAGACTCAAGGTAAGGACGACACTTGGTGCAGGAGTCCATATTTCCACGTAGGCGTTTGGTAAGAGGGATTCCCTTCTCTGGGTACTTGGAAGAAGTGTGCTCAAGAAGCTATGCTTAGTGGTAACACTTCCCTCGGAGGATAAAACTGTGACCGTTTACTCCTTGGGCATTCTGGGAAGAGTCCAAACTGTCCGCGGAGTTGCGGGCACTTCCGCTCAGGCAGGCAGATCCGGGGAATTCTGGGAAATGTATTCCAGACGCTCTGTGGAGTCGCGGGAGCCGCTGCTGCGGGCGTTACTCTTTATTCTGTGATAGTTTGAGTTGTTCTGCGTCTCGTAGGCCCTTGTGAATTTCCTGGACCTTCTCTAGTAACCTTCAACAAGCTAGCGATAGGTTTAGAGGAAAGGAAGCACCGTTGGAAAGCAGAGGTTTGGAGGGGTGAGGGCGGCGGTTTGCAGTCCCCACGCAGAGCTCTCTCGCGTTTGGGGCTGTCCTAGCGTACCGAGGGAGTTTGGGACTCCGTCCTGTCACCTCTCGCCTGATTTGGAGGTTTCTGGGGCTCTCAGCTCGCCCAATCCGCCTCCCTCCACTTCTGGCGCGAGGCCGATTCCCACAGTAGTATATTGGGGTGTTACTTAATCTCCCTGGGCCTCTCTTTTCTTTTTCTTTTTCTTTTTCTTTTTCTTTTTCTTTTTTTTTTTTTTGAGATGGAATTTCGCTCTTGTTACCCAGGCTGGAGTGCAATGGCGAGATCTCGGCTCATCGCAACCTCTGCCTCCTGGGTTCAGGCAATTCTCCTGCCTCAGCCTCCTGAGTAGCTCGGATTACAGGCATGTGCCACCATGCCCAGCTGCTTTTTTGTATTTTTAGTAGAGACGGGGTTTCACCATGTTGACCAGGATGGTCTCGATCTCTTGACCTCGTGATCCACCCGCCTCGGCCTCCCAAAGTGCTGGGACTACAGGCTTGAGCCACCGCGCCCGGCCTGCTTTTCTTTAAATGGAGGATATTAAGACCTTCCTAGTAGAATTGTCTTGGGAATTGAAAGGTAATATAAAAGAGTCTTAACACAGTTTCTGTTGCAATGAATGGTGATCTCTTGTTAATTTCCTGAGAAATGGTCAGGTCCCTGGTGGGGTGTCAGAGCTTTACCGGCTCTTCTCTCTGATCCCTGCAGAACACTAGATAATTCTGGACACTCTCTGGCCTCTTATTTAGGAAAAGGAGGTGTATCTCCAATTTCCACAGAAGGAGGGGAGAGTGTTGACTGTTTTGTCAAGAATGAGTACACAACTATGGTATTTCGCAGCATTGTTTCTGCATCCTGACTTTTCTAAAACGATTGCATGGAGGTAGATGGAGGGACTTGTTGACTACTGACAGCAAAGCTCCATGTAAGTGTGACTTGTCACTTTTCTTTTACAGCAACATTCACATCTATTGTAGGATGTTGTAATCGGTCATGGGCATTCATAAGAAAACCTTAATTGCTATCTTCATTTCTAAGGGCTTTATGCAAAGAAATTCATGTACACCATATGGTAGTTCTGTGGAGAGGTACTGCCATTTCATCTATTAAAGATGAGACAAAGGGAGCAAGAGTTATTTGCCCATTGTTAGCCAACTAATAAGAAGTGGAGCTGGGGTTGGAACCTTTGCACTCCAGGTCAGAGCCGGAACTGATAATCTCTTGGATACATTCTCACTGAGGCAGAGGAACTAGCTGGAATCAGGTGGAGAAAGCAAGTTAGGACTTGACTGAAGGGACCTTGAGAGTAAGGCTCCTGGGCTTGGACTTCTTTAGGAGTCTTAAACTTTGTCAACTATTTTGTTTCACTTATTACAAATATTTTGTATTCTTACAGAATTATATCATTATGGAGCATTCTGAAAGTACAGAAATATGACAAGAAAAAAATGTTTAATTACCCCTGAATGCAGGATATAAATATAGTAACTGTTAAGCTTATTTTTGTTTATTAACTTGTTTATTTTATTTTATTTTTTTATTATTTTTTTTTTTTTTGAGATGGAGTTTCACTCTTGATAGCAGGCTGGAATGCAATGGCGCGATCTCGGCTCACCGCAACCTCTGCCTCCCGGGTTCAGGCAGTTCTCCTGCCTCAGCCTCCTGAGTAGCTCGGATTACAGGCACGCGCCACCATGCCCAGCTAATTTTTTGTATTTTTAGTAGAGACGGGGTTTCACCATGTTGACCAGGATGGTCTCGATCTCTTGACCTTGTGATCCACCCGCCTCAGCCTCCCAAAGTGCTGGGATTATAGGCGTGAGCCACCACTCCCGGCCCCTATTTTATTCATTTTTTTAACTTTTGAGACGGAGGCTCACTGTTGTTGCCCAGGCTGGAGTGCAGTGACGTGATCTTGGTTCACTGTAACTTCCACCTCCCAGGTTCAAGTGATTCTTTTGCCTTAGCCTCCCAAGTAGCTGGGATTACAGGTGCACACCACGCTGTCTTTTAGTAGAGATGGGTTTTCACCAGGTTGGCCAGTCTGGTCTCAAACTCCTGACCTCACATGATCTGCCTGCCTCAGCCTCCCAAAGTGCTGGGATTACAAGCATGAGCCACTGTGCCCAGCCATTAAGCTTATTTTTTTTTAAGTTTGTTGGTTTATTACAAAGGATATTACAAAAGCTACAGATGAAGAGATGCCTAGGGCAAGGCATGTGGGAAAGGGTACAGAGCTTCCATACCTTCCTGGGTATGCCACTCTGCAGGAACCTCCCTGCATTCAGCAATCCAGAAGCTCCCAGAATCCAATCCTCTTGGTTTTTTATGGAAAGTTCATTGCATAGACACAGTTGATTAAACCATTGGCCATTGTGGGCTATATATCTAGTGTGTTTCTTGGTCTGAAGAAATGATGGTGGGCCATCCAAATCCATGCAATATCTTCTATCCATTTTATTTATTCTGTTTCTTAATAATTGTTAAAAGTAAAAAAAAAAAAAAAAACTTACATAAATTAAATCATTTAATTGAGCAAAAACCAATTTGTAAATCAGGCAGCCCCTGAACCAGAAGAGATTCAGAAAAGCTTCAGTGCTACCATGTTGTTGAAGAAGATTTATGAACAGAAAAAGGAAAGTGACATTCAGAAAGTAGAAGTGAGGAACAGAAACAGCCAGTTTGGTTACAGCTCAGCTCTTGCCTTATTTCATCCCTGTTTGAATAGTTGGCTTCCTTTGATTAGGCAAATCTCAAGTGATTGGCAGAAGAATAGGTTATACAGTCTGTTTACACTTCCAGTTAAGTTACAATTCACTGTATATGGAGAAATCTTTGTGTGTTTTTTTTGTTTTTTTATTTTTTTATTTTTTCAGTTGGAGTCCCCCACTCTGTTGCCCTGGCTGGAGTACAGTGGTGTGATCTTAGCTCACTGCAACCTCCACTTCCTGGGTTCAAGTGATTCTTCTGCCTCAGCCTCCCGAGTAGCTGGGATTACAGGCACACACCACCATACCAGCTAATTTTTAGTAGAGACAGGGTTTCACCATGTTGGCCAGGCTGGTCTTGAATTCCTGACCTCAGGTGATCTGCCCACCTTGGCCTCCCAAAGTGCTGGGATTACAGGCATGAGCCACCACGCCTAGCCTAGAGAAATGTTTATACCTAACTTAAAATATGTAAGAAGGCAGCTTTAGGCTGAACTTAATTTAACATAACAACCTAAAGATTTTCACCCTGTTGGAATGAGTCCCATGACGCACTCTCTCTTTTCTCTTAGTTTCACTTTTATTATTATTTTCTAAATGATCTTTAAAAAATTTCTAGCTTTCAGCTGGCCGCGGTGGCTCAAGCCTGTAATCCCAGCACTTGGGGAGGCTGAAGCAGGCGGATCATGAGGTCAAGAGATCAAGACCATCCTGGCCAACATGGTGAAACCCCATCTCTACGAAAAATATAAAAATTACCTGGGTGTGGTGGCGTGCACCTGTAGTCCCAGCTACTCAGGAGGCTGAGGTAGGAGAACTGCTTGAACCCAGGAGGCGGAGGTTACAATGAGCCGAGACTGTGCCACTGCACTCCAGCCTGGCGCCTGGCAACAGACTGAGACTACCTCAAAAAAAAAAAAAAAATTCTAGCTTTCTGGGATGAGTCCTTTGACTCTTTTCTCTGTCTTTTTCCTCTTGTTAATTAATCTAATGTTTTAATTAACATCTTTAAGATCCTTAAAAGGAAGCTGAGACAAATTTCATAAGGCGTCTAGGACTGTTGTTCAGTTTTGCAAGAGTTAAGGTGTCAGCTAATAAATAATATCAACACTGAGCCGAAAACAAAAGATGTTTTAAGTGGGGTCTTGTGAATTGCAATCAAGAGGTACATACCTAGTAGTTGGCTAAATCATTTCCTGTTCTATCCAGGCAAGGTTGGGCAGTGGCTTATAAATGTTTACTATAAGTTTACTGATCTGGAAGGTCTTAGTACAGTCCATGATTGATGACAGTTGGTTCGCAACTTAGGATGTCTTCAGTTGATGATCAATCTAGTTCAGCATAGCTGTCTCCCCAACAGGTTCGCTATCAGGCCACATGTAAACAATTCCAATCAAATGCAGCTGGTTTTACAATTTGCCCCAGTTTGACAGGTTAAAATCCATCTGGGTGTTTATATGACTGGGGTCCAACTCCTCCTGCCTCATTTTAGATACCGCTAACATAACCATCTCCATTTTGCATTTTCCTTTTATGAAAGTCACATGGGGTACCCATGCCAAAGTGGTCCCCTTAGCCACAGCATTTACCATGACCTGGGTAAGGACAATATTCAGCAGATGAATATCTCAGTAATCATAAATTCATTCTCACATGGCTTGCATGCAGTATATCAACTGCATCATCTGTGGTGTCTCACCCAGCATTTATAGGGTGAGTTGAGCAATCCCCCTTTTCAGGGTAAGCAGACCTTACTGTGCCTTTTATCCACATCAGGCTGGCTGTTCTCTTGGGAACAACCTCTGTTAACCTTGATAGTGAGATTCTGGAAATATGGCTAAATATTGAATTTATTCAAATACAAAATTTGAGATGTCCACCTGGGAGGGCATGGACTTCAAAATATTGGATAAGTGCCCTGAAGTGGAAAGGTTTGAGAGTCGTTTGTATAGGTAGGGTCTAGGAAGCTTAACAGGATGTCAGCATTTTCTTTACAAGATTAATGCATAGTTATAGCAATTTGATAGGCAATGTTTCCTTTTATTGGGAAGAGCATATTTAACATTCTGCGTTAGGGATGTAATAGTCAAAGGGGTCTTTTTATCACAGACAAATAATCTTTTATCTTAGATACCATCTGGTCTGAACCAGGAACAAGAAAATAAAGAAGTTAAGAGGTCAAGCTCAGTGATTCAGTTTCCTCAGGGCCTAACAACTTTTAGAAGCCCCAGTAGATAGACTCTTGGGTTTTTGTTTTCACATCTGCTGTGTGTCTGCATCAGGTATCACTATCTGTAATTGTTGCATCACATATCACCATCTGTAATTGTTTCATAGTGAACTGTGGATCCTACATAAGCCCAGACATGCTCTTCAACTCTGCATTTAAAACCAAAGATACTGCCACTTAGTTTCTCTCACAATCCAGTTTAGTAAAGGCTCCTGAAGAAGCTGTAAAATAAACAGTTCCTTCACACTGTACACTGTAGCTTCAGTTTCTTGGTTTTACCCTTCCCATACATTGATTGCCTTTTTGTAACCACAGGTCTTAGAGGTACTTTCTGTTTTCCTGGCATAATTTTTCCCTTAGGGACAGCTTTAAGGCAAGTGGCTAAAGCTCAGATTCACTAAAATTTGACCTTGGTCAAGCGTCAAGTCAACCTAGTCCTCTTTTAATTACATTTGATACAGCTTGGATGTTTGGTCCCTCCGTATCTCCTGTTGAAACCTAATCATGGGGGTGAGTCCCTCATAAATGGCTTAATGCCATCCCCTTGGTGATGAATGAGTTCTTCCTCAGTTAGTTCATGTGAGATCTGGTTGTTTAAAAGAGTTTGGATTCTCTGGTTTCTCTTTCTCCTTCCTGCTCTCACTGTGTGACATGCCTGCTCCTCCTTCACCTTCTCCCGTTTTACTCCTTTTACTCCCATTTTATTCCCTTTTACTCCTCAGGGAGTGAAAGCTCCCTGAGGCCTCACCAGAAGCAGAGCACATGCCAGCACCACACATCTTTTATAGCCTGAAGAACTATGAGCCAATTAAACCTCTTTTCTTTATAAATTACCCAGCCTCAGGTATTTAGTTACAGTGATACAGAAATGAACTAATACAGAAAATTGGTATTGAGGTGTAGTGCACTGCTGTAAAGATACCTGAAAATGTGAAAGTGGCTTTGGAATTGGCTAATGGGCAGAGGTTGGAAAAGTTGAGAGGGCTCAGAAGAAGATAAGAAGATGAGGGAAAGGTTAAAACTTTTTTTTTTTTTTTAGCTTTTTCACTGAGCCATAGGAACTTCTTAGAGACTGGTTAAATGGTTGTGACCAAAATGCTGGTAGAGATATGGACAATGAAGTCCAGGATGATGAGATCTCAAATGGAAACAAGGAAGTTACTGGGAACTGGAATAAAGGTCACCCATGTTATGCCCCAGCAAAGAACTTTGCTGCTTTGTGTTCATGCCCTAGGGATTTCTGGAAGCTTGAACTTAAGAGTGATAACTTAGGGTACCTGGCAAAAGAAATTTCTGAGCAGCAAAGCATTTAAGAAGTGGCCTGGTTGCTTCACTGCTTCAAACAACCTACAGTTATATACGGGAGCAAAGAAATGATTTAAAGTTGGAATTTATATTTAAAAGGTAAGCAGAGTATAAAAGTTTGGAAAATTTCCAGCCTGTCCATTTGGTAGAAAAATAAAAAGCATTTTCAGGAGAGGAATCCATGTTGGCTATATAACAACCACTTGGAAAAGAGATTTGCATGACTAACAAAGTCAAGTGGTAATCTGAGACAATGGAAAAAGACCTAAAAGACGTTTCAGAAGTCTTTAGGAAAGTTCCTCCCACCACAGGCCCAGAGGCCTAGGAGAAAAGATTGGTTCCAAAGGCCAGATTTAGGACTCCACTTCCCTGAGCAGCCTCAAGACACTGTGCTCCGAATTTGACCTTGCTCAAGCGTCAGAGTCAACCTAGTCCACTCTAGCTCCAGCCTCAGCGCAGAGTGCCCCAGGCACAGTTCAGGCTGCAGCCTTGGTAGTTGTGGTGGTTTCCACATTGTGTTAAGGCTACAGATGCTCAGAATGCAAGCATGGAGGAGGCTTGGCAGCTTCTACCTAGATTTCAGAGGATGTATGAGAAAGCCTGGGATCCCAGTCAGAAGCCTGGCACAGAGGTAGAGCCCTCATAGAGAACCTCTACCAGGAAGTGCCAAAGAGAAATGTGGGGGCTCCCCACAGTCCTCACTAGGGCACTGCCTAATGGAGCTGTGCGAAGGGAACCATTTTCCTCCGAGGACTGGTCCTGACACCATTGCTCAGTCATGGCTGCTCAAGGCTTTGGGAGTCTATCACTTACACCAGGTTATGGGACATGTAGTCAAGGATTAGGCTGGAGCTTTAAGAGCCAAGACTAGAGTACAGTAGCACAATCCTAACTCACTGCAGCCTTTACCTCCTAGACTCAAGCTATCCTCCTGCCTCAGCATCCCAAGTAGCTGGGATTACAGGCCCAAGGCACAGCACCTGACTCTTCATATGCTCTTTACCCAAATTTTCCAATTATTTTCATTTTGTATTTTGCTTTGTTGACACCCATCAGCCAAATACCACCAGAAACAAACTTATAATGAGAGACAACTTATCATAGGTTTCTGTAGCAAGGAGGCCCACATAACAAGGTGATCATGGAATGCCTTGGTAAGATGCATTTAGGAAGGGTTGGCTATAGAGTTTCATATAACATGCTAGGTAATATTAGATATAATATCAAATAATGTCACTATTAAATACTAGATATCAATTAAAAGTCTACTAATATTAGTTAATTCTGTTACTTATTAGATATGGCTGGACAACATTAGACACCATCATCTTTTGTATCCAAAGTCCCATATTTAAATTTGTTGTGCTTTTTAAAGTTCTTGTAACTGTTTTCCCCATCCTCCAGTCCAAAGTCCAATTTTATATACTGCTTTTAGATGTCACATTTCTGTAGTCTTCCTTAATCTAGAAAGATTCAACAGCCTTTGTCTTTTTATTCTTGACATCTTTGAAGTATATAGTCAAAGTATTTTATAGGAAGATATTCATTTGAGATTTATCTATTTCACATTTAAGTTCAGATTATGCATTGTTGGTGTGGGTACCACGGAAGTGTTGAGGTATCATAATAGAGGCCAAATGATGTCTATTTTTCCCTTCATTGGAGATTTCAACTTTGTTCACTTGGCCAAGATGATGTCTTTGAGATTTTTCAGGCTACTTTTAAATTAAGTTTTGAAAATAAAAACATTTCTTATGGGGAAATACATTAGTAGTGGGCATTCTTCTGTAAAGATTAGCTTCCACTTCTCCCCCATTTATTCATCAGTTCCTTCAACTATAAATATTCCATCAATATGGACTCAGAATCCAGTTAAATAACATGTAGATTAACCATTATTATTTCCAACTTTATTGAGGTGTATTTTGCATATCATAGAATTTATCCGTTTCAGGCGTATAATTTAATAATCTTAAGGAACTTTGCGGAGTGGTGTAACCATCATCATCCTTCAGTTTAGATCATATTCATCCTCTAATTGGACTCCTCATGCTTAAGTACAGTTAAACCTCATTCTTACCTCAAATCTGGAGCAACCACTAATCCACTTTCTCTATGTATACATTTGCCTATTCCGGATATTTTATGAAACTGAATCTTACAATCCATGGGGTTTTGTGACTGGCTTCTTTTACTTAGCATAATGTTTCCAAGGTTCATGCATGTTGTTGCATGAGCCAGAACTTCACTTCTTTGAATTTCTAAATAAAATTCTGTTGTATAAATATGCCATGATTTGTCTATTCATTTACCCATAGGAGGGCATTTTGCTTGTTTGCAGTTTGGAACTATGAGAAATGCTGCTGTGAACATCATGTGATAATTGAAAATACTTGTCTGTTTTCATGGGCAACATTCCTAGTCACACTTTCACATCTGTTTTTCTGCCTTTGCTTGCACTTTCCAGGCACAATTTCACCTTCACTTGAACTGCTTCATTCAGAACTCTGCAAATTCCCTGAAGTAGAAGGAAAAAATGACCACAATCAAGGTGAGTAGGAATTGCCTCTCTTGCTGTTAAAATTCCATCCTACTACTCATATTGTCACATTTTTATCTGTCTTGGGAAGACTCAAAGAGAACCACAAGCTTTGAGGGCATTTTGTTTGCCAGATGCTTCCTTTGTTGATTTTGAGTTGACTTTCCATTTGGTTTCAGTTCTTGTTTTCTTATATAATTTCTTTTCTACAGTAGAGAAAATAGTAGGAATGGATAATTTTTTCACATCACTACTACTTTGCTCACAGATTATCTGTTTTTATCTTATATTCTTCATCATGCATATCATAACTGTATTTGTATTGATGAAATACCTCTAATTTTAAATTGTGCTCATTTTATATAATATTATATAATGTTTCATTTTTATATTGGTATCATAGTCCCATTGAATTAATGTATCTTCTTATTTTGAACTACCTCACACTCATAGACATTTAGGTGGTTTAGGAATTTTAATGTTTTCAGCAACACTGCCCTGACAGTTTTCCTATATATAATCCCTTCCCCCAAAATTAATTCTGAAAACAATATAGGATACTTTTGACATGTATCGCTTGGCTATTTTATAGATGATAGATTATTTCAACAGGGTGGAGCACATCAAGCTTTGACTGCAGCTTCCCACAAATATTGTTGTTGGAATTTTCACACAGGAAGAGTTCGATTCTGTGTTTGCCATGCCTCAGTCATACCTTGTAATGCATGTTATTTACTGGTCTTTTCTTATTCCTTTAAGGAGTAAGAAGTTTTACCAAAGTAGTAGGTACCTTCATGTCAAATGTCCAATGATACTGGCAGAATGGCCAGTCACTTCTGGGGTTCTGTTACTACATTTACTCAGAGAAGCAGAATGCAGATATTGGTCTCTTCTACCTCTTAAACTCATCAAATATGAAAAATCTGTTTTTGGCTGGGTGTGGTGGGTCACACCTGTAATCCAGGCACTTTGGAGGCCAAGGCAGGTGGATCACCTGAGGTCGGGAGTTCAAGACCAGCCTGACGAACATGGTGAAACCCTGTCTTAAAAAAAAAAAGAAAAAAAATATCTGTTTGTTTAGATTCACACAGGCAACCAAGGTCAGGAATGTTAGCTATTCTACGCCCTTATAATCAAATAAGTGAGACTGATATTAATACAATGAATTAGTCTTCAAATTACCAAAGTCACAGGAATATTTATAACCAGCTTTTCACTGTCATAAGGAGAGTAAGAGTACTTGTGTTTACTCAAAAGAGTGGGAAGTAGGTAAAAAAATTTGGAAGAAAGCATGAAATTATGTGATCACAATTTTAAATGTGTTTATTGACATTCTAATTTTCATTTGACATTGTTTTAAATAATCTGGAGGATAAAGTCTACATATAATTATTTTCTTTACAGGATTGATAATGAATAATATTTAATATGAAGTATTTATTTTTTAAATAAAAAGAGATAATTTTTGCCCTGTAATATTATGCAGAAATGAAATGAGATGAAATAAATAACAATAATGACTGTTATAATAAAAATAGCTAGTATTTATTAAATAGTCTGTGCCACACACTTTTCCCAATGCTATATATATTTCCTTCTTTACTCCTTGAAAAAACTATACCAGGTGAAAATCATTATACAGAGAGGAAACTAATACATGTAGGTGAGCTTGTCCAAAGTCACACAACTAGGAAGGGAGAGAGCTTTGGGATGTGCTCTGAGGCATGATGGTTCCATATCATGACATTGAATTCTGCAACTAATGTATGTAGCTTGTGCCTTGAGAGTATAGAGGATGCACTGCATAGCCATCCTACACAGGTCACCATAAACTGGTTAGTTTGACAGATATTAAAAAACAGTTATAAGGCCGGGTGCGGTGGCTCAAGCCTGTAATCCCAGCACTTTGGGAGGCTGAGGCGGGTGGATCACGAGGTCAAGAGATCGAGACCATCCTGGTCAACATGGTGAAACCCCGTCTCTACTAAAAATACTAAAAATTAGCTGGGCATGGTGGCGTGTGTCTGTAATCCCAGCTACTTAGGAGGCTGAGGCAGGAGAATTGCCTGAACCCAGGAGGCGGAGGTTGCAATGAGCCGAGATCGCGCCATTGCACTCCAGCCTGGGCAACAAGAGCGAAACTCCGTCTCAAAAAAAAAAAAAAAAAAAAAAAACAGTTATAGCATCCAGAGTTTGAGTATGAGACAGGAAGACAATGGACATTATCAAAGCTGGTACTAAATTGCTAAATGTTACTGGGGCAATTGGTGGCTCATTAAAACCTGAATATATGTAGCCCAGGAGGCAGCAGTTAGAGTCCTAGAGGGCTGCTTACAAGTAGACTCAATGAGTACACAAAGTAAAAGTACAGGACTTCTTTTCTATCATTGCATTTCTGGTGGCGCTCATAAAAATCAGTGTGTGTCATTATCAGGATATAGGCAGAATGAGTGGGAGATCTGTATATTGTCCCTCAAGATCTAGGACAACTTACCACCTGTCCCCTTTGCCTACTTAGTGCCATGCTTTTTTTAATAATCGTTGGTCAGAAAATTTAGGTTTTGTATATTGACCGTTTTAGGAGGCAGTAACCTTCAAGGATGTGGCTGTGGTCTTCACTGAGGAGGAGCTGGGGCTGCTGGACCCTGCCCAGAGGAAGCTGTACCAAGATGTGATGCTAGATAACTTCAGGAACCTGCTCTCAGTAGGTGAGAAAAGGCACCCTCTGTAACAGAACGTTAGGCCCCAGGAATGCTTTGTATTCTGGAGTGTTCAAGTATGACTATACATTGGGAATCTAAATTTCCAGTAAATATTCCCTAGATATTACCTACAGTGGGTTGGAATTAAGCATGTAACTTTGCGTGTTCACAGGGAATCAACCATTCCACCAAGATACTTTCCACTTCCTAAGGAAGGAAAAGTTTTGGATGATGAAGACCACAAGCCAAAGAGAAGGAAACCTAGGTAAGAACCAAGCAACTGTGCATCCTTGTACATAGCTTTTCTATCCGCTTTACTTCTGTCCATGCCTGTTTCCATCACCGTGGTCTAAATTGCCAAACCGCTTTCCTGAATTACTGCAACTGCCTTTCTTCTTTAAAGTTCCTTTGGGTTCATTATTCATGTTCATATTTTATTCATTTCATAATTTATCATACAAGATTTTAGACCAGAAAATTTACCAAAATTAGTAACAGGTTAAATGTGTATATGTTAATTATTTAATTAAGTCTTTTATTTCTATCAAGGATTTTATATATGAGATGTGATGTGGTTCTGAATTCGTCTCTTGAAAACCAAAGACCATAGTGCACTTGGAAAACATGAACTTCATGTTCCCTGTATTCATTAAAGTTTAATGCCATATCCTAAGTGTGAAATCTTGAAAACATTGAACAGGGCTTGACTTGCCCACATATGTTAATTCTGTGTCTTTTTAGGAGGCAAGATCCAAATTGAGACTGTTCCAGAAGCAGGACCACATGAAGAGTGGTCCTGCCAGCAAATCTGGGAACAAATTCCAAGTGACCTAACCAGGTCTCAAGACCCCATAATAAACAGCCCTCAGTTCCTCAAAGAAGGTGATGTCCCCTGCCAGATTAAGGCAGACCTATCCATAAGTCATGTGCAACAGAAACCTTACCAGTGTAATGAATGTAAACAGTCCTTCAGTTATGTTTCTGTCTTTGATCTCCATCAACAATTACACTCAGGAAAGAAGTCTCATACATGTGAAGAGTGTGGAAAAAGCTTTTGTTACATCTCAGCCCTTCATATTCATCAGAGAGTCCATTTGGGAGAAAAACACTGTAAGTGTGATGTGTGTGGTAAGGAATTTAATCAGATCTCACATCTGCAAACTCATCAGAGCATCCATACTGGAGAGAAACCATTCAAATGTGATCAGTGTGGGAAAGGCTTTCATAGTAGATCAGCACTTGGCAAATTACACACAGGGGAGAAACCTTATAATTGTGAGGAATGTGGGAAGGCCTTCATTAACGATTCACAGCTTCAGGAACACCAGAGAATCCATACTGGGGAGAAGCCATTCAAATGTGATATATGTGGTAAGAGTTCCATGTTAGATCAAGACTTAATAGGCATTCTCTGGTTCACACAGGAGAAAAACCATTCAGATGTGATACATGTAGTAAGAACTTTCGTCAGAGATCAGCACTTAATAGTCATTGCATGGTTCATGTAAGAGAGAAGCCATACAAATGTGAGCAGTGTGGAAAAGGCTTCATTGGTAGGCGAGATTTTTGTAAGCATCAGATGGTCCACACAGGAGAGAAACCATATAATTGTAAAGAATGTGGGAAGAGCTTCAGATGGTCCTCATGTCTTCTGAGTCATCAGCAAATCCATAGTGGGGAAAAACCCTTCAAATGTGAAGAATATGGGAAGGGATTTTATACAAATTCACAACGATCTTCCCATCAGAGAGTTCACAATGGAAAAAAGCCTTATAAGTGTGAGGAGTGTGGTAAGAGCTATAAAAGGAGGTTGGATCTTGAGTTTCACCAGAGGGTCCACACAGGTGAGAGACGCTATAATTGTAAGGAATGTGGGAAAAGCTTTGACTGGGCCTCCTGTCTTTTGAGACATCAGAGACTCCACAGTGGAGAAAAACCTTTCAAATGTGAAGAGTGTGGAAAGAGATTTACTCAGAGTTCACAACTTCATTCCCATCAGACAGTTCATACTGGAGTAAAACTATACAAATGTGAGCAGTGTGAGAAAGGGTACAACAGTAAATTTAATCTTGACATGCACCAGAGGGTCCACAGGGGAGAGCGACCCTACAGTTGTAAGGAATGTGGAAAGAGCTTTGGCTGGGCTTCATGTCTTTTGAAACATCAGAGACTCCACAGTGGAGAAAAGCCATTGAAATGTGGAGTGTGGGAAGAGATCTACTCAGAATTCACAGCATCATTTACATCTGAAAGTCTATATGGGAGAAAAGCCATACAAATGTGAGACGTGTGGGAAAGGCTTTGGCTGGGTCTCAACTCATCTGACCCATCAGATTCTCCTCAGCAGAGAAAAACCATCCAAATATGAGAACTATGAAAACTTTGTATATATATCTTAAAGACCAAGAAAAAAGTCCACAGTGGAGATAATCCATACAAATGTGAGGAGTGTGGGATGTACTACAACAGGCACTTGACTTTATATGCATGAGTGTCCATATGGCAGAGACACTACAGAAGTTTGGGAAGATTGTCATGTGCTTCAGTCACGCCTCAAGTCTTCAACTTCATCAGAGTGTTCTCATTCAAGAAAAACCTTAGTAATGTGATGTCTGTGATAAGTTTTCACAGCTACAAGCTTATCTGAGAGTTCACAATGGGAGAAACATTAAAAATTTGATGCATGTGGTAAGCACTTCAGTTTGAGTTCATATCTCATGACTTATTACAGAACCCATCCTGATGATACATTTCATACAGTCTCAGGAGGGAAAATATTTAAGTTAAAGTCTGTTTCAGCCATAGTTCGGCATACCCAAGTGGTTTTAACTACTGTAGCAGAGAACCCTTGTAAGTTGAGGCTTCACTCAAAAGTTTGGCAATTATAGTTATCACTCAAGAGACAGGCCTTAGAATAGGAGTTTGTTCGAGTGTTTACAAATCTCTAATGGTGGACATGTCAAAATTGATGTCTGCTAGAATGTAAGCTGCATGTGTCTTTGCTGCAGAATCTTCACAATCTTAACACTGATTGGCACTTATGTGCGTTTGGTACGTGTAAGAAATGGATGGAACAGCTTTGTCAAGCAAACCACAGAGACAGCAGTCACCTCTCCCCTGTAAGAAATGTAGAAAGAGCTTTGGTTGGGCTTCTTGTCTTTTGAAATATCAGATGTGATATTAAAGGATCAAAAAGAGAAAAAATATTTCAAAATTGAATCTAAAAGAGGAAACATGGGATGGACTAAGATGATCAATTAAAAAGCAGCTGTGTGGTCCACGGTACTTAGAGAGAAATGAAAATGACAAGTGAATTCAGCACCTTCAACTGAAATATACAGGTTCTCTCACTGGGACTGACTAGGCAGTTAATTACCCACACAGAATGAAGAAAAGTAGGGCAGAGTGATGGTGGTGTGGCATGGTGCCAAAAGAACCCTCCCCACCAGCCAAGGGAAGTGGGGAATGATTGTACAACCCTGCCCAGGAAACTATGCTACTCTCACAAATCTTTGCAACCTGCAGGTCAGGAGATCTCCTTCTGAGCCCATGCCACTCCACAGAGCTGTGTGGAGTCTTGGCAAAGTAGCCACTCAGGCACACACACAAGCCCAGGAGGTTTACATGTTCCCACCCCAAATTCCTGGCAGGGTGGCAGACCCATCCTTATATTCCCCTAGGAAGGGGGCTGAATCCAGGGATTCGAGCAGCAACATTCTGTGGCCCCCACTTCCATGGCACCTCACAAAACCCACTGGCTTGGAATTCCAGCCAACCAACAACAACAAGCTGTCTGCCTGAAATAGGAGGGAGCTCCTGTTAGGAAGGGTGGCCACCGTTCTGCGGTTCAGTTGACTCACTGTTCCAGCCTGCCAGCTCTGGAGTGGTCAGGTGGTCTGGATGAGGAAAGGTTCCCCCACCCAACACAGCACACCTGTTTTTTGTTGTTGTTGTTGTTGTTTTTTAATGGAGTCTTGCTAGGTTGCTGAGGCTGGAGTGCAGTGGTATGCTCTTGGCTTACAGCAACATCTGTCTCTTGGGTTCAAGCAATTCTCCTGCCTCCTAAGTAGCTGGGATTACAGGCATGCACCACCACACCCAGCTAACTTTTGTATTTTTAGTAGAGACAGTTTTGCCATGTTGGCAAGACTGGTCCTGAATCCCTGACCTCAGGTGATCCATCCACCTCGGCCTCCCGAAGTGCTAGGATTGCAGGCATGAGCCATTGCACCTGGCCCAGACTGCTTCTTCAAGTAGGACCCTGATCCATTCCTCCCCACTGGGTGAGGCCTCCCTGTGGGGGGCCTTCAGTCACTCCAGCCAGGCGTATACTGACAGAAATCTAATCTCTACCGGGAATGGAGCTCCCAGGGGAGAGGCGACTGCTGTCTCTGTGGTTCGGTTGACAAAGCTGTTCAATCCTGCTGGCTATGGAGAGTCCAGGCAATCTGGATGAGGAAGGGTCCTTTCCCAACGCAGCACAGCTGCTCTACTAAGAGCAGCCAGACTGCTTCTGTAACTAGGTCCCTAATCTTGTTCCTCACTGGATGGTATCTCCGAACAGTGGTCTCTACACACCTCCTGTAGGAGTGTTCAGGCCAGCAACAGGTCAGTACTCCCTGGGACAGAGCTTCCAAAGAAAGGGGCAGGCTGCTATCTTTGCTATTTTGCAGCCTTCACTGGTGATACCTCCAGGCATGGGAAAAACTGAGGCAACTAGGGTCTCGAGCAGACTCTCAGCAAACTGCAGCAGCCCTACAGTTGCTGACAGTCAGTGCTTGACTGTTAAAAACAGGCAGAAAACAACAAACATATCAACAAAAGACCCCACAAAAACGCCATTCAAAGGTCAGCAATCTCAAAGATTGAAAGCAGATAAGCCCACAAAGATGAGAAGGAAAAAAAAAAAAAAAAAAACACACACTGAAAACTCAAAAAGCCAGAGTGCCTCTTCTCCAAATGACTGCAATACCTCTCCAGCAAGGGCACAGAACTGGGTAGAGGCTGTGATGGCTGGATTGACAGAAGTAGGCTTCAGAAGGTGGGTAATAATGAAGTTTGCTGAGCTAAAGGAGCATGTCATAACCCAATGCAAAGAAGCTAAAAATCATAATACAGGAGCTGATGACCAGAATAGCCAGTTTAGAGAGGACCATAACTGACCTGATAGAGCTGAAAAACACAAGAACTTGACAATGCAATCACAAGTATCAATAGTAGTATAGACCAAGAGGAGAAAAGAAATTCAGAGCTTGAAGACTATCTTTCTGACATTAGATAGGCAGACAAGAATAGAGAAAGCGTGAAGAGCAATGAACAAAACCTCTGAGAAATACGGAGTTGCGTAAAAAGACTGGACATATGACTGACTGGGGAAAGAGATGGGGAGAATGGAAACAAGTTGAAAACATACTTTAGGACATTATCCAAGAGAGCTTTCCAAAAATAGCATGACAGACCAATATTCAAATTCAGGAAATGCAGAGAACCCTAGTAAGATATTCCACAAGAAGATCAACCGCAAGACACATAATCATCAGATTCTCTAAGGTCAGAATTATGTAAAGGGAGAGGCCGGGCACGGTGGCTCACGCCTGTAATCCCAGCACTTTGGGAGGCCGAGGCGGGTGGATCATGAGGTCAAGAGATCGAGACCATCCTGGTCAACATGGTGAAACCCTGTCTCTACCAAAAATACAAAAAATCAGTTGGGCATGGTGGCACGTGCCTGTAGTCCCAGCTACTCAGGAGGCTGAGGCAGGAGAATTGCCTGAACCCAGGAGGCGGAGGTTGCGGTGAGCCGAGATTGCGCCATTGCACTCCAGCCTGGGTAACCAGTGAAACTCCGTCTCAAAAAAAAAAAAAAAAAAAAAAAAAAGAAATAAAATCTAGGGATCCAACCAATTGCGGATATAGAATAATATACAAGAAAAGGACTAAAAGATTGGTCGTTTTTGATGCTCGATGAAACCTGGGAATTCAGAGGAATGTCTTCACTTAGATTTGCTCTCTCAATGTTTCTAATTGTTGTATAGCTTTCGATTTTGCATACAGTAGTTCCCCCTTATCTTCAGGGGATGCATCCCAAGGCCCAAAGTGGACTCCTGAAACCTCACATAGTACCAAACCTTTTTACACCTTTTTTTCTATATATACATACCAATGATAAAGTGTAATGTATAAATTAAGCATAGCAAGAGATCAATAAAATAGAACAATGAAAACTTTAAAAAAAAAAGAAATTCACCCAAAAAATTAAAAATGAAATTAACGGCCAGGCGCGGTGGCTCAAGCTTGTAATCCCAGCACTTTGGGAGGCCGAGGCGGGTGGATCACGAGGTCGAGAGATCGAGACCATCCTGGTCAACATGGTGAAACCCCGTCTCTACTAAAAATACAAAAAATTAGCTGGGCATGGTGGCGCATGCCTGTAATCCCAGCTACTCAGGAGGCTGAGGCAGGAGAATTGCTTGAACCCAGGAGGCGGAGGTTGCGGTGAGCCGAGATCGCGCCATTGCACTCCAGCCTGGGTAACAAGAGCGAAACTCCGTCTCAAAAAAAAAAAAAAAAAAAAAAATGAAATTAACGTAAGACCACATAAGTATGTGGAAATTCAATAACATGCTTCTGAATGACTCCTGGGCAAATAATGAAATTAAGAAAGAAATCATTATTTAAAACTAATGAGAATAAAGACATAACGTACCAGAATCTCTGGGATGCAGCTGAAGAAGTGTAAGATGGAAATTTATAGTACTAAATGCCTACATCAAAAAGCTAGAAATATCTCAAGTTAACAATCTAATATCACAACTAAAATAACAAAAAGCAAATCCCAAAGCTAGGAGAATACAGGAAATAAGATCAGAACAGACCTGAGGGAGATAGAAACACAAAAAAAAATCTTTCAAAAAATTAACAAATCCAGGAGCTGGTTTTTTTGGGGAAAAAATTAATAAGACTGCTAGCTAGACTAATAAAGTAGAAAAGAGAGAAGAATGCAACACAATCAGAAATGATAAGGGGTATGTCACCCGTGACCCCTCAGGTATACAAGCAACCGTCAGAGAATACTATAACACCTCTCTGCACATAAACTAGAAAATCTAGAAGAACTGAGTAAGTTTCTGGACCCTTACACCCTCCCAAGGCTGAATTTGAAAGAAACGTCTGTGGAAGTCTAGTTGCCAGCTTGGATGTGCAGGAAATTTGGCTCCCGCAGGCGTTTCGCGAGTACGTTGGGAGGCGCCCGAATTTGGGCTCAGGGAGGAGGACCTGTGAATTCTGGGAACTGGAGTCCATTTGCTCTGTGGAGTCGTGGGAACTTTGGCTCAGGCAGGCGGATTCGGGGGATTCTGGGAAGTGGAGTCCAGACGCTCTGTGGCATAGCAGACACTTCCGGTCTCCGAGCAGGACGTTGCTACTTTACTTACCAAGGTGGTTTGAGCCAACTCTGTGTCTTTCGGGTCTTTGCGAAAGTGAACCGGTTGTTAGGGGCGCCTAACGACCTGGGGGTCAATTAAGAGGGTAAGAAGCCCTGGCGAAGACCTGAGGTTTGGAAATGCGAGGGTGGGGAGGAGGGTTTGTTGCCGTCGACGGAGCCTTCTGGCGTTGCGGGTTGTACACGCGTCCCCTCAGGGGACCGGAGACGGAGAACGGGGGGCGGGGGGGGAACCCTGTCTAGTCCCGTGTGCCTGTGTTGAGGGTTTTCCAGGTCTTTGACCTCGCTCGTTCAGCCTCCCTCCACCCTGTGTGTGCGACCTCTTTCTTGCAATATAACGTGGGGTGTTAATCTCATTGCCGTTTTTAAAATTAGGATTTTAGGACCATCCTGATAGACTTGTTTTAGGAGTTGAAAGTTGTGGTATAAAACAAAGCCTTAACAGCCCCTGTCACTTGATCTCTTGTTAATTTCCCGCGAAGTGGTCAGGTCCCCGGGTGGGGTCAGACAGAGCTCAAGCTGCCCCGGCCCTTCTCTCGCATCCGGCAGGACGCTGGATGATCCCGGATGCCTCTGACCTCTTTTTAGGAAGGCGAGGGTTGCCTCCAGCCTTCACGAAGGGAGAGAAGCATTTAACTTTTATCCAGAACGGCGACTCAGCCAGCGTGTTTCATGGCTTTCTCCTTCCCCAGCCTGACCTTTCCAAAACAGCTGCAGGGTGGGGCTTGGCTACTGAGGGCAAAGCTCTATGCGAATGGTCCTTGGCTTTTTTTCTTTTTAAAAAGTGTTATTTACTTTGTTAGTCCGATTATTATTATTATTATTATTTGAGAACCAGTTTGGCTCTGTGTCCAGTCTGGAGTGCAGCAGTGGCTCGATCTTGGCTCACTGCAACCTCGGTCTCCTGGGTTCAAGCGATTCTCCTGCCTTAGCCTCCCGAGTAGCTGGGACTACAGGCATGTGCTGCCATGTCTGGCTGATTTTTGTGTTTTTAGTAGAGACCAGGTTTTACTATATTGACCAGGCAGGTCTTGAACCGGTGGTCGCAAGTGATCTGCCCACCTCGGCCTCCCAAAGTGCTGGAATTACAGGCGTGAGCCACTGCGCCGGGCCGGGTTTTTTCTTTTACAGAGATGTTCGCCTCCACCGAGGGTGTATAGGATGTGTCCTTGGGCATGGGAATTTATAATAACTAAGCTTTAATTAGTAACTTCATTCTAAGGGCTTTATGGAAATGAATACCTTCAAGCCAGGCCACACCGTGGCTCTGTGGAAAGGTATTGCTCTTTCGATTTTAAATAAGGGAGTGAGACACCAGGTGCATAGTTACTGAAGTAAGAGGTGGATCTGGAGTTGGGAGTCAGGATCAGAGCCTGAGTTGATCATTCTTTGGATACATTTTCATTTCGGCAGGGGAACTAGCTGGAATCAGGTGGGGAAAGAAACTTAGGTCTTGACTGAAGGGATCTTGAGAAAAAGGCTCATGGACTTGGACTTCTGTAGGAATCTTTAAAAAATTTGTCAACATTTTGTTTCACTTTTTATAAGGATGTTGTATTGTTGTGGAACCATATCATTGCGGAGCAGTTTGAAATTAGATAAATAGGAGAAAAATATGTTTTAAATTATCCACGAATTCAACATGTAAAGGTAGTAGCTGTCTGACAGACGTGATAGAACTTCCAGTTATCCCCCATTTCTTTTCCTTTTTTTTTTTTTTTGAGACAGAGTCTCGCTCTGTCGCCCAGGCTGGAGCGCGGTGGCATGATCCCAGCTCACTGCAACCTCTGCCTTCCAGGTCCAAGCAATTCTCCTGTCTCAGCCTCCCAAGTAGCTGGGACTACAGGCAGCTCCCACCACACCCGGCTAATTTTTGTATTTTTAGTAGAGACAGGGTTTCACCATATTGGTCAGGCTGTTCTCAAACTCCTGACCTCAGGTGATCCACCTGCCTCGGCCTCCCAAAGTGCTGGGATTACAGGCGTGAGCCACCATTCCTGGCCTCTCCCATGTCTTTTTAGTCTTTCTAATCATTCTTTTTCAGTCTTTTTTTGTGTCTATTTGTATATTTATTTAGAAACATTTAAAAATTGTTATAATATCTTAATGTGTTTTCTCATATTTCTTTATGGAATTTTTTTTTTTTTTTTTTTTTTTTTTTGAGACGGAGTTTCGCTCTTGTTACCCAGGCTGGAGTGCAATGGCGCGATCTCGGCTCACCGCAAGCTCCGCCTCCTGGGTTCAGGCAATTCTCCTGCCTCAGCCTCCTGAGTAGTTGGGATTACAGGCACACGCCACCGTGCCCAGCTAATTTTTTGTACTTTTAGTAGAGACGGGGTTTCACCTTGTTGACTAGGATGGTCTCGATCTCTTGACTTCGTGATCCACCTGCCTCGGCCTCCCAGAGTGCTGGGATTACAGGCGTGAGCCACCGCGCCCGGCCCTTTATGGAAATTTTTAAATACTGCTAATAGAGAATAAACTAGCAAACTGCCCTATTATGTCGTGCTCATCCTTATTATTCCCATTGTTATCCTTATGACTATTTCCTGGTAGTTTAAAACTGTTCATTTTATATCATTTCAAAGCTATAGGAAAGTTGCAAAAATAGTGTAAGAAATTCTTATATACTCTTTATCCAGATTTGCAATTGTTTACATTTTTCCTGTTTGCTTTGTTGGTGACCATCAGCCAAATACTACCAGGAACATACCTGTAACCAGAGACAATTGATTGCAGATTTCTGCAGCAAAGAAGCCCACATTCCATGGTGATCATGGAGTGACTTCCTAAGAGGTGGTTAGAAAGGGCACGTTATAGGGTTTCACATAACATGTTGGATAATATTAGATATTATATTAAATGATATTTATTAAATATTAGATGTCCATTAAAACTAATTGTTCTTATAGTGTTATAATTAGATAGTGCTAGATAACATATTCCATAACATCATATTATCTAATGTGTGGTTCCATTCATTTGAAGTCCTCACAACTCTATCTATCCCACCCTTCACCCTGACCTCAGTTTAAAGCCTAATTATATGTATTGTGTTTAGTCATCACGTTTTTCTATCTTTAATCTGGAAGGATTTCACAGCCTTTGTCTTTTATGTGCATGGTATTTTTTAAGAGTATAGGCAAGTGATTTGAGAGAAAGACTTTCATTGGGATTTTTCTGATATATTTCATGTTTAGGTTTAGATCATGCATTGTTATCGCTTCTGGGCCTTTTGGCTAAGATCAAGTGCAGATTATGTATTGCTGGTGGGAATATCACCAAAGTGATAAGGTTTCCTATTTATTGTAACATAGCAGGGGCCAAATGATGTTGGTTTGGCCCTTCATTGGTGATCTCAACTTTGTCATTTGGCTAAGATGATGTCTTTCAGATTTATCCACTGTAAAATTACCTTCTTAAAAAAATAAAGTTTCTCGCTGGGCGCGGTGGCTCAAGCCTGTAATCCCAGCACTTTGGGAGGCCGAGGCGGGTGGATCACAAGGTCGAGAGATCGAGACCATCCTGGTCAACATGGTGAAACCCTGTCTCTACTAAAAATACAAAAAAATTAGCTGGGCATGGTGGCACGTGCCTGTAATCCCAGCTACTCAGGAGGCTGAGGCAGGAGAATTGCCTGAGCCCAGGAGGCGGAGGTTGCGGTGAGCCGAGATCGCGCCATTGCACTCCAGCCTGGGTAACAAGAGCGAAACTCCGTCTCAAAAAAAATAAAAATAAAATAAATAAATAAATAAATAAAGTTTCTTCTGGGGAGATACATTATTAATGAGCAGTCACTATAAAAATGAACTTACAGTTCTCTCACATTTATTTATTAGTTTCTTCAACTATAAATATCAATGTGGAATATTTGGACTTGGTCCCACAAAATTAATTTTGAAAACCATATTAATATGGACTCGGTCTGGTTAAGTTAAATGACAGGTAGATTAACAATTTTTTCCCAACTCTATTGAAGTGTATTTTACATATCATAGCATTCACCAGTTTCAGGTATACAATTCAGTGATCTTTAGGAATTTCACAGAGTGTTTTTGCCATCATCATGATTCAGTTGAGACCATTTTCATCCCCCAGTTGGACTCCTTGTGTCCACTTACAGTTAAAATTCATTTTCAGGCTGGGCATGGTGGCTCATGCCTGTAATCTCAGCATTTTGGGAGGCTGAGGTGGGAGGTAATAGCTAGAGCTCAGAAGTTTGAGACCAGCCCGGGCAACATAGCAGGACCCCACCTCTTAAAAAATAAAAACTTGTTCTCACCTCAAATCTGGAGCAACCACTAATTTATTTTCTCTCTGTATACTGTTAACTATTACGGATATTTCATATAAATGGGATCCTATAATCCATGGGTTTTGTGATTGGCTTCTTTCATTTATCATTTAGCTTGCTTACAAGCTCTGCATGTTGTAGCTCAAGTCAGTACTTCATTCCTTTAAATTTCCAAATAAGATTTCATTGTATGAATACGCCATCATTTGTCTATGCATTTACCCAGAGGAAGGCACTTTGGTTGTGTGGAGTTTGGGGTTATTATGAATAATGCTGCTGTGATTGTTCATGTGCTCGTTTACAACACACTTCTGTATTGGTGGGTGTCACCGTGGCAACCCTTTCATGTCTTTTTCTGCAGACAGTGGCATGTTTCAGGCAGGATTCCTCCTTCCTTCAAACTGCATCACTCAGGAGTCTGCAAATTCCCCAACATAGGAGAAAAAAAATGACCTCATTCAAGGTGAGTGGTGTGCCTCTCTTGCTGTTAAAATTCCATCTCACTACACATACTATCATGTGTTTTTCTTTGTTGTGAGAAGACTCAAGGAGAAAACAGGCATTTGGGGAGCTGTTGTGTGCCAGGTGCTACCTTTATCTCTTTTGTGTTGACTGCATTTGGGTTTTGGTTTGGTTTTGGTTTGGTTTTACCATTATTTATTTTATGGAGTATAAAAATTAGTAGGAATGGGCCAGGCACAGTGGCTTGCACCTGTAATCTCAGCACTTTGGGAGGCCGAGGTGGGCAGATCACCTGAGGTCAGGAGTTCAAGTCCAGCCTGGCCAACATGGAGAAACCCCACTTCTTTTTTTTTTTTTTTTTTTGAGACAGAGTCTCACTCTGTCGCCAGGTGCCAGGCTGGAGTACAGTGGCACAATGTCGGGTCACTGCAACCTCCGCCTCCTGGGTTCAAGCAATTCTCCTGCCTCAGCCTCCTGAGTAGCTGGGACTACAGACGTGCGCCACCATGCCCAGCTAATTTTCATATTTTATTAGAGATGGGGTTTCACCATGTTGACCAGGATGGTCTCGATCTCTTGACCTCGTGATCCACCCGCCTCGGCCTCCCAAAGTGCTGGGATTACAGGCGTGAGCCACCGTGCCCGGCCTGAGAAACCCCACTTCTAAAAAAAAAAAAAAAAAAAATTAGTTGGAATGAACAGTGCTTCCACTTCATTACCTCCCTTCTCTCAAATTACCGTTTTTATCTTATGCTGTTTCTCATATACATTCATAACTGTATTTGTATTGATGGTGTACATCTAACTGTAAACTGTACTCTTTTTATATGTTATATAATCTAACATTTTTATGGTTGCATCATATTCCTATTAAAATTGGTATATCTTTTTATTTATAACTACCTCACACACATAGGCATATTTTTTTCCCACAAAAGTAATTTTGAAAACCATATGCCGTTTTAGCTCAATTTTGGAAGAGTACTTTTGACATAGCCAGGCGTGGTGGCTCAAGCCTGTAATCCCAGCACTTTGGGAGGCTGAGGCGGGTGGATCACGAGGTCAAGAGATCGAGACCATCCTGGTCAACATGGTGAAACCCCGTCTCTACTAAAGATACAAAAAATTAAAAAATTAGCTGGGCATGGTGGCGCATGCCTGTAATCCCAGCTACTCAGGAGGCTGAGGCAGGAGAATTGCTTGAACCCAGGAGGCGGAGGTTGTGGTGAGCCGAGATCGCGCCATTGCACTCCAGCCTGGGTAACAAGAGCGAAACTCCGTCTCAAAAAAAAAAAAAAAAGAGTACTTTTGACATGTACCACACTGGCTGTTTTGTAGATAGAATATTTTAACTGGGCACAGAACAACAGGTTGTAACTGCTGCTCCACACAAATGTTGTTGGAGTTTCCACACAGGAAGAGCTAGATTCTGTGTTCTCCATGTCTCAGTCATACTTTGCATGTGTTTTATTTACTGGTCTCTTCTTATTCATTTATGTAATCGAAAGCCTTCATTTAAAATGTCCAGCAATACTGAGATTTGCCAGTCATTTGTGCTCTGTTACTACATTAACTCCTCAGAGCAGCAGGATGAGAAGGTTCCTGGTCTCTTCTTCCTCTTAAACAGGTGAAATATGAGAAACCTGCTCAAGTGTACACAGGCAACCAAGGGACAAGAGTGTTAGCCATTTGGCTCAAGTGGAAGAGAGAGACGGAATTCTCCATTGAACCTGTGCCCTGTGGTGTGGGTGTCTGGAGTGCCTTATTGAGTGATGGTGTCCCTAGGTGGCGCTGCTCCTCCCTGTCCCTACTTGATGTGACCTCTTGTCACATGTCACTCTGACATGGCATCTACTCCAGACACTGAACAAAGTACACTGATTACCATAGTTGTTATAGAAAATCTTTAAATCCCTTATAGCAAAAGATGCCTCACACAATGTTACCAGAAGAAATAACAACCTCGGGCAAAAATGTTTCCCACATGGATACCTAAAGAAGATAAAATCGAAAGTCAAAATCTTGTGCACAGAATAAAGGAAAAACTCTAAACAGATAAGAACAAAGGACACTAAGAGGCCAATGTAAAAGGAAAAATAGAAATGGCTAATAGCCTAGACCGGGCGCGGTGGCTCAAGCCTGTAATCCCAGCACTTTGGGAGGCCGAGGCGGGTGGATCACGAGGTCAAGAGATCGAGACCATCCTGGTCAACATGGTGAAATCCTGTCTCTACTAAAAATACAAAAATTAGCTGGGCACGGTGGCGTGTGCCTGTAATCCCAGCTACTCAGGAGGCTGAGGCAGGAGAATTGCCTGAACCCAGGAGGCAGAGGTTGCGGTGAGCCGAGATCGCGCCATTGCACTCCAGCCTGGGTAACAAGAACGAAACTCCTCCTCAAAAAAAAAAAAAGAAAAGAAAAGAAAAGAAATGGCTAATAGCCTTGAAAAGTGATGGTTTTCATCTATAATCAAGTAAGTGAGAATAATAGAATGTTCCCTCAATCAGATTACCAAGACTGTGGGAATATTTATAACATGCTCTTGGCCGTCATGAAGAGAACCAAAGTACTTGTATTCTATTGAAAGATTATGGAGGTAGGTAAAAAACTGGGAAGAAGGCTTGCAGTTATATGATCACAGTTCTAAATGTGCTTATTTTTCGATGTTTTAATTTTCATTTGAAATTATGACTTTAAACAATGAGGAGGAGAGTAAGATGTTCTTATGTCTTACTACATCATTACTTAAAAATGATGCTCTTTACAGGATTGATAATGGAAAATATGTAAAATTAAATCTTCTTCACTGTAGCTAAAAGTAGATCATCAGTTCTCTGGAATACTATGCAGCCATGAAATAGATAATGCTAGTAACAACAGTAAAAATAATTCCAGCTAATGTTCATTAAACATTTAGTCAATGGCGCAGATGCTTCCAAATGCTGTATATTTCCTTGTTTCATCCTTTAAAACACTGTGCCATATAAGAACTATTATTTAGAAAGGAAACTAATTCCTGTAGGCAAACATGTTTAGGGTCACACAGCTAGGAAGGGGCAGACCCTTAGGATGTGCAATGTTGCATTTTGGCTTCTGATCAGGACAGTGAGTGCTGCAATTAACATATGTGGTTTTTACTTTGAGAGTAGAGGACATACTCGATAGCAGTCCCACACAGCTGTCTATACAGGGACGGTGGAGTAGGTTCCCTCTGCACTGATTACCAACTTGGGTGAGTCCTGTGAGACAGAACACAATCTCACTCAACTAATTATGTGAAGCAGGTTTGTTATCTACAGATCGGCAGCAAGGGAGCACAGAAGTGTAGGATACACTGTGAGGTGGCCACCAAGGCTGAGAAAAACTTCCTGGGGTGGACAAAATCTAGACCCCACTTCCACCAGAGCAGAGGTACCCCAGAAGGCAGCCTTCCCCAGGTTATATACCTTAGGGGCAACTCGACTTGCTGGGCACTTTCTCCCTAACTCAAGACATTACCTTCCCTAGGAAGGACAGGAACGTTGCATTGCTAGCATGTTCTGTGTTTATTCTTCAGAACTATAAGCAAGAAAGAATGATTCAAGGCCACCCTGAAAATTACCCACAGTTACCTAAAACTTGTTAGTTTACCGCATACTAAAGAAAAGCGATAGCATCCAGGGTTTGAATATGAGAGAGGAGGACAATGGGCCTTACTCAGCAAGGTTGGGAAGGCCCATTTAATGTTGCTGGGGAAGTTGGCAAAATTTGTTGAACCTATGTATAGGTAGCCCAGGATGCAGCTTGTGGAGTCCTAGAGGGTTACATACACAAGTAGACTCAGTGAGAGCACAAAGTAAATGTATGGGACTTCTTCATCACTGCACTTCTGGTGGAGTTCAGGAAAATCAGTGTGTGTCATTGTCAGGATATAGGCAGAATGAGTGGGAATTCTATAAGTTGACTTACATCTCTCAATATGGAGAACAACTTTCCACTTATCTCCTTCACCAGCTCAATGCCGCTCCTTCCCCAGTAGTCTTTGGTCATAAGATTGAGGTTTTGTATTCTTGATATTGTAGGAGGCAGTGACCTTCAAGGACGTGGCTGTGGTCTTCACTGAGGAGGAGCTGGGGCTGCTCGACCTTGCCCAGAGGAAGCTGTACCGAGATGTGATGCTGGAGAACTTCAGGAACCTGCTGTCAGTGGGTGAGCACAGAACGACAGACCCCAGGAGTGGCTTTGTACCTTAGAGTGTTCAAGTTTGAGTGTGCATTGTGGACCTACATTTCCAGTAAATTTTGCCTAAATATTACCCAGAATGTGTTGGGAGTCAGCACATGACTTTATGTATTCACAGGGCATCAACCATTCCACCAAGATGTTTTCCACTTCCTAAGGGAAGAAAAGTTTTGGATGATGGAGACAGCAACCCAAAGAGAAGGGAATTCAGGTGAGAACTAAGCCTCTATGCATCCTTCTACGTGACTCTCCCACCTGTTATGCTTCTGTCCGTGCCCATTTGCATTGCTCTGATGTAAATGACCATATCTCTTTTCTGGATTATTATAACTGCCTTCCAGCTGGTGGCCCTGTTCCCACCCTTCCCACCGTAACATCTGTTCGCACGGCAGCCAAAGCGATCCTTAGGAAATGGAAGTCAGATCATCATTCCTCTCCTCAAAAGCTTTTATGGCTTCTTATTTTTATTAATGTTACAGCCTCTTTAAGTACATCTTAGAGACCTATGTGGTCTGCGCTTCATCCTGTTCCGCCTCTCTGACTACATATGTCCTTTCCGTCTTTCTCCATCATTTCCAGCGACATTTCTTCCTTGCCGTTTCTCTGTTCTGCCAAGGGCACTGTATTGCCTGTTGTGGTAACCATTGTCCACAAACTTAGTGGACTAAACAAAAATATTTATTAACTCTCTGTTCTTTAGGCCTGAAGTCTGATACATCTCACTGGGCAAAAAGCAAAGCGACCCTAAAGCTTCGTTCCTGTCTGGACGTTCTTGGAGGGAAAGCTTCACTTTGGTTTACCAGTGTCTAGGCACTGTCCAGACTCCCTGGCCCTTGTTTCACTTCTTCATCTTCAAAGGCAGCTACTTTGCATCTCTGACCGTTCTTCCATAATATCATTCCCTCTGCCACTCTTCTTAAGCCTCTGTCTTCTACCTTTCAGGTCCCTTGTGATAGTATTGGTCACTCCTGCCTAATCCAGGAGGATCTTCCTACCTTTTGCTTAGGTGACTAGTGACCTTAATGGCATCTGCCGTTTTAATCCCCCTTGCTGTATAACATAATAGGAAGGCTGACTGTATATTGCAGAACGTTTTTTTTGGCCTGCTGTTTGCTGCTTATCCAATTCTGACTTCCTTAGGTTCCTTTGACATGATTGGTTTTAGGTGTGTACAGTTGACCCACGTCCCATGGAAACTTCTAAGCATTGTTTTTTATGAACACACTGAGTAAGAGGCCTTCTCTGAGACTTACCCTGGAGGTTTCCATAGACAGCATATTTATATCTGGGAAGAAATTCCTTGTGAATGAGGATTTCCAGCTACATTTCCTTTGAAAGATTTACCCCCCTGCAGCCCATTTGCCTTTTCCAAAGTCAGTATGCACTTCACTGCCCCCAGGTTTCACCTTCTTCCTACTAGAAGGGGAAGAATGAGGGTGAGGGGACACAAGTCACAGAGCTGAATATTTACTCTATTTCTGGTCCTCTTTCTTCATAAATGTGATATATATTTCTGCATCTTTTTTTTTTTTTTTTTGAGATGGAGTTTTAGCTCTTGTTACCCAGGCTGGAGTGCAATGGCGTGATCTCGGCTCACCGCAACCTCCGCCTCCTGGGTTCAAGCAATTCTCCTGCCTCAGCCTCCTGAGTAGCTGGGATTACAGGCACGCGCCACCATGCCCAGCTAATTTTTTGTATTTTTAGTAGAGACAAGGTTTCACCATGTTGACCAGGATGGTCTCGATCTCTCGACCTCGTGATCCACCCGCCTCGGCCTCCCAAAGTGCTGGGATTACAGGCTTGAGCCACCGCGCCCGGCCTATTTCTGCATCTTTATGTCATACAAAAGCTACTTTGCATCACATATATGTGGTATATGCAGAAATATACGCCACATTCTTCCATAATCTCATGGATTATGTCAAACACATTAAAGGATATATATTTTTCACAATTTTTTCTTGATTTTTATAGAGATTTAGTGCTGCACTTTGAACTGGTAAACTTTCTGACCTAGTAGGAATTGGGAAACTGCCCTCTCAAATCAGAAACATCCTGAAGATTCTCCTTTCTCTTTAAGGCGTCTTATTTATTAAGTCACAGTGTATTAAATATATCCATGTACCACTGTGTTCCAGTAGGTATACACTTAACCTATTAATCAACCTTTGCAACTTAACTTTCCATTCAAAAAATTTACTTAATTCGGTACTTGGTATTATCCTGACAAATTGTTGAATGTTTTGTGTGCATGAGCCATAGTAAGAAGCACATCTTTCAATATAATCCAGACAAACATTTTTCAGGCCTATAGATGTGTATGAGTGACTCTAGTAGGTACTTTATGTAAGGACCACTTTCCTGCTTGTCATGATGCTGTGATAATTTACATTCTAGTTCTTTTTTGTAAATGTTTATTGTAGAGTTTAAATGTATTTCATAGCTCAGTAATGTGTAGTCTTCAATATAAAAAAGTTATAAAGTAACTATTTATCTGCATCATAGGCTTTCTTTTCATTCCAAGTGATTCTTTACATCTTTGATTGTCTGCTCAGGAGGATCCCCCTTTGAGGACCCCTGGAAGGACAGCCTTTCAGATTCCCCTCAGAACTGCAGTGGTCTGTCCCTGTACTCTTTCAGATAACCAAGTTATTGTCCATATCAAAACAGAAAAATAAGATTAAGTATTTTATATATGCTGTGCAAAATCCTTGTGCAGGAACACTTTGAATGTGTACATACAAACACTACGAGGTGTTTGATGTTTAACATTGTGAAGAGTTCAACCAACTACAAAATTTACTGAGATTTCATAGAGAACTGCTCTCACTTCACACCAAATTTGGGAGGTTTTCAAAACGACCTTCACATTAGGTAATTTTCTAAACTCTCAGAACTTACTGAATACTTCTATTCTCAGAGTGACTGATTTTTACAGGGAAAAGATATATATTATACTTAGAGAAAAAACAAGTAAGAGAGAGTCCAGATGCGAAGAACCAAATGAGGACCTTCTATTGTATTCTTCTGGTAGGGTAGGATGTGTCACATTCCCAGGATTAAGGTATGACTTAGACTCAAAGTACTACTGCCAGTCACAGAAACTCACCTGACTGCTGGGATCCAGAGTAATTATTAGGTCTCCATTATGGAACCATTATTTGTTGATTGATTTCTAGGTGATTAATCAGTCTCCTGGTCCACTAACTCTCTGTGACCTAAAACTCCACCTTAAATCACATTGATGTTATTTCTGACATGGAGAGGAGCATCTCTTACCTTCAATCCCCCAAAGAATCTGCCAGCCACAACTGTAAATTTATATTGTTTCACTATGCAGAGTGATCCGGTGTTTGCCCTCAAGGCATCCAGGACACTCTCCTTAGGTATGACACTTCAGGATCCTAGAGATTGGCTCTCAGATGCTGAGGACAAAGTCCCAACCTCTTTTTAGTTAGGTTAACTTTTTTTTTTTTTTTTGAGGCAGAGTCTTGCTCTGCCTCCCATGTTGTAGTGCAGTGGCATGATCTCAGTCTCAGCTCACTGCAACCTCTGCCTTCTAGGTTTAAGCAACTCTCTTACCTCAGCCTCCTAAGTAGCTAGAACTATAGGCATGTGCTATCACGCCTGGCTGATTCGTTTGTATTTTTAGCAGAGATGGGATTTCAAGGCCAGGCTGGTCTTGAACTCCTGACCTCAAGTGTTCTGCCCTCATTGCCCTCCCAAAGTGCTGGGATTACAGTGGGATTACAGGTGTGAGCCACTGCACCCAGCTTTTTTTTTTTTTTTTTTTTTGAGAAAGGGTCTCACTCTGTCACCCAAGGCTCACTGCAACTTTCACCTCCCAGGCTCAAGCAATCCTTCTACCTCAGCCTCCCTCGTAGCTGGGACTACAGGGGTGCAGCACTACGCCCAGCTAATTTTTTATTTTTAGGAAGGATGGGGTTTCACTATGTTGCCCAGGCTGATCTTGAACTCCTGGACTCAAGTGATCAGTCCCACAGTGCTGGGATTACAGGGTTGAGCCACCACACTTGGCCTAGGTTAACTTCTTTATAAGGATATACAGCATAAAGACAAATATACAAAGTATTGATGATGTTATTGCTTTTCCTTAAAGTTCCTTCATATTTCATTATGTACATACATTTTTAGTTTCATAATTTATAATGCAAGATTTTAGACTGACTAGGAAATTCATTAGAAATAGTAATAAGTTGGTTGGGTACGGTGGCTCTCACCTGTAATCCCAGCACTTTAGGAGGTTGAGGTGGGTGGATATCACCTGAGGTCAGAAGTCAGGAGTTTGAGACCAGACTGGCCAATGTAATGAAACCTTGTCTCTACTAAAAACACAAAAATTAGCCATGTGTGGTGGTGCACACCTGTAATCCCAGTTACTCGGGAGGCTGAGGTGGGAGAATCACTTGAACCCAGGAGGCGGAGGTTGCAGTGAGCCGAGATTGCACCACCATTGCACTCCAGCCTGGGTGACAGAGCAAGACCCCATCTCAAAAAAAAAGAAATAGTAACAAGTTAAATGTATGTATCATATTTTTAAATGAAGTCTATTATTTCTATCAAGGATTTTACATGTGAGACATGATGTTGTTCTGAATTGGCCTCATGCAAACCAGAAATTAGGGTGTACTTGGAAAACACAAACTGAACATTCTCTGTATTCATTAAAGTTTTATGTCATATCCTAACTGTGAAACCTTGAAAGCACTGAATAAAGTCTTTACCTGTACACATCTCTTAAATCTGTGTCCTTATAGGGGGCAAGATCCAAACTGAGTTGGAGTCTGTTCCAGAAGCAGGAACACATGAGGAGTGGTCCTGCCAGCAAATCTGGGAACAAACTACAAATGACTTAACCAGGTCTCAGGACTATATCATAAATAACTCTCAATTCTTTGAACATGGTGATTTCCCCTCCCAGGTTGAAGCAGAACTGCGCATAATTCCCACAGGACAGAAACCTTCCCAGGGTGGGAAGTTTAAACTATCCTTCAGTGATGTCTCCGTCTTTGATCTTCCTCAGCAATTACACACAGGAGAGAAGTCTCATACATGTGATGAGTGTGGAAGAAGCTTTTGTTACATCTCAGTTCTTCGTATTCATCAGAGAGTCCACACCGGAGAGAAACCATTCAAATGTGAGCAGTGTGGGAAAGGTTTCAGTCGTAGATCAGCACTTAATGTTCATCATAAATTACACACAGGAGAGAAACCTTACGTTTGTGAGGAATGTGGAAAGGCCTTCGTTCACGATTCCAAGCTTAAGGAACATAAGAGAATCCATACTGGGGAGAAGCCATTCAAATGTGATGTATGTGATAAGAGCTTCCATTTTAAGTCAAGACTTAAGAGCCATTCTATGGTTCACACAGGAGAAAAACCATTTAGGTGTGATACATGTGATAAGAGCTTTCATCAGAGATCAGCACTTAATAGGCATTGCATGGTCCACACAAGAGAGAAACCGTACAAATGTGAGCAGTGTGGAAAAGGCTTCATTGGTAGGCTAGATTTTTATAAGCATCAGGTGGTCCACACAGGAGAGAAACCATATAATTGTAAAGAATGTGGAAAGAGCTTCAGATGGTCCTCACGCCTTTTGAACCATCAGCGAGTTCACAGTGGAGAAAAACCCTTCAAATGTGAAGAATGTGGGAAGGAATTTTATACAAATTCACAACTATCCTCCCATCAGAGAGCCCACAATGGAGAAAAGCCATATAAATGTGAGGAGTGTGGGAAGGGCTACATTAGTAAGTTTAATCTTGACTTGCACAAGAGGGTCCACACGGGAGAGAGACCTTATAATTGTAAGGAATGTGGGAAGAGCTTTAGCCGGGCCTCAAGTATTTTGAATCATAAGAGACTCCACTGCCGTAAAAAACCATTCAAATGTGAGGACTGTGGAAAGAGGCTTGTACACAGGACATACCGTAAAGACCAACAGAGAGACCACAGTGGGGAAAACCCATCCAAATGTGAGGACTGTGGGAAACGCTACAAGAGACGCTTGAATCTGGATATACTTTTATCGTTATTTTTAAATGACACATGATTGTTAATATTAATGGGGTACATTGTGTTATTTTAATATGTGCATATAATTTATGATGAAATCAGTGTAATTGTTATATCTGTCACCTCATACATTTACCATTTCTTTGTTGGAAAATTCAAAGTCCATTTGAGAGGAATTGGTAGACAGCAAAGGAAGGGTCCGAGGAGAGCCCCTGCCGCACGGGTCAGTGCCTCGTCCCCACATAACATAAAAAGCAGCCTGGCAAGAAAATCAGGCTACAGGCACTGGTAAGGGAACCATCAAAGGGCCTTGTGCCTGGAAACATGCCCATGGCTGCACAGATAGAAGAACCTCTAGCCCACTCAGGTAAAAACTTGCACAAACCTCTGGCTCACTCAGTTAAGGGAACAAGGCCTGGCACAGAAATGCCTTTTCTCTTTGTATAATCATCAGGCTCCCAGGAAAGTTTCTTCTTTTGTGGGCATGAATACAGTGAGCTTGAATACAGTAGGCTTCAGTAGGTTCCGGTTGGCACCTTCCTTTGTGAAGAAGGAAAAGCCCAGCCTCTGTAAATCATTGGTTCAGCTCCTGATTGGTCTCAGGCCGAGTTGAATACCCTTATGAATCATCACTTCAGCTCCTGATTGTAAGAAGAGAAAGAATCTTACAGACTACGGTATGATTGGTCTCGGGCCAGGGTCCAGGACCAAGCTGAATCATGCTTTCTCCAAGACAGTCCACAGACTAGGCACATTCCTTCCCTTTCCCAGTCCATAAAAACCCCAGACCCTAGCCTCATAGTGGGCAACTTATTTGGGTCCCCATCTCCACTGTGGAGAGCTTTTTTCTTTCATTTATTAAACTTTCACTCCAGTTTCACCGTTGCTTCTGTGCTTTATTTTCTTGGATGTCAGATTAAGACTCCCGGTGAGCCGGGCGCGGTGGCTCAAGCCTGTAATCCCAGCACTTTGGGAGGCCAAGGCGGGTGCATCACGAGGTCGAGAGATCGAGACCATCCTGGTCAACATGGTGAAGCCCCGTCTCGACTAAAAATACAAAAAATCAGCTGGGTATGGTGGCGCGTGCCTGTAATCCCAGCTACTCAGGAGGCTGAGGCAGGAGAATTGCTTGAACCCAGGAGGCGGAGGTCGCGGTGAGCCAAGATGGCGCCATTGCACTCCAGCCTGGGTAAGAAGAGTGAAACTCCGTCTCAAAAAAACAAAGACTCCCGGTGATACCTCGCAAGAGAGACTGCTACGGTGTGATCCATTTGTGAGATTACAACACATTTTTAGCAATTTGTAAATAATCAAATGTTGACGATAGTCACCTTTAGTGCTGCACAACGGTAAAATGTATTCTTCCTGTCTACCTCTACTTTTGTATCTCTTAGCCAGCCTTTGGCCATTTCACCTATCTCCTACACGTCCTTGCCTCTACACTCACTGTTCTACTCTCTACTATGAAATCAGCTTTTTTGGTTTCCACATGTGAGTGAAGACAGTCAGTATTTCTCTTTCTTTGCTCGGCTTGTATTACTTAACAGTGTCCTGCAAAACTCATCCATGTTACCACAGATTACAAAATTTTGTTTGCTTGTTAGGTCTAAAGAGGATTCCATTGTGTATATATGCCACCTTTTCTTCGTTGATGTATTGATGGACATTTAGGTAGATTCCGTATCTTGGCTATTGTGAGTAGTACTGCAATGAACAGAAAGCAGATATCTCCTTGACATACTGACTTCCTTTCCTTTGGATATAAGCCAGTAGTGGGATTGCTGCATCACTTGAATCTTAATGCCTTAGAAGCTCCCCATAGGAAAGAAACTATGCGAGTGTGGAGGGTGGTGGTATGTGCTTCATTCAGGCCTCAAGTCTTCAACTTCAGAGTGTCCACATTGCAGAGAAACGTGAGTAATGTGTGTAATAAAGTCTTTGCTCAGTTTTCACAACTACACTCTCACCTAAGCATTCACAAAGGGGAGAAACATTATGAGGCGGTTCCCTTTGAGTTCATATCTTGTAACTTATCACAGAATCCATGATGATGATACATTTCATTCAGTACTGTAGGAGAAAAAAACGTGTTTTAAGTTAAAGCTTGTTTCAGCCATAGTTCAGCATACCCCAGTGGTCGGTCCTGGGACTGTCATAGTGGAGAATCCTTGCAAATTGTGCAGTAGGCTTCAAACAAAAATTTGACAGTTACAGTTATTCAGGAAACAGGCCTTAGAATAAGAGTTTGTTCATGCATTTATAAAATTTGAATCATGACCACATCAAAGTTGATTACCACTAGAATGTCAGCTACATGTGTTTTCTGCTGCATCTTCACAACTTTAACACTTTGTGTTCACTATGGGTTAAGTGAATCAAAAGGAACAAACATGTTTTTAAGTGTATCTAAGACAGTAAATCTACAAATGTTAATTCAAGGACACCTTAGTTGAAATGCAGAGTACTGCAGTTCATAGCATTATTTTATTTATTTATTTGTTCGTTTTTGAGACAGAGTCTCGCTGACTGATTGGAGTGCAGTGGCACGATCTCGGCTCATTGCAACCTCTGCCTTCCAGGTTGAAGCGATTCTCTCACCTCAGCCTCCCAAGTAGCTGAGACTATGCACCACCATGCCTGGCTAATTTTTCTATTTTTAGTAGAGATCAGGTTTCCCCATATTGGCCAGGCTGGTCTCAAACTCCTGACCTTGTGATCTACCCGCCTCAGTCTCTCAAAGTGCTGGGATTACAGGTGTGAGCCACCACACCTGGCCCACAGCATTATTTTTATAATATCCATTCCCAATTGGTTCCTGCCTTCCCCTCCTCCTCTATTCTGAAGTTGTATTCCTAGCATTTGTGGCTTTCTGTAGTGTTCCATTGGTTGAATACAATATAAATTCAACAATAATTTGTAATTTTTCTCATACTAAAGGCTGAAAACATTGTAATAAATTCAGTAAAACCTCTTAATTCAAATGTTTAATACCATAAACATCTTTTCCAATTATAATCACAAAAGCTGAAATTCAATCACGTCATGAAAAATGGAAAATTCCTAAATATGTGGAAACTAAACACACTCCTAAATAAATAATATGTCAGAGTAAATTAGAAGTGAAATTAGGAAATGCCTGGAGACAACTGAAAATTGAAACGATGGCCAAACTTACAGAATGAGGCAAAACAGTCGTAGGAGGGAAATTTATACCTGTAAATGCTTTAAAAAGAAGAAAAGATCTGACATCCACAACCTAAGTTTATTTTCATGAACTAGAAAAAGAAAGAATCTTACAAAAAGTGACTAGGAGGGAAATAAGAAAGAAAAAAGATCTGACATCCACAACCTAAGTTTATTTTCATGAACTAGAAGAAGAGAATCTTACAGAAAGTGACTAGGAGAGAAATATTAAAGATCAAAGTATAATAAATAAAAAAGAGAAGAAGAAAACGAAGAAAAAAACAAACCAAGAGGTGGTTATTCTGAAAGACTAATAAAATTGCGAAAACATTAGCAGGACTGACTAAAAAACAAAGACCCAAGTAACTAAAATCAGAAACAAAAGTGGGGGCATTATTACCAATGTTTACAGCAGTGAGCCACAGCACCTGGCTTGATTTTTATATTGTGTAAGTAAGTAAGGGGACCAGTTTCAATCTTCTGCATATGGTTAGCCAGTTATCCCAGCAGCACTTATTGAATAGGGAGCCCTTTCCCTATTGTTTGTTTTTGTCACTATCATCAGTGATATGGTTTGGCTGTGTCCCCACCCAAATCTCAACTTGAATTGTATTTCCCAGAATTCCCATGTGTTGTGGGAGAGACCGCACAGAAAGTCAGAATTATTAATTAAAAGGGAAGCAGAACTAAGAATTTAAAAATTCACAGCCTATCTACTTTGGAAAATTTAGGAAACCTGTTCTTGATAACACAAGGATAGAGATAAGCAACCAATTTATGAGATTAGTTTGGATTGGTTATGTCAGCTGAAGCCAGGACCTGTTGTCCAAGACACATTGGGGAAGAATGACCCCAAAGGCATCTCAGAGATCATAGAGGCTGCCCCTGCCATCACAGACTCAGAGAGCAAGGACCTGGAGAACAGAAGGGACCTTTGATGCCAAGTACCCCTAACCTCTTGGGCTCAGTTCCCTGCATGCTATGATTGTGTCAATACATTTTCTCTTTTGGGAAAGCAGAGTACAAGGATCCAGCTATAACTGGCATATGAATAGTGATCACTCAACTTTCGGAGAATGGGTGTTGGCATCATAAGGTCGGCACATTCACCTTATTTTTGTGTCTAAACAAAATTATGAAAAGTTTTTAGTTTAGAAAAATAGATTAAAACAACAGACTCCATTTAAAAAAAAAAAGAATATTGGTTTATAGGCCAATGTATCTTTATCGGGAGAAAAAAATCAGGTTACCTTCAAAAGAGTAGGTTTTTAGATGAATTGTTTCCTAATTTAGCTTTATACTATTAACTATTTTCAACCAACCAATGGCAGTTTTCAAATTGCTAACTATAATAAATTATATTTTACCAAGAAATAGAAACTTTAAAAAAAATTTTTTTTTTAAATGAGGTAGCTGTTACCCGGGCTGGAGTGCAGTGGCGGCATCACAGAACACTGCAGCCTCAATCAAACTCCTGGGCTCCAGTGATCTTCCCACCTCAGCCTCCTGAGTACTTGGGACTACAAGATAAGGCCACCACACCTGATCATTAAAAAAAAAAATTTTATTGAGATGAAGTCTCCCCGTATTGCCGTGGCTGGTCTCGAATTCCTGGACTCAAGGGAATGTCCTGCCCTGGCTTCCCAAAGGGCTGGCATGACAGGTGTGAGCCACTGCGCTCAGCCAGGAAGAAACTTTTTTTTTTTTTTTTGAGACGGAGGGGCTGGTGTCTTCCTGCTCCTCATGGCTCATTGCTCCTTCCAAACCATTCTACCTGTTTTTTTTTTTTTTTTCCTGGTTTGTTTTTTTTTTCTACCCCCGGATACGGAGTCTCGGATTGTCGCCCAGGCTGGAGGGCAGTGGTGTGGTCTTGGCCCACTGCAGCCTCCGCTTCCCAGGTTGAAACGATTCTCTTTGCTTTAGCCTCCCAAGTAGCTGGGATTACAGGCGTCAGCCACCACGCCCGGCTAATTTTTATTTTATATTTTTAGTAGAGACGGGGTTTCAGTATGTTGGCCAGTTTGGTCTTGAACTCCTGACCTCATGATCCGCCTGCCTCGGTCTCCCAAAGTGCTGGGATTACAGGCGTGAGCCACCGCGCCCGGCCCTGGCTCTTTTCTTTAAACTCTTAACCTCCCATTGTCAGGTTATCCTAATCCTTGAAGATTGTATCCCCTCTTTTGTTCTCTTCCCAATAACACTGCTGTCATCGTGGGAGGCAAACGCCGTCTATCCAGTATTTTCGCTCAAAGACTCAGGGAGAGGACGACTCACAGGGTCACAGGCCACATTCTCCACCAGGCGCTCAGAGATATGGGATACGTTCCCGGTGGCCATTGCGGTGTGTGTAGTCAACGACCACCGCGGAGTTCAACGCTTCCCCCTGAAGGGTGAGATTATAGACATTTTCCTTTCTCAATTGAGGAAGTGGAGTCTCGACACACTGAGTCGCGGGCAAGGAGGCTCAGGTGGGTGGACCAGTGAATTCTAGGACATGCAATCCATCAACTCCATGGAGTGGCGGACCCTTTGGCACCAGCCGTTGAACCGGGGAATTCTGGGAAATGAAGTCCGGACGCTCTGTGAAGGTGCGAGCACTTCCGGTCTGTGAGCGTGTGGTTGCTACTTTCCTTAACCGCGTAGTTTGAGCCATTTCTGCGTCTGGCTGATACTTCCGGACTTTTTACCTTTCCTTAGGGTTGCAACGACCAAGCAAGGGAAAAGGAGCCTTGGCGGAGAGCGGAGGTTTGAAGGAGCGGGGAATGGGCTTTTGTTGCAGTCCGCGGAGCCTTCTGGCATGGGGGAGCTGTGCTTGCGTCCCGAGGGGTGGAATTGGCGGGGTCCTCTGTGTCCCGCTCTGAGCATTTCCAGGACTTTGACCTCTCAGCCTGCCTCCCTCCACCTCACGTGTGCGACCTCTTTCTGGCCGTGTGACGAGTGTTACACAATGTCCTTATTCCTTCCATTGCAGTTTTTAGTAATGGGGACATTAGAACCATCCTAGTAGAATCGTTTTGGGGAACTGAAAGAGGTAACGCAAATGAGAACCTTAAAGCAATGCCTGCCACTTGGTGACTGGTGGTCTTTTGTTAACTTCTCCGAAGCGGTCGGGTCCCCGGGTAGGGTCATAGCTTCTTGCAGGACGCTGGATGATCCCGGGACGCCTTCTGACCTCATTTTAGGAAAGCGAGAGTTGAGTCCGCCTTCCGGGAAGGAAGGGGAGCATTAAACATTTATGGGGGACTCGAGATGCAGTCAGTGTGTTTCACAGCTTTCGCCTGCCCCAGCCTGACTTTTCCAATAGAGTCGCTTGGCTACTGAGGGCAAATGTCTTTGAGTGGTCCTTGGCTTTTTTCTTTTACAGAGATATTTACCTCAACCGAGAGTGTGTAGGTGTGCCCTCGGGCATGGGTGTTGATAATCATGAAGCGGAATCGGTAACTTCATTCTAAGTGCTTTATACAAATAAATTTAGGCCACACCCAACTAGTGAGAGGTGGAGCTGGGGTTGCAAGCTAGGCAGTCCAGGTCAGAGCCTGAGCTGATGTTCTGTTTTTGTTTGTTTGTTTGTTTGTTTGTGATGGAGTTTCGCTCTTGTTACCCAGGCTGGAGTGCAATGGCGCAATCTCAGCTCACCGCAACCTCCACCTCCTGGGTTCAGGCAATTCTGCCTCAGCCTCCTGAGTAGCTGGGGTTACAGGCACGCGCCACCATGCCCAGCTAATTTTTTGTATTTTTTTTTTTTTTTTTTTTTTTGAGACGGAGTTTCGCTCTTGTTACCCAGGCTGGAGTGCAATGGCGCGGTCTCGGCTCACCGCAACCTCCGCCTCCTGGGCTCAGGCAATTCTCCTGCCTCAGCCTCCTAAGTAGCTGGGATTACAGGCACGCGCCACCATGCCCAGCTAATGTTTTGTATTTTTAGTAGAGACGGGGTTTCACCATGTTGACCAGGATGGTCTCGATCTCTCGACCTCGTGATCCACCCGCCTCGGCCTCCCAAAGTGCTGGGATTACAGGCTTGAGCCACCGCGCCCGGCCCTAATTTTTTGTATTTTTAGTTGAGACGGGGTTTCACCATGTTGACCAGGATGGTCTCGATCTCTCGACCTCGTGATCCACCCGCCTTGGCCTCCCAAAGTGCTGGGATTACAGGCTTGAGCCACCGTGCCCGGCCGCATGTTTTTTACATTCTCTTTGAAGCAGAGGAACTAGCTACGACTCAGGTGGGGAAAGCAAGTTAGGACATGACTGAAGGGACCTTGAGTATAAGGCTCATGGGCTTGGACTTCTAGGAATTAAAAAAAAAATTCTCAACTATTTTGTTTCACTTTTTACAAGTATTTTGTATTGTTGTGGAATTATGTCATTGTGGCGCAGTCTGAAACGAGAGAAACAGGAGTAGAAAAAGTGTTTTATTAATTACCCATGAATCCAAGATGTAAAGATATAACCTGTCCCAGGTTATATGCCTCAAGGGCAACATGACTTACTGGGCAGTTCCTCCCTAACTCAAGATATTATCTTTTATGGATTGGACTAGAACCAGTGCTAAGCTTCTGATTGCTTTTTTAGTCTGTCTTTGTGTCTATGTATATATTTGTTTATAAACATTTAAATAAAATTGTTATATTTTAATGTGTTTTCCCATGTGTCTTTAACCGTAGAAAATTTTAAATACTGCCAACAGAAAATAAACTAGTGAGGCCGGGTGCAGTGGCTTATGCCTATAATCCCAGCACTTTGGGAGGCGAAGAAAGGAGGCTCACTTGAGATCAGGAGTTTGAGACCAGCCTGCCCAACATGGTGAAACCCCATCTCTACTAAAAATATAAAAATTAGTCAGGCATGGTGGCACATGTCTGTAGTCCCAGCTACTGAGGAGGCTGAGGAAGGAGAATTGCTTAAACCTGGGAAGTGGAGAGGCTGAGGAAGGAGAATTGCTTAAACCTGCAGTGAGCTGAGATCACACCACTGCACTCCAGCCTGGGCAACAGAGTGAGATTTAAAAAAAAGAAAAGAAACTAGTGAACTGCTATATTATATAATGCTCAGTTTTATTATTCCCATTATTATCCTTATGACTATTTCCTGATTTAAAATATTTTAATTTTTATTTAAAAATTAAAATATTTTAATTTTTATTTATTTATTTTTTTTGAGACGGAGTTTCGCTCTTGTTACCCAGGCTGGAGTGCAATGGCGCGATCTCGGCTCACTGCAACCTCCGCCTCCTGGGTTCAGGCAGTTCTCCTGCCTCAGCCTCCTGAGTAGCTGGGATTACAGGCACGTGCCACCATGCCCAGCTAATTTTTTGTATTTTTAGTAGAGATGGGGTTTCACCATGTTGACCAGGATGGTCTCGATCTCTTGACCTTATGATCCACCCGCCTCAGCCTCCCAAAGTGCTGGGATTACAGGCTTGAGCCACCGCGCCCGGCTTATTTTAATTTTTATATGATTTTAAAGCTATAGAAAAGTTGCAAAAATAGTTTAAGGAATTCTCATATACTCTATCCAGATTTGCCAGTTGTTTACATTTTTCCTGGTTTCTTTGTTGATGAACGTCAGCCAAATACCACCAGGAACATAACTAACCAAAGACAGCTAATTATAGCTTTCTATAGCAAGGAAGTCCACATACATGGTAAATGTGGGGTGTTTTGGTAAGAGGCATTTAGGAAGGGATGGTATAGGGTTTCAAATAACATGCTAGATAATAATAGATATTAAAAATTTTGTTATCTATTGCTTATCAGATCTGTTAAAAGACTGCTAGTAGTTGTGTTACTCATTAGATAGTGATTTTGGCTCACTGAAACCTCCTCATGGGTTCAAGCAATTCTTCAGCCTTAGCCTCCCAAGTAGCTGGGACTACAGGTACATGCCACCACACCCAACTAATTTTTGTATTTTTAGAAGAGACAGGGTTTCCCCGTGTTGGCCAGACTGTCTTGAACCCGTGGTCTCAAGTGATTCAAAGTGCTTTGGTCTCCCAAACTGCTGGGATTACAGGCGTGAGGCACCATGCCCAGCTGGTGTTTACTTTTTAAATAGTCAAGTTATTTTGGAGAAAGATTTCATTGATACATTTCATGTTTAGTTTCAGATTATGTATTGTTGGTGAGGATATCATACAAGTGATGAGGTTTCGTCTTTATTGCAACATAACAAGGTTCACATGATGTTGGTTTGTCAGTTCACTGGCAATTTCCAGTATGTTCACTTGGCCTAGATGATGTTTTTCAGATTTGTCCACTATACAGTTACCTTTTGTTTTTTTTTAAATAAAGTTTTTTTATTGGAAGATATGTTATTGGTGAGCATTCTACTAAAGATGAGCTGCTAGTTCTCTTCATTTGTTCATTTGCTTGTTCAACTCTAAGTATTCCAACAATAGGGACTCAGAATTCAGTCTTATTAAGGTAAATGACATGTGGATTAACAATTATTTTTTTCAACACTATTGAGGTATGTTTACTTTTTTTTTTTTTTAATTGAGACAGAGTTTCGCTCTTGTTACCCAGGCTGGAGTGCAATGGCGCGATCTCGGCTCACCGCAACCTCCGACTCCTGGGTTCAAGCAATTCTTCTGCCTCAGCCTCCTGAGTAGCTGGGACTACAGGCATGCACCACCATGCCCAGCTAATTTTTATATTTTTAGTAGAGACTGGGTTTCACCATGTTGACGACGATGGTCTCGATCTCTTGACCTCGTGATCCACCCGGCTCGACCTCCCAAAGTGCTGGGATTACAGGCTTGAGCCACCGGGCCTGGCCTATTGAGGTATATTTAACTTATGATAGCATTCACTCATTTCAGGAGTACAGTGTTCTTTAGGAACTTTGTAAAGTGGAGTAACCGTCATCATAATTCAGTTTAGTTATTTTTCACCCCCAGTTGGACTCTTCATGCCTGTTTATAATTAAATAGGCATGAAGAGTCCAACCCCAAATCCAGAGCAACCACTAACCTACTTTTTCTCTTATGTGTACATTTGCCTCTATGGACATTTCACGTAAGTGGAATCATACAATCCATGGATTTTTGTGACTGGCTTCTTTCTCTTAGTCTGTTTCCAAGGTTCATGCATGTCATATAATGAATTGCTACTTCATTTCCTTTAATTTCCAAATTAGATTCCGTTATATGGATATGCCATGATTTTTCTATCCATTTACCCAGAGAAAGGCATTTTGGTTGTGTGCACTTTTTGGGTTAGTATGAATAATGCTGCTGTGATCATTCATATGCTAATTCACATGTCCACATTGCTACACAGCATCCCCAGCCACCATTTCATGTTTCCCTTTTTGCTGTCTGGCATTTTCCAGGCATGATTCCACCTTCCTTCGTGCTCCATCACTCAGGACTCCGAAGATTCCAAAAAGTAGAAGGAAAGATGACCACATTCAAAGTGAGTAGAGCTTGCCTCTCTTGCTATTAAAATTCCTTTTTATTTCTCATATTGTGATATATTTTTCTCTGTTTTGGGAAGACTCAAGGAGGAAACGGGCATTTGGGGACCTGCTATGTGCCAGTTGCTTCCTTTGTCTCTTTTTTGTTGACTTTGCATTTGGTTTTTGGTTTGGGCTTTGTTTTGTTTTTTACTGTTATATTATGGAGTAGAAAAATTAGTTGAAATAAACAGTGTTCCCACTTACCTCCTTACTCTCAAATTAGCCTGTTTTTCTTCTTGTGCTGTTCCTCATGTACATTCATAATTGTATTTTTATTGATGATGGAGTTCCTTATGTGAAGGGTGCTCTATATACCAAGATAACATGTCCTTCTCGTTTTCTTCATACCTGTCCATCAGATAGTGAGTCCCCCATTCTGTGGAGGCTCACATCACATGTGTTGGTTCCATCCCTCTTAGATGTGCCAGGGATCTTCTGACCCACTTCCTGAGTCCTCTGGCCCCAGGAATGAGCTATTATTTAAGATGTCTCAATCAGCGGATCACATGCCAGCTCCTGTGTTTTCATATTCTGTCCTTCCTGTCTCAATCCATGTGGCCAGCTCACATCCGTGGAGGGGTAGCTTGTGTCCCATTTATCACTCTGTCTTGCTTATAAATATCCAGCTGTTGTCCAGACCGTGTCCCCAGGCTGCCATCCCTGCACTGGGCCACTTGCCTGGGATATAAGTACTCCCCCTTTGCCAGTCCAGAGTTGTGTCAAATTGGACCCTGCTGGCTGCACCAATTCTGTGAAACAGGTTCACTAGTTACAGACTTATTGCGTCTACCATGACAGAACACACTCATAGATGACAAATTACATAAAGCAGATTTATTATATGTAGGTTACAAGGGACAACAGAAGCCTATCCACTGTAAGCCAGTACCCCAAGGCTCAAGAAGGCTGCCTAGAGTGGGTGGAGTCAGGATTGCACACGCCCCATTTGCACCATAGCCTCCCCAGTAGCTGGGATTACAGGTACCCACCACCACGCCCATCTAATTTTTGTATTGATAGTAGAGATGGGGGTTTTACCAGGTTGGCCAGTCTCGTCTTGAACTTCTGACCTCAGGTGATCCACCTGCCTCGGCCTCCCAAAGTGTTGGGATTACAAGTGTGAGCCACCACACCTGGCCAAGTGTACTATTTCAGAGCTTTGTCTCTTCTCAAATGGAGGCTGCCCAACTTTACTGGTAGGGTTGGGCATTTAAGAGTTTTAGAGGGTTAGGACCAGGAGCAGTGGCTCAAGCCTGTAATCCCAGCACTTTGGGAGGCTGAGGCGGGTGGATCACGAGGTCAAGAGATCAAGACCATCTTGGCCAACATGGTGAAACCCCGTCTCTACTAAAAATACAGAAAATTAGCTGGGTATGGTGGCGTGTGCCTGTAATCCCAGCTACTCAGGAGGCTGAGGCAGGAGAATTGCCTAAACCCAGGAGGCGGAGGTTGCGGTGAGCCGAGATCACGCCATTGCACTCCAGCCTGAGTAACAAGAGCGAAACTCCGTCTCAAAAAAAAAAAAAAGAGTTTTAGAGGGTTACTTACAAGATGTTATCTTCCCGAGGAAGGACATGTACAAAAGGGCCCAGGTGAGAATGGGCAGTTTATGTCACATGTGTACTCCAGTGATAAGATGCACTGTCCCCATCAGTGCCCAATAGCAAGCAAAGAATTGCCATTTATACAAGCATTTCTTGTGGCTGCCTTAGGCAACATATCCAAAATTTCAGAGGCTGGTGCACCTCAGTATCAATGTTTTGTTTTCACAGACCCTAGTCAGTATACATGCAAGATGTGAACCTCGTACCTTCATTGGACTAACATTTCCCTCTTGATGGGAATGGCAAGGACCTAGAGACCTGGCTCCATCCCTAATTGTGCTGTTCTTTTGGGGATAGAAAAATCTGTCCTCCCTCACCAGCAATCCGGGATAGCCAGGATAGCATGTCCTCATGGTATTGCCCATACCTGTCCTTCAGATCATGAGTCTCTCTGTATAGAAGCCCACATCATGCTGATTGGCTTCCTTCTTCTTAGCTGCCTCAGAGAACCCACTTCACCCACTTCCAGGGCCCTCTGGCCCCAGAAATGTGCAGTTACATAAAAGCCTCACTCTCAGTACATTACATGCCATGTTCCCCTGCTTTCATTTGACATCCTCTCTTTCTGAATCCATGCGGCCAGCTCAAACCTGTGAGAACAACTGCTACTACCATATCTTGCTACATTTTCGTTAACTCATGGGCTGTTGCCAGCAGTCCAGAGGGGTGACCTGTGCCCCACTAATCACTGTTTTTCTGGTAAACCATCCAGCTACTTTTCAGCTCCTGTGACCCCAAGCTGACATTACTGCCCTGGGCCACAAGCTAGGGGCATTACTGCTTCGCCTTTGCTAATGCATGGTTCTGTCAGACCAGACCCTGCTGTGCCAATTCTGTGGAGCAGGTTCACTGGTTACCAACTTATGTAAGTTCAGTGGAAGGGTACACTCCATACATGACTAATTACATGAAACAGATTTATTACTTACAGGTAGGCAGCAAGGAAAGACAAAAGCCTGCAGTTCCCTGTGAGCCAGTCCCCCAAGGCTCAGGAAAGCTGCCTGGGGTGGGTAGAGTCTGAATTGCATGTGCCCCATTTGCACTGCAGCAGAGGCACCCCAAAAGGCAATCTGTCTTGGATTATATGCCTAAAGGGCAAAGTAATTTACTGCAAAGTTCCTCCTTAATTTGAGATGTTATCTTCCCTAGGAAGGACATGTACGTTGCATTTATAGCACATTCTATGGTTATCATTGAGACCTATTAGCAAGAAAGTGGAGAGAGTCAATCTAAGGTCATACTGAAAATTGCCCAGTTACCCAAAACTTGTTTGTTGGGCAAATATTAAAGAAAAGTGGTAGCATCCAGGGTTAGACTAAGAGAGAACAATGAGTATTATCAAACTAGGTTGTGACTGAATTACAAAATGTTGCTGGGGTCATAGGCAAGATTCATTGAAACCTGTATATGTGTAACCTAGGACGCAGCATTTAAGAGTTTTAGAGGGTTACTTACAAGTGGACTCAATGAGTGCACAAAGAAAAAATACAGGTCTTCATTTTCTTTTCTTTCTTTCCTTCCTTCCTTCCTGCTTGCTTGCTTTCTTCCTTCCTTGCTTCTTTCCTTCCTGCCTTCCTTCATATTTTCTTTCTTTCTTCCTTTCTTCCTTCTTTCCTTCCTGCTTTCTCCCTTCCCTCCCCTCCCCTTCCCTTCCCTTCCCTCCTTCCTTTCCTTTCCTTCTTTCTTTTCTTTCTTTCCCTCCCTTCCTTTGTTCCTTTCTTCCTTTCCTTTCCTTCCTCCCCTTTCCCTTCTTTTCCCTTCCTTTTCCTTCCTTTCACTTCGCTTCCCTCCCCTCCCCCTTTCCCTTTCCCTTCTCCTCCCTCTTCCCCCCTCCCCTCCCCCTTCCCCTCTCCTTTTCCCCTTCCCTCTCCCCTCCTCTCTCCCTTTCCTTCCCTCCCTCCCTCTTTTTCTCTCTTTCTTTTCCTCTTTCTTCTTTCTTTCTTCTTTTTTAGACAGAGTTTCACTCTTGTCCCCCAGGCTGGAGTGCAGTGGTACAATCTTGGCTCACTGCAACCTCCACCTCCTGGGTTCAAGCGATTCTCCTGCCTCAGCCTTATTTTCATCATTTAATTTCTGGTGGAGCTCAGGAAAATCAGTCATTATCAGGACACAAACAGAATAAGTAGGAAATCTGTAAGTTGATCTATGTCTCTCAAGATGTAAAACAACTTTACACTTGTCTCTCACACCAGCACAATGCTACTGTCTCCCAACAGTCCTTGGCTGTATGATCGAGGTGACATCTGCTTGATGTTGTAGGAGGCAGTGACCTTCAAGGACGTGGCTGTGGTCTTCACTGAGGAGGAGCTGGAACTGATGGACCCTGCCCAGCGGAAGCTCTACCGAGATGTGATGCTGGAGAACTTCAGGAGCCTGCTCTCAGTAGGTGAGGACAGGCACCCTCTTTAATGGAATGCCAGGCCCCAGGAGTGGTTTTTTATCTTAGGGTATTCAAGTTTGAGTGTGCCATGGGAACCTGAATTTCCAGTAAATTTTGCTTAGCTATTAGGTTGGTACAAAAGTAATTGTGGTTTTTGCCATTGAAAGTAATGGTGCACCACAGTTACTCTTGCACCAACATGATACTACCTCGAACGTGTTGGGATTAAGCATGTGACTTTGCCTGTTCACAGGGCATCAGCCATTGCAAGGAGATACTTTCTACTTCCTACAGGAAGAAAAGTTTTGGATGATGGAGACAAGAAGCCAGAGAGAAGGGAATTCAGGTAAGAACCAGGCAACTGTGTGTCCTTGCATGTGATTCTCCCATTTGTTTTACTTCTGTCCATGCCCATTTCTAGCATTTTGGGGTAAATGGCCGAACCTGTTTTCTGGATTATTACAACCTCCTCCCTGCTGGTGCCCCGCTTCCACCCTTCCTGCCATCCATTCTCACGGTAGCCAAAGTTCTCCTTAGGAAATGGAAGTCACGTTGCCATTCCTCAGCTCAAAAACCTCTCTGGCTTCTTGTTTTTATTAGTGTTACCACCTTTTTTTTTTTTTTTTTTTTTGAGACAGAGTCTCTCTCTGTCGCCAGGTGCCAGGCTGGAGTGCAGTGGCATGATCTCGGCTCACTGCAACCTCCGCCTCCTGGGTTCAAGCAATTCTCCTGCCTCAGTCTCCTGAGTAGGTGAGACTACAGGCGCATGCCACCACACCTAGCTAATTTTTGTGGTTTTTAGTAGAGACGGGGTTTCACCATGTTGGCCAGGCTGGTCTCCATCTCTTGACCTCGTGATCTGCCTGCCTCGGCCTCCCAAAATGCTGGGTGAGCCACCATGTGAACTACTGGGCCCGGCCGTTACAACCTCTTTAAGTGGCTTTTGCAGACGGTCTGATCTGCTCTTCATCCCACGCTGCCTGACTGCCTCTCCTGTCCTCTCCCCCTTGCTCCATCTTTTCCAGGCACGTTGTCCTCCCTGCGGTTTCTCCATCCTGCCAAGGACACTGTATTGCCAGTTGTGACCAGTGAAGTAAAACTTAGCAGACTGAACAAGAAACACTTACCTTTCTCTTCTGTAGGCCTGAAGTCTGACACATCGGACTGGGCAAAAATCAAGCTGTCTTAGGGCTTTGTTCCTTTCTGGATGTTCATGGGGAGAAGCCTTCATTTTGGTTTATCAGTCTCTAGGCACTGGCTACACTCGTTGGCTCTTGTTTCCCTTCCTCCATCTTCAAAGGCAGCAACGTTGCATCCCTGACCATTCTTCTATAGTCATGCTCCCTCTGCCACTCTTCTCATGCCTTCCACTTTGACCTTTTGGGTCCCTTATGAGAGTATTCATCACTCCTGGGATGATTCAGGATGACCCTTCCACTTTCTGCTTAGCTGACTAATGACTAGTGACCTCAGTGGCATCTGTAGTGTAATCGCCCTTGCTGTGTAATGTAACATGTTCACAGGTTTTGAGGACTGGATGTCGACATCATTCAGGAATGATTATCTACTACAAAAGCTTACGCCTCCAGGCCCTCACTTGCTCTTCTCTCTGATTGGAATATACTATCCCACAAAACTTAGACCCCTCCTTTAGTTTATGCAGTGCTTTGCTCAGTTTTATTATCATAGGAGAGGTCATCTCCTATTATCATAGGAGAGGTTTCTTGTTCAGTCTGCACTTCATTGAAAATAGTATCCTGTCTTTACTATTCTTGGCCTGCATGTGTTGCGTCTCATGTAGTTTTGTCTAGTAATAGATTGCTTCTCCCCTTTGCAGTGTAATCTCCAGAAGGCATTTATCTGTTTCTTTGTGACTGCGTCTTCAGCACCTAGAATACTCTTGGTACATGGCAGGTATCTGTAAATATTTAGTATTCTTATGAATGAATTAATAGATGAGAGGACTTGACTGTAAGAATCATGGAGATAGCTAATAAGCGACAGACATACCAGAATGAATGTTACATAGTCATGCCTTGGTAGCCATGGGGTTTGAGTCCAGGACCAACTTGTGGATACCAAAAGCCACGGATGCTCACATCTCTTACACATGTGAAGTATTTGTATATACCCTATGCACATCCTCTCGTATACTTCACGTCATGTCTAGATTAGGTATAATACCAAATGCAATGCCTGCCCGTCACTTTATTCACATGGATTCAATGTATACGGGTCAGAGTGTGAGACCTTCAAGTTTTGCTTTACGGAACTTTGTGGATTTTTTTTACCAAGTTTTTTTTTTTTTTTTTGAGATGGAGTTTCACTCTTGTTACCCAGGCTGGAGTGCAATGGCGCGATCTCGGCTCACCGCAACCTCCGCCTCCTGGGTTCAGGCAATTCTCCTGCCTCAGCCTCCTGAGTAGCTGGGATTACAGGCACGAGCCACCATGCCCAGCTAATTTTTTTTTTTTTTTGTATTTTTAGTAGAGATGGGGTTTCACCATGTTGACCAGGATGGTCTCGATCTCTCGACCTCGTGATCCACCCACCTCGACCTCCCAAAGTACCAAGTATTTTTGCCAAATACTTTTGATGTTGGTTGAATCCATGTATGCTGAACCCACAGTTATGGAGGCTGGCTGTAGGTTGCAGGACAGCTTTGGTTTGTTTTGTTTTTTTTGGTGTTTTTTTTGTTTTTTTTTGCGATGGAGTTTTACTCTTGTTGCCCAGGCGTGAGTGCAATGGTGCGATCTCAGCTCACTGCAACCTCTGCCTCCTGAGTTCAAGCGATTCTCCTCTCTCAGCCTCCCAAGTAGCTGGGATTACAGGCCCATGCCACCATGCCTGGCTAATTTTTATATTTTTAGTAGAGACGGAATTTCATCACAATGGCAGGGTGGTCTTGAACTCTTGACCTCAGGTGATCCACCCATCTCAGCCTCCCAAAGTGCTGGGATTACAGGCGTGAGCCACCGTGCCCAGCCAGGACACTTTTTTTTAGGTTCCCTTGACATGATTAGCTTTCTGTGTGTGCAGTTGACCCATATCCCATGGAAACTTCCAGGCATTGTTTTCATGACCACACTGAGAAACATGCCTTCCCTGGGGCTGACCCTGGAGCTTTCCTTAAGGACCATGTTTATATGTCTGTGAGAAATTCTTTATATCTGTGAGCTAAATGTTTCTTATATTTCCGCATGTTTTTCTTCAAACTTTGTGGTGTCTTATTTCTGCATCTTTATACAAATTTAATTGTCAGAAATGTGAAGGAATATAGTTTTACAGAAATTTCTCTTTATTTTTATAGAGATGTAGTATCGAATTTTAATCTGGTGAACTTTATGACGGGAAAGGAATTGGGAAACTGCTCTCAAAATGGAAACCTCCCAAAGGAGACTCTCCCTTCTCTTTAAACACCTCTTATTTACAAGTGACAGCATATTAAATAGATCCATGTACTACTGTGTACTGAAAGGTACATACTTACCAATTAATATTTTCCAAGATTCAAACTACTGTGTACTGAAAGGTACATACTTACCAATTAACATTTTCCAAGAGTCAACCTTTGGAAGTTTTCTTTCCGTTGGAAAAATTTACCTAATTCAGGACTTGGTAATATCCTCCCGACAAAGTTTTAACCATTTTGTGAGCATGAGCCATAGTAAGAAACACATCTCGCAATATGACCCAAAAAAAATTTGTCATGTGTGTAGGTGTGTGTGAGCAACTTTAGTAGGCAATTCATGTAATGACGTTTTTCCTGATTTTCATAATGCTGCAGTAATTTTCATTCTAGTTCTTTTTTTGTAAATGTTTATTGCAGGTTTTAACTTTATTTCAGCTCATTGAGCCATAGTCTTCAATATAAAAGGTTATAAAGGCCTGTTTATTATATCATAGGCTTTCTTTTCATTCCATGTGATTCTTAATAACTTTGATTGTCAGTGGACCCCTGGAAGGACAGCCTTTCAGAGTCCCCTCAGAACTGCAGTTGTCTGTTCCTGTACTCTTTCAGATAATCAAGTTACTGTCCATATCAAAACAGAAAAATAGATTAAGTATTTTTATACATGTGTAAAATTATTGTGCGGGAATACTTTGAATGTGTAGATATTAAACACTCTGAAGTGTTTGATGTTTAGCATTGTGAAGAGTTCAGCCAACTTTAGTGGGACATTTTATAGAGGACTGCTCTCACTTCACACCAAGTGCAAATTTGGCAGTTTTTCAAACCTATCTTCGTGTCAGGTAATTTGCTGGAAAGACTCTTAGAATTCACTGAATGCTTTTATCCTCACAGTTACTGATTCTTACAGGGAAAACATGCGTATTATATTTAACCAAGAGAGAAACCAAACAAAACAAAGTCCAGGGAAGTACCAAATGCTTATTTTCTATTGCCAGGATTAGCATGCGACTTAGACACAGATAACTCCCAATCAGGGAAATTTACCTGAGTGCTGGGATTGAGAGTAATTACTGGGGCTCCATTACATAGCCAGGATTGGCTGGTTGATTCCCGTATGGTTATTTAGTCTCCTGGTTCACTGATTCCCTGTGAGGTAAAGCCTCTCCATGAATCACACTGATGTTCTTTCTGACATGAGGAGTACTACCTCCCATACCCCAAAAGAGTGGTCAGTACAACGCTGAATAATATTGTTTCACTATCCAGAGTTAGCCAGGTTTTACCCTCAAGCACAGAGACTCCTCAGGCATGACACTTCAAGATCCTAGAGATTACCTCTCAGATGCTGAGGACAACATCCTGACCTCTTTCAAGTTAGGTTAACTTCTTTATAAGGATATATAACAGACAAATATACAAACGATTTATTCTGTTATTACTTCTCCTTAAAGTTCCTTTTGGTTCATATTTCACTACGTATGTAATATTTTAGCTTTATAATTTACCACACAAAATTTTACCACAAAGACTGACTAAAAAAATCACTAGAAACAGCAACAAGTGAAATGTATATAATTTTTTTTTTTTTTTTTGAGATGGAGTTTTGCTCTTGTTGCCCAGGCTAGAGTGCAATGGCACAATCTCAGCTCACTGCAACTTTCGCCTCCCAGGTTCAAGTGATTCTCCTGCCTCAGCCTCCTGAGTAGCTGGGATTACAGGCATGCACCACCATGCCCGGCCAATTTTGTATTTTTAGTAGAAATGCGGTTTCTCCATGTTGGTCAGGCTGGTCTCAAATTCCCAACTTCAAGTGATCCACTTGTCTCAGCCTCCCAAAGTGCTAGGATTACAGGTGTGAGCCACCACTCCCGACATATATTAATTTTTTAAATATGTATTTTATTTCTATTCAGAATTTTACATATGAGACATGGTGTGGTTCTAAATTGGTCTCATGCAAACCAGAAACTAGAGTGCACTTGGAAAACAGAAAATGAACGTTCATTAAAGTTAAATGCCACATCTTAAGTGTGAACTCTTGAAAACACTGAACAAAGACTTGATTTGTCCACATGTCTTAATTCTGTGTCCTTATAGGAGGTAGGATTCAAACGGAGACAGCAACTGTTCCAGAAGCAAGAACACATGAAGAATTTTCCTGCCAGAAAATTTGGGAACAAATTTCAAGTGACTTAACCAAGTCTCAAGATTCCACCATAAATGACTCTCAGTTATTTGAACAAGATGACAGCCCCTCCCAGACTGAGGCAAGACTATCTACACTTCACACAAGAGAAAAACGTAGGGGTGGAAAGTGTAAACAATCCTTCAGTGATCTTTCCATCTTTGATCTTCCTCAGCAGTTATACTCAGGAGAGAAGTCTCATACATGTGATGAGTGTGGAAAAAGCTTCTGTTACATCTCAGCTCTTCATATTCATCAGAGGGTCCACATGGGAGAGAAATGCTATAAGTGTGATGTGTGTGGTAAGGAATTCAGTCAGAGTTCACATCTGCAAACTCATCAAAAAGTCCACACTGGAGAGAAACCATTCAAATGTGAGCAATGTGGGAAAGGTTTCGGATGTAGATCAGCCCTTAAAGTTTATTGCAAATTACACACAAGAGAGAAACCTTATAATTGTGAAAAATGTGGGAAGGCCTTCATGCACAATTTCCAGCTTCAGAAACACCAGAGAATTCATACTGGGGAGAAGCCATTCAAATGTGAAATATGTGGTAAGAGCTTCTGTCTTAGGTCAAGTCTTAATAGGCATTGCATGGTCCACACAGCAGAGAAACTGTACAAATCTGAGGAGTATGGAAAACGTTTCATTGATAGGCTAGATTTGCATAAGCATCAAATGATTCACAGAGGACAGAAACCATACCATTGTAAAGAATGTGGGAAGAGCTTCAAATGGTCGTCATACCTTTTGGTCCATCAACGAGTCCACACTGGAGAAAAGCCATACAAATGTCAGGAATGTGGGAAGAGCTACATTAGTAAGTCAGGTCTTGACTTCCACCACAGAACTCACACGGGAGAGAGATCTTATAATTGTGATGACTGTGGGAAAAGCTTTAGACATGCTTCTAGTATTTTGAATCATAAGAAACTCCACTGCCGAAGAAAACCATTGAAATGTGAGGACTGTGGAAAGAGGCTTGTACACCAGTCACACTGTAAAGACCAACAGAGAGACCACAGTGGAGAAAACCCATCCAAATGTGAGGACTGCTGGAAGCGCTACAAGAGGCGTTTGAATCTGGATATAATTTTATCATTATTTTTAAATGACATATAAGTTACACGTATGTATGGAGTACAGTGTGAACTTTGATACACATATATAATGTGTGCTGGTTAAATCAATTTAATTTGTGTATCATCCGAAACATTTATGATTGGTGTTAGGAAAATTCGAAATCTGTTTTTTTGGATTTGAAAACAAGTTATTGTTGATTATAGTCATCTTTAGTGCTGTAGAACATTAGAAGTGAAATTGTGAGGGGTTTTGAATAGAGTTACAGGATCAACAGCCAGGGTGCCAGAGAGAGGAAAAGAGAAGGAGAGAGGGATTTTTCTTGGGACTTGAACCCAAACCAGCTTAGTCCAGGGGAGGATTACAGTCCATCCCACTGCTTGCCAGGTTGATCAGGCCTGCATAATCCACCTTTTTGATCCATCCTGCATGGATATCTATTCAGGTAATGCAAACCAATAAGAGAGAAACTGTTCCATCCATTCCTCATGAATGTCTATCCAGGCATCCCAAGCCAGTAAGGATTAGGAAAGGAGAGGCAAAGCATCCTGAGTGAGAAGAAAAGATAGGAAGAGGAAAGGAAGAAGACAAAATGGAAGGGATTGGCTGGGCATGGTAGCTCATGCCTGTAATCCCAGCACCTTGAGAGGCCAAGGCAGGCCGATTGCTTGAGTCTAAGAGTTCAAGACCAGCTTGGGCAACATGAGGAAATCCTGTCTCTACAAAAAACACAAAAATTAGCCAGACATGGTGGCACATGCCTGTAGTATCAGCTACTTAGGAAGCTGAGGAGGGAAGATCACTTGAGCCTGGGTAGTAGAGGTTGCAGTGCACTGAGATCACACCACTGCACTCCAGCCTTGAGTGACAGAGTGAGACTATGTCTCAAAAGAAAAGAAAATTATTGCCTGGTAGGGGCAGGGGCAAGGAGGTCCATGAGGCTGGAGAAAGCCACCCATTGTGGTAACACCGAATCAAAAGTTCAGGCAGGTGATTTTCAGTCGTGAAGAAATCTTGTCCAGCTGTCCTGTCAGCTCACATGTCTCCCCCTCCGGGAGAGAAAGACCTCCCATGTCCCATGATCCTAGACAAATCCCCAAATAATATGCTACCAACCATATGTTCCTGGGCTCTGCAATAGAAATTGAAATGAGGCTGAAACAGTTTTCTCAGACAAGGCTTCATTGGAGCTTATGCCCAGATAAGGCATAAGAGATAAGGGAAGCAGCACAAGAGAGAATTTCCTGACTCCCTTCAAACAGCTTGTAGGATTGTTTATTTGGCAAAGCCTGGGAATTAACATCAGGGATAGGGTATGAAGGCTGGGCTGGGCAAAGCACATGAGCGGTAGGGCATGCAAGTCAGCATTACCTGGTTGCAATGGTTATCTTGTGTAATGGGCCACCTGGTGGTCTGGGTGGTGGTAACAAGGCTGTAAATCAATTGTTTAGCATTTCCTCCTCAAGTGAGACACTCTACAACTTTGGTTATCACCCAAGGCCAGTTCCTGGAATTCTTAGCAGTGAAGTATAGGTGTGAGTTTTGTGATCATTAGGAATGCATGAAAGAACGCTGTAGTCAGGGGAAGCTGAAGCCAAGCCCTGTCTCTACTCTGTCTCTTAGGCAGAAGAGTTCTATTGCAAGTGAAGAAAAGGCTGACTGGAATCACCTAACACAGAGTCACAGCCCCAAATCAAATCCAAGACATGTCCAGTTTGCAAATCCACATTCAGTTACGTGAAAGCCCAAAACTGGATGAGAGTGGACCCACATTTCAGGGTTCTCCACAGGAAACTATGGCCATGAACCTGTGTGACTGTACTCAAAAAGAGAAATAATCACTCTTTGGCAGTGGCTAAATCCTTATTGTCAAATGGCACATTAATATGATGATTGGACCTGGTGAGGAAAAAGTAGAAAGTAATCTAGGCATACTTGTAAGACACATGCAAATCAGGAGAGAATAAGTCTGAAAAATATTTATAGGACTTCTACCTCAGTGAAATTTCCATGAGTTCACTGATGCAAAACTATTGAAACTAGGCCAGGCACAGTGGCTCATGTCTGTAATCCCAGCACTTTGGGAGGCTTAGCTGGGTGGGTCACTTGAGGTAAGGAGTTTGAGACCAGCCTGGCCAACATGTATTTTAGTCTTTACTAAAAATACAAAAATTAGCTGGGCGTGGTGGCGGGTGCCTGTAATCCCAGCTGGTCGGGAGCCTGAGGCAGTAGAATCGCTTGAACCCAGGAGGTGAAGATTGCACCACTGCACTCCAGCCTCGTGACAGAGTGAGATTGTCTCAAAAAAAAAAATAGAGATATTCTTTCTAAACTAAGGTATAAGGCAAGTAGCATATGATGCTTCCTACAGCCAGAAAAAAGGGTCCCAATGCCTGGTGGCCCTGCTCAGCTATTGGAGGCTACTTATTCTTTATTGAGGTATACTACTATGCTTTTTATGCATGACCTGAAATCATTTTGCCTCAGTCTCAACACAATAAAGGCTATATGTGAAAAATTTCAGAGCTTATTTTCATATTCAATTGTGAAGGACTGAATTTCTTCTAATATCAGGAATACAATGAGTTTGCTCCACTTTTCCACGTCTAGTCAACATGGTATTGGAAGTTCTAGGCAGAACAATTGGGTAGAAAGGAAATAAACTTGTTAAAATTGGAAACATAAAACTCTGTCTATATGCTGATGACATGTTCTTATAAATTCTACAGAATACACAAGAAAAAAACATCTTAGAGCTAACAAAGTCAAAAAGTTACAGGAAAGACACCTATATAGAAAAAGCAGTTGTTTTCTACACAAAAACAACTTGAGAAGGAAAATACTTCTCTTGGCAATAGTGTCAAAACGAAACAATTACTTAGGAACTGTCTTAACCAAGGACAAGAGAAACACTTGGACACTGAACTCTGCAACATCTTACTGAAGGAAATTCAAGGAGGCACAAATAAATGGAGATATTTCCATTTTTAATGAGTTGAGAGAGAAATTACAAGGCAGTGAATACCACCTAAAATGGTCTGCAGCTTCACTGCAATCCTTGATCGCAATGATTTTTTTTTTTTTTTTTTTTTTCAGAAATGGAAAAATCCACCCAAGGTTCAATGAAATATCAAGGAATGCTCTCTCCCATGGTCATATCCTAAACCTTGTCATTTCCTAGAAAATACTCTTCGGCAATAATTTGCAGCATGAGTCTGCAACAACTTTCAACTGTATTGCCACCTGAGTTCCATCAGTATTCTTGCATCAGTAATCTTAGTACCTCGCCAATACTTAACAATCCACTGAGACTATCACCTTTTTGCTCTCTTAACGTCTCATGTCCTCACAACCACCCAAGTGCATCTCTTGTCAGGTGAGGACAGCTAACTCCACTTCTGTCTTACACTTCCCAGAATATGTCCCATGAAAATCTCTAGCTAGATGAAGTCAGAGAAAGAGAATATTTGATTTCTTAGGCTTTTTGGAAGAGTGAGGAATGGTAATAGGGGTTTGGAGTGAACCCTGCAAGCACCAGTCAATAGGGTGTATCCTGAATGGATAGTGGGTAAAGGACATTTGTTGTGAAGCTCTGTCCAGCTCCACTTCAGGAAAGCCTGCCTTTAATCAGAGTGATGATTTATTAGTATAATGCTGACCTCCATGTTTTTGAATTATTCTCATGCTTAGGAATTAGGGAATTTCTCATTACAAATTATTCTTTAGATATATTGTGTATAATCATGCTCTTGGTTTCTAAGCACCGCTGTCGAGTTATACAGAGCAGTGAGTGAACAGATCTGTGAAGTATTAACTCGGCATTGTGGTGAGTGTAATGGTAAAAGTATTTTAAATGTGTTGTGAGGGAAGGGAATATACTAATTCATGATAGGTGAGTGGGGTATTGGTGTAACCCAAATAAGGTCCAGCTGCTCACCACTTACAGAAAAAAGCCAAAATAACAAAAGGAAGGTGTGATAAAAAGAGTGAATTTTATTATCCATTGCTAGAAAGGGAGAGAATAATTGGAATCTTTTCCAAAAATTGCCACTTTTCAATTTCTGGAGAGAGGGCCACAGTTTAAGAAGTGGGCTTGGAATGCAGAGAGGTAAGTGGGGTTAAGAGGTACCTGATGGCGTTTCTCACTCCGGTGGCTTATCTAGAATTGTTCCATCTGGTGAAGGGGCCAATGCCATCACAGGCTATCTCAGGTTATAAATTAATGGCAGTCAATCTTGCAGTTTATCTGTAGCCAGGAGGGTAAGGCTACCTGATCTGCATCAGTATTCTTCCCCTAAAGCTTCTAAGGAAATATATGAGCAGATAAGTGAGCATAGTGTGAGCTTAACAAGCATCCAGGTTATAAAAAAAAAAAAAAAAGTGCGTAGGGCATGGAAGTATAAAGTGGGAAAGGGAAGGGAGTGAAGTTTCAAAGCAGATTCAGAGGCTGTATTTCAACACAAAAGAAAACACATCTGTAGTTTGTCTCAAAGCTACATCTTGAGCCTGGGGAGAAAGAGGAAAGAAAAAAACAGTTTTTAAAATGTAGTTTGAAGCTAAGGTGCTACCAAGCTTAGGTTACCATACATAGGCTTCAAAACACTATTAGGCCAACCAGCCCAACCTTGTTTAAATGTGAGTGATGATTCAAATATCATAAAATGCATCACTTTAAAATGTAACCTTTAGTGGTTTTTAGTATATTTCCAAAGTCTTGCAACTGTCACTATTCTCTAATTTCAAGTCTTTTTAATCAGCTCAGAAAGTAGTGCCCTGTCCACTGGCAGTCACTCCCAGTCCCCATCCTTCTTCCATCAGCTCCTGGCAACCACTATTCTACTTTCTGTTTCTACAGATTTGCCCGTTCTGAATATTTCATGTAAATGAAATCATACAACATGAGCTCTCTTCTGTCTTACACCTCTTAGCTTTCATTTCTCCGAATGTATATTTAGGCGTGAAATTGAGTTATAAGCTGTATTAGTCTGTTTTCACACTACTATAAAGTACTACCTGAGACTGGGTAATTTACGAAGAAAAGAGGTTTTTTTTTTTTTTTTTTTTTTTTTTTGAGACGGAGTTCTGCTCTTGTTACCCAGGCTGGAGTGCAATGGCGCGATCTCGGCTCACCGCAACCTCCGCCTCCTGGGTTCAGGCAATTCTCCTGTCTCAGCCTCCTGAGTAGCTGGGACTACAGGCACGTGCCACCATGCCCAGCTAATTTTTTGTATTTTTAGTAGAGATGGGGTTTCACCATGTTGACTGGGATGGTCTCGATCTCTTGACCTTGTGATCCACCCACCTCGGCCTCCCAAAGTGCTGGGATTACAGGCTTGAGCCACCGTGCCCGGCCAGAAAAGAGGTTTAATTGACTCACAGTTCCAAGGTTTAACAGGAAGTATGACTGGGAGGCCTCAGGAAACTTAGAATCATGGTGGAAAGTGAAGGAGAAGAAAGCACTAGAACAGATGAGAGAGTGCAAAGGCAAAGCGCCACCACTTCCCGACAACCAGATCTCATGAGAATTCACTCAGAATCATGAGAACAGCAAGGGGGATGTCCGCCCCCATGATTTAATTGCCTCCCACTACGCTCCTCACCCAACATGTGAGGATTACAATTTGAAATGAGATTTGGGTGGCGACACAGCCAAATCATATCATAATCCCCCTTTTTTTTTTTTTTTTTTTAAGACGGAATTTCGCTCTTGTTACCCAGGCTGGAGTGCAATGGCGCGATCTCGGCTCACCGCAACCTCCGCCTCCTCCGCAGTTCTCCTGCCTCAGCCTCCTACGAAGCTGGGACTACAGGCACGTGCCACCATGCCCAGCTAATTTTTTGTATTTTTAGTAGAAACAGGGTTTCACCATGTTGACCAGGATGGTCTCGACCTCTTGACCTCATGATCCACCCGCCTCGGCCTCCCAAAGTGTTGGGATTACAGGCGTGAGCCACCACGCCCAGCCTTCATAATCCCATTTTTTTGGTTAGTCTATTTTGCCAACATCAGTCTCTTTGGGATGTCCATGCCCTCAGATTCTGCAGTCTTCAATCTGGGAATGGACTGAGAATAGGGCTCCAAACAGGTGATGAAGAGAGCTCCCTGCAATGCATATTACAACACATAGGACGATGAGTGTGGTGAGATTGCCAATGGCCTGAGACGAGAGCAGTACCGCCCTTAGATCCAAACAAATGATGTCCATGCTTTAAGCCCTGTGTGTCATGGGCCCATAGCTTTCTGTGCCGCCTTCACATTCTTCTCTGGTATCTGGTACTAATCATGCCTGGCAGTGCTATCCAAGTAGAGGTCCCAGAGCCCTGACCTTGCGGGATTCCTGGTAGTTTCGCTCAGGTGGGCGTTTGCGGCGAATGCTGGGAAATGTAGTCCATTTTGTGGGAAGTGTAGTCCACTGGCCTGTGGAACACCGGACATTTTGGCTGTGGTGGGCGGACCGGTGAATTCTGGGAACCTTACTCCAGATACTCTGCGGTGTCGCCGGCCCTTTGGCTCAGACGGGCGAGTTTCTGGAATTCTGGGAAGTGGATGCAGTCCGGACACCCTGGCGGAGCGGTTACTTCCGGTCTCCGAGGTTGAGGTTCCTACTTTAATGACCCGGGCAGTTTGAGCCATTTCTGCGTCTTGCAGGACATTTTGAACGAGCCCCCTTTGCTTGAGGCTTGCAACTGCCCCATGATCAATGATCGTTTCAGGGGAAAAGAGGCCTTGGCGAAGACTGGAGGTTTGGAGGTGGGAGGGCGGGTAGGGTGTTTATTGCTCCAGTCGGCAGGGCCCTCTGGCGTCTGGGGGCGGTGCTCGCGTCCCGGTGGGTGGGATTGGCGGGGCCCTGTGTGCCCTGCTCTGAGCGTTTGCAGGACTTTGACCTCGCTCCGTCCGCCTCCCTAGGTGTGCGGACCTCTTTCTCGCAGTGTGATGTGGAATGTTACTTAATGTCCCTGTACTTCCCATTGACGGTCTTTAAAATGGTGATTATAAGATCATCCTAATATAATTGTTTTGCGAATTGAAAGAGATAATACAAATGAAAGCCTTAAAGTAGACCCTGTCACTTGGTGAGTGGCGGTCTCTTGTTTCCTGATATTTTAAAACGTTCGATATCATCCCAAAGCTATAGAAAAATTGCCAAAACAGTATAAGAAATTCTCATATACTCTCTACCCTAATTTGCCAAGTGTTTACATTCTTCCTGTTTGCTTTGTTGTTGACCATCAACCAAATACCACCGGGAACATACCTGTAACCAGAGACAGCTGATTGTAGGTTTCTGCAGCAAGGAAGCCCACATACCAGGGTAATTGTGTAGTATCTTGGTAAGAGGCATTTAGGAAGGGCTGGTTATAGGGTTTTACATAACATGCTAAATAATATTGGATATTATATTAAATAATGTTACTGGTTACATATCAGATAGATGTGTTACAAGAATACTAGATAGGATATTACCTAGCACCATGTTATGTAATTTGAAGTTCATATATGAATTTAATTTTTCATTTAAAGTCCTTATGACTGTCCCCTGCCCCCCCTTCACCTGCAACCCCAAAGTCCAGTTTATACATTGTCTTTAGCTGTCACATTTCCATAGCTGTTTATTTGGAATTTGATATGTTTCACATTTAGGTTCAGATTATGCATCGTTGATAGGGATTCAACAGAAGTGCTGAGATGCCCTTTTCTTTTCCTTTTTTTTTTTTTTGGGTTTTTTTGAGACAGAGTTTCACTCTTTCACCCAGGCTGGAGTGCAATGGCGCGATGAGATGCCCTTCTCGTTGTTAACATAACAAGGTCCAAGTGATGTCCCTTTGTCCCTTCATTGGTGATCTCAGCTTTGTCACTTGGCCAAGAAGATGTCTTTCAGATTTGTCCACTCTATTGATACTTTTTTTTTTAATTACGAAGTTTCTCATGGGGAAATACATTATTAGTGGGCATTTTCTTATAAAGGAGAGCTTCCATTTCTCTTCTATTGGTTCATACATTTGTTCAACTATAGATATTCTACCAATAGGGACTCAGAATCCAGTTTTATTGATTTTAATGATATGTGCGTTAACAGTTATTATTATTATTATTATTTTTTTTTTTTGAGACGGAGTTTCGCTCTTGTTACCCAGGCTGGAGTGCAATGGCGCGATCTCGGCTCACCGCAACCTCCGCCTCCTGGGTTCAGGCAATTCTCCTGCCTCAGCCTCCTAAGTAGCTGGGATTACAGGCACGCGCCACCATGCCCAGCTAATTTTTTTTGTATTTTTAGTAGAGACGGGGTTTCACCATGTTGACCAGGTTGGTCTCGATCTCTCGACCTCGTGATCCACCCGCCTCGGCCTCCCAAAGTACTGGGATTACAGGCTTGAGCCACCGCGCCCGGCCAACAGTTATTATTTTTTTAATCAACTCCAGCTTTTGGTTATCATAGCGTTTACCCATTTCACGTGTACAATTCAGTAGTCTTTAGGAACTTCAAAGTGGAGAAATCATCATCATCATTCAGTTGAGATCATTTTCATCCCCCAGTTGGATTCCTCATGGCTATTTATGTTAAACCTCATTCTCACCTCAAATTTAGAGCCACTATTAACCTACTTTCTTTATGTATTTGTCTACTCCAGACATTTCATATAAAAGGAATCATAGGGTCTGTGGGTTCTTGTGACTTGCTTCTTTAACTTACTGTAATGTTTTCAAGGTTCATGGGTGTTGTAGCATGAGTCAGTATTTCATTCCTTAATGTTTCCAAGTAAGATTCCATTGTGCGAATATGCCACAATTTTTCTATCCATTTACCTGTAGGAGAGCTTCTTGGTTGTGTGCAGTTTGGGGTTAGTATGAATAATGCTCTGTGAGCATTCATGTGCTCCTTGACAATATGAGTCCTTCTTGGTGGGTGGCATCCCCAAGCACCCTTTCGTGTCTCTTTTTCTGTCTTCCATGGCACTTTCCAGGCACAGTTCTGCTTTCTCTCGAACTGCATCATTCAGGACTCTGCAAATTCCCTGAAGCAGGAGGAAAAATGACCACGTCCAAGGTGAGTAGGGTTTGCCTCTCTTACAGTTAAAATTCCATCTCACTGCTCAGATTGTCATGTGTTTTGCTCTGCCCTGGGAGTACTCAAGAGAACAACAGGACGTTGAGGATCTCTTGTCCTCTGGCTGATTTTTTTATTATTAGTAGAGATGAGGTTTCATCATATTGGACAGGCTGGTTTCAAACTTCTGACCTCAAGTAATCTGCCCACCTCAGCCTCCCAAAGTGCTGGGATTACAGGCGTGAGCCTAATACTGAAAATTGGCCAGTCACTTGTGTACTGTAACTCATGTACTTCTCAGAGCAGCAGAATGAAGAGGTTTCTGGTCTATTCTTCTTCTAAACTCATGAAATATGAGAAACCTACTCAAAATCATAGAGACAATCAAGAATCAGGAATGTTAGCCGTTCTTCTCAAGCAAAAGAGAGAGGCGAGAAGAAGAAAGAATTCTCCATTCAGGGCCCTGTACCCTGTTGTGTGGGTGTCTGGAGTGCTTTCTTGAGTGATGAAATCCACAGGCTGCTCTACTCCTCCCTGTCCTTCATTAGTGTGACCTCTTCTTTTCCAGACCTGGCACCTACTCAGGTGTACCCATTGCTCCAAGTACCCAAGGACAGTGATTACCACAGCTGTTCTTAAAAATCTTTAAATTCCTCCTTATGACACAAGATGCCTCACACACTGTTACCAGAAAAAAATGACAACCTGGGCAAAAATATTTACCCCTTGGATAGTTAAGGAAGAATAAGAAGTCTCTACAGGATAAAGAAAAAAGTTCTGCCAGGTGCGGTGGCTCAAGCCTGTAATCCTAGCACTTTGGGAGGCCGAGGCGGGTGGATCACGAGGTCAAGAGATTGAGACCATCCTGGTCAACATGGTGAAACCCCGTCTCCACTAAAAATACAAAAAATTAGCTGGGCATGGTGGCGCGTGCCTGTAATCCCAGCTACTCAGGAGGCTGAGGCAGGAGAATTGCCTGAGCCCAGGAGGCAGAGGTTGTGGTGAGCCGAGATCGCGCCATTGCACTCCAGCCTGGGTAACAAGAGCGAAACTCTGTCTCAAAGAAAAAAAAAAAAAGAAAGAAAGAAAAAAGTTCGAACAGATTGGAACAAAGAACACTAAATGACAATTGTAAAAGAAGAAATAGAGATGGCCAATAACCTTGAAAAGTGATGACATTCATTTATAATAATAACTGAGAATAATAGACTGAATTGTTCTTCCTAATCAGATTACCAGAACGATGGGAATATTTATAACCTGCTCTTGGCCATCATAAGGAGAATTAGGATATTTGTATTCTGTTGAAAGATTAAAGAGGTAGGGAAAAAAGTGAGAAGAAAGTGTTTATTTCTATGATTATAATATTAAATGTACTTATTTTACACATTTTAATTTTCATATGAAATTATTTTAAGTGATAGATTCAGATATTCTTACATCTCACTACTTACTATATCATCTTTGTAAGATTGATAATGGGAAATATATAAAATTAAATATTAATTATTTAATGTAGCTAAAAATAGATAATCAGTTCCCTGGAATACTATGCAGCCATGAAATAGATAATGGTAATAACACTAATAAGTAATAACAGCTAATGTTCATTAAACACTTAGTCTGTGCCATAGACTTCAAAATATTATGTATTTCCTTGTTTAATTCTTGAAAAAACTCTGTCATGTAAGAACCATTATTCAGAGAGGGAACAAGACTTGTAGGCAAACATTCCGAGGTCACATGGTTAGAAGTGGGCAGACTTGGCCAGGCACGGTGGCTGACACCTGTAATCCCAGCACTTTGGGAGGCGAGGCGGGTGGATCACGAGGTCAAGAGATCGAGACCATCCTGGTCAACATGGTGAAACCCCGTCTCTACTAAAAATACAAAAATTATCTGGGCATGGTGGCGCGTGCCTGTAATCCCAGCTACTCAGGAGACTGAGGCAGGAGAATTGCCTGAACCCAGGAGGCGGAGGTTGCGGTGAGCCGAGATCGCGTCATTGCACTCCAGGCTGGGTAAGGAGCAAAACTCTGTCTCAAAAAAAAAAAAAAAAAAGTGGGCAGACTCTTAGGATGTACAATGAGGCATTCTGGCTTCTGGTCAAGACACTAAATGCTGCAGTTGGCACATACGGTTTGTGCCTTGTGAGTACAGAAGACACACTACTAGCTGTGACACAGGGTACCATGAAGCAGGTTCACTGCACTGATTACCAACTCATGTGAGTCCTGTGGGACAGAACACACTCACGTGCAACAGATGACATGAAGCAAATTCATTGCTACAGGTTGGCAGCAAGAGAGTCCAGAATCCTAGGGTCCACTATGAGCTGGCCATCCAGGGCTCAAGAAAGCTACCTGGAGCAGATGGAATCTTGACTGTATGTACCCCACTTGCACCAGAGCTGAGGCATCCCAGAGGGTAACCTGCCGCGGTGTATATACTTCAGGGTGCCATGACTCGTGGAAAAAACTTGAAGGACATCTTGCTTCCAGGGGAGAGAGAAACAAAGCCCCGGCTGTCAAAGGCAGTTCCTTCCCATAATATTGCATTCCTAGAATAATCTATAGTTGTTCTTTTTCTTTTTTTTTCTTTTTCATTTTTTTTTTTTGAGACGGAGTTTCGCTCTTGTGACCCAGGCTGGAGTGCAATGGCGCGATCTTGGCTCACCTGCAACCTCCGCCTCCTGGGTTCAGGCAATTCTCCTGCCTCAGCCTCCTGAGTAGCTGGGATTACAGGCACACGCCACCATGCCCAGCTAATTTTTTGTATTTTTAGTAGAGACGGGGTTTCACCATGTTGACCAGGATGGTCTCGATCTCTTGACCTCGTGATCCACCCGCCTCGGCCTCCCAAAGTGCTGGGATTACAGGCTTGAGCCACCGCGCCCAACCCGGTTATTCTTGAGAACTACAAGCAAGAAAGGGGAGAGAACTGGGTGGGGTCTGCACCCCAACTGTCCTGCAGTCCATCCCTGACCCAGATATCCCCCTTAGCAAACTACTTCATTTCATATGCCCATCAACCTCCTTAGGTCTGGAGGTGTTGATTGATCTTGTTAGATAAGTGTAACACCTTGACCAACACAGTCTCTGTCGACTTCATAGAATTATAGCTGGAATACATTCAGTGGACCCCAGAGGAGCATGATTTCAAGCAGCACAGCCAGACCTTCCTGAAGCCATGATCCTGCCTGGGTCCCTAAGACGCATAAGAAGCTGCTAGAGATATCAAAGAAGAATCATTCAGGTGGCCCCAGTGTCAAGTTACTAGGCCTGCTTCTGGGTTGCCTCTCATTGTGTTTTTATAAGAGCTGTTTATCCAGAGAAGGCCGGAGATGTTGACAGGCACAGGCAGTCACAGATCCACTACTCCCAGTAGGGCTAAAAGCACAGAACACTTGTGTTTTTTCAACCTTCCCAAGGGAGTGAGGGGATGTTGCTGGGCTCCCAAGGCAGTGGCCATAGAGGAAGCAGTATTGGCCATTGTCTGTAACAGGTGTCTCATCATTTTTCATGGGAATTGACTTGTAGGAGTAAGACATAAACCTGGACCTAGCTATACCTCCAGGCACGTCCCCCAGTCAGCCTGGGGCACAGCTTTAGCCTTCTTGTCCAGTGGTACATCTCGCTCCTGGGGGGACATCCACGGGTGCCCCGAGCATGCCCAGTGTTTAGGATCTAACAGTCTGCCAGTTGCATGACGTTGCCCACCCTGTATTTGGGTCACCCTCCAGACCAGCCACAGAGAAAGCCATAGGCTCAGGTGCACACAGCACCCATTCCCTTGTTTGGCTGTTCCATGAAGCATTCGTGGGAATGGGTACATTATCTTTTGCCAGCGAGATCTCATTTTTGGCACAGTTGCATAAGCTTAGTTCCTCCGTATGATGTTCATGCAGCCTTTACAGAGAGGAATATCACTCATCTAGTCCTGGTTTTCATTATGTGAAACATTTCTCTTCCCGGTAGTCAAAGGAACATCGTGCGAGAAAGCACAGTCCACTGTTGCTTTGTTGAGGTTGCGTGATTCTGCTGCCCTGCACCAGTTACCACAGGGCCCTCCAGCTCTCTCTCATGTGGCAAGTGCCGGGTCCTGACTTGACAAGCCAGAGCTTTGGAGCTGTTGGTGTGCACTGTGGCGTGAGAGATACTGGTGTGGTTTACTGCAGTTAGGACAAGAGGGTCACTGTGGTTGCTGAACAAATCCAGGGTAGCAGATGGAACACTTAGCTCGATGACATGAAGTGTCTGCAGCTTGAGATAACTTAAGGAATGTGCTGTGCTCCCAGGCCTCTGCTGCCACATCCTTGGGGGAACAGCAGATTGGTAGCTGCTGGATAGGGGGTGGGCTGAGGTGGTGCAGCGATCCAGTCTGTCTGTCACTGTTCTGAGACTGCTGCTACTGCAGACATCCATTCTTCTGGTTGTTTGGCCCAGACCTTCCTGCATTGTTGTTCAGTCAGGAAGGGAGGTCATGTTCTGTATTAAAAGATATTCCTGCTAGTGCCAACTACCCACATGGAAGGATCAGGTGTCCCCAGCACCACCAAAGGGCTCTGGCACCCCCTGCGGTATTCCATTGTCTCATTCTTCACCACTGTGCGATCCCATAGAAGTCAGGGGATGTTCTGGGAAGCATCTCCTCCAGATTACAGTCAGGAGGACCTTTGTCAGTTACTGCAGTGATCTGAGCCACAAACCACCAACAGGATGTGCACTGTAAAGGGGAGAAGGAAAAGTAATTATTGGGAGTACTGAAATTGGGGTTTCACAGGTACAGCCTCCTCAGCCAGCTGCCAGGCAAGGCAGACTGAATTCCTCACTGTTGCTGGGACAATTAGCAAGGTTCATTGAAATCTATATATGTGTCACCAGGATGCAGCATTTAGACTTCTGAGGGGCTACATACAAGTACACTCAATGAGTGTGCTAATAAGAACACAGGACTTCTTCATCGTTGGACTTCTGGTGACACTTGGGACAATCTAGGTGTATCATTGTCAGGACACAGGCCAGAATGAATGGAAATTCTTTGAAGATCCAGAAAAACTTTCAATTTTTCCCTTTGGCCTGCTCAATGTTGCTTCTCTCCCAGAAACCATTGGTCATGGCATTGAGGTTACATATGTTTGATGCTGTAGGAGGCAGTGACCTTCAAGGATGTGGCTGTGGTCTTCACTGAGGAGGAGCTGGGGCTGCTGGGCCCTGCCCAGAGGAGGCTGTACCGAGACGTGATGCTGGAGAACTTCAGGAACCTGCTGTCAGTGGGTGAGGACGACAGGCATTTTCTATAAGGGAATGTCAGACCCCAGGAGTGGCTTTGTATCCTAGGGTGTTCCAGTTTGAGTGTGCAGTGGGAACCTAAATTTCCAGTAAATGTTACCCCGATATTACCTAGAATATGTTGGGATTAAGTACATGACTTTGCCTGTTCACAGGGCATCAACCATTCAACCGAGATACTTTCTACTTTCTAAGGGAGGAAAAGTTTTGGATGATGGATGTAGGAACCCAAAGAGAAGGGAATTCAGGTAAGAAACAAGCAACTGTGTGTTTTTGCTTGTGACTTCCATCTGTTTTACTTCTGTGCATGTCCAACTCCGTTACCCTGTTCTACATGGCAAACATCTTTCCTGGATTGTTGTAACCTCCTTCCAGCTGGTGGCCCTGCTTCGTGCCTTCCCACCCTGACGTCTGTTTTCCTCATGGTGGCTAAAGTGATCCTTAGGACATGGAAGTCAGATTGCCATTCCTCAGCTTAAGAGCCTTTCTGGCTTCTTAATTTTTTTTTTTTTTTTTTTGAGATGGAGTTTCGCTCTTGTTACCCAGGCTGGAGTGCAATGGCGCGATCTCGGCTCACCGCAACCTCCGCCTCCTGGGTTCAGGCAATTCTCCTGCCTCAGTCTCCTGAGTAGCTGGGATTACAGGCACGTGCCACCATGCCCAGCTAATTTGTTGTATTTTTAGTAGAGACGGGGTTTCACCATGTTGACCAGGATGGTCTCGATCTCTTGACCTCGTGATCCACCCGCCTCGGCCTCCCAAAGTGCTGGGATTACAGGCTTGAGCCACCGCGCCTGGCTTCTCTTCTTTTTTCTTTTTGAGAGGGAGTCTTGCTCTGTCGCCAGGCTGGAGTGCAGTGACACAGTTTTGGCTCACTGCAACCTCTGACTCCCTGATTCAAGCTGTTCTCCTGCCTCAGCCTCCCAAGTAGCTGGAATTACAGGTGCCTGCCATTGTGCCCAGCTAATTTTTGTATTTTTAGGAGTGATGGGGTTTCACCATGTTGACCAGGATGGTCTTGATCTCTTGACCTCGTGATCCACCCGCCTCAGCCTCCCAAAGTGCTGGGATTACAGGCTTGAGCCACCGCGCCCAGCTCTGGCTTCTTAATTTTTATAAAAGTTACAACCTTTTTAAGTGGATTTTAGAAACCCCTGTGGTCTCCTCTTCATTCTTCACTGCCTCTTGACCACACCTCTCATACTCTTCCTCTTTCTCCATCTCTTCTGGCCACATTGTAATCCCTCTTGTTTCTCCATCCTGCCAAGGACACTGTATCACCTGTTGCTGGTGCCCAATGACCACAAATTTAGCCAATTAAACAAGAAGTATTTATTGTTTCTCTGCTCTCTAGGCTTGAAGTCTGACACATCTCACTGGGCAAAAATCAAGCTGTCTTAGGACTTTGTTCCTTTCTGGCTGTTCTTGGGAAGAAGACTTCACTTTATTTTACCAGTCCGTAGACACTGTCCACACTCCTTGGCTCCAGTTTCCATTCCTCCATCTTTGAAGGCAGCTCTAGTGCATCCTTGACCATCTTTCATAGTCACGCGCCCTCTGCCACTCTTCTTATGCTTCTGTCTTCCACTTTTCAGGTCCCTTGTGATTGTATTCATCTCTTGCATGATCCAAGTTGACTTTCCTACTTTCTGCTTAGCTGACTAGTGACCTCAATGATATTTGCAGCCTTAATCTGCCTTGCTGTGTAATGTATCAGGTTCATGGGTCCTGAAGATTGGATGTGGACATCTTCCAGGAATCATTTTTTCCCTACCACAGAAGATTCTGCCTCAGAGCCCTCACTTGCTTTTCTCTCTGTTTGGAATCCTCTGTCCCCACAAAACTTACTGACCCCCTCTGTTAGTTTATGCAGGTCTCTGCTGAGTTTTAATATCATGGGAGAGGTCATCTTCAAGCACACTATTGAAAATACCATCTTATCTTTACTTGGCCTGCATGTATTGTATGTCATATGCTTTTGTTTACTGGTAGATCACCTCTTCCCTTTCAAATATAATCTCTATATGGTGTTTGTTTGGTACATGGAAGGATCTGTATATATTTGTCTGTTGAAAGCCGTAGGGATTTGATTTCAGGACCCCACATTACCAAAAGCCAGAGATGCTCAAGTTTATATATGTGAAGTATTTTCCTAGAACCTATGTACATCCTCCCATATACTTTAAATCATGTCTGGACAGTTATAACACCAAATGCAATGCCTACCTATCACTTCATTCACAAGGAATCAACATAGGACTCAGCGTGTAAGAAATTCCAGTTTTGCTATTTGGAACTGGATTTTTTTCCCCAAATAATTTGTTATGCATTGTTGGTTGAATCCATGGATGCCAAACCCATTAATACGGAGGGCTGATTATATATTGCAGGGCAGTTTTGTTTGTTTGTTTGTTTTTTGTCTGCAGATGGCTGCTTACCCATTTTCAAGTTTTTTCTTAGGTTTTCTTGACATGATTGGTTTTTTGTTTTATTTTGTTTTTTGTTTTTAAAATAACCTTTACTTTTTTTTTTCTTTTTTTTTTTTTTGAGACGGAGTTTTGCTCTTGTTACCCAGGCTGGAGTGCAATGGCGCGATCTCGGGTCACTGCAACCTCCGCCTCCTGGGTTCAGGCGATTCTCCTGCCTCAGCCTCCCGAGTAGCTGGGATGACAGGCACACGCCACCATGCCCAGCTAATTTTTTGTGTTTTTACTAGAGATGGGGTTTCACCATGTTGACCAGGATGGTCTCGATCTCTTGACCTTGTGATCCGCCCGCCTCGGCCTCCCAAAGTGCTGGGATTACAGGCTTGAGCCACCACGCCCGGCCTAACCTTTACTTTTAAAAAGTTAAGTACATTGGAGGAAACTGAAAAACACAAGAAGCAAAGAGCAAAGTCACAATCACAAGCAGTTTATAGTTTGACACATTCTTCTAGGTCCTGTGTGTCTGTAGGCACAATATCCAATTTTATGGGACTGAGGTTGTTTAGTATGTATCATGATTTTTCACACAGACATGATTGGTTTTATGTGTGTGCAGTTGACCCATGTCCTGTGGAAACTTCTAAGCATAGCATTTTGTTTTTCATGGCCACACTGAGTAAATATGTCTTCCCTGGGACCTACCCTGGAGCTTTCCATAGGGAGCATATTTATATCTGGGAAAAATGTCTTTTTGAATGAGGATTTCCAGCTGGCTTTCCTTTGAGAGATTTACCCATCTGCAGCCCATTTGCTTTTCCAAAGTCTGCTTGCACTTCACTGCACCCAGTTTCCTCCTTCCTTCCCTTAGAGGGGAAGAATGAGGATGAGAAGACACAAGTTAGATAGCTGAATGTTGACTCTGTTTCTGGTCATCTTTCTTCAAAAATGTGTGTATTTCCCTCACCTTTACATTATACAAATTTAGTTGTCAAAAAGTTAAAGGACACAGATTTTACAGACTTTTTCTTTATTTTTATAGATTTAATGCTATATTTTGAACTGGTAAGCTTCATGACCTGGAAGGAATTGGGGAATTACTTTCTCAAAATAGAAACATCCTGAGAGACCTTCCCTTATCCTGAAAGACCTCTATTTATGAGTCATAGTGTATTAAATATATCCATTTACAGATGAGACCGGACTGTTTCCTTGACTGTCTTTGTGGGTGGGAACTGGAGGGTTTGTTTCACTCAGCCCACTCCTTGTGGGGAGGCAGTGTGCAAGCGAGCAAGTGCGGGAACTGGAGCAAATGAATGCTGGAATTGGTTGGTTGCTCCTGTCTGGTGGAGCAGGCTCTGTGCAGGCCCACAGCAGCATCCAAGCATGTTACACAACCAGTGCTCTTTCAGCTCTGCTGTCTGGGGAAGTACCAACCAGCTCAGTGGAGCATCAGGGTAGCAGCCCCTGCCCTCTTGGCACCTGGGTTCTTGTCCCACATCCAGGAAGACTCAGGTCACACCAACTGTGTGAAAGGTGATGAATGCAGAAGACTTTACTGAGTGGTGGTTGGCTCTTAGCAGAAAAGGAGGCTAGAAAGGGGATAGGAAAGTGATCTGTTCTTGAAGCCTGGCCATCTCTAGCTGAGCCCCCTCTGAAGCCACACCATCTGAGTTCAGCCACATCCATCCATAGTTTCTGATACTCAGTTGCTTCTCTGTTCGCCGCTCAGCCACTTGTACCCTCGCCGCTCAGCTGCTTGTGTTGCTCTGCCAGCTGAAATCTTTTATGGGCACAGGATAAAAGTGTGCCAGGTATATTCTACTTGCTGTGGATCTAAAAAAAAAAATTTGTTTCTATCAATGATTTTTTATTTGAGACATGGTACAGTATGGTTTTTTCTTTGTTTTGTTTTTTATTTTTTTCGAGACAGAGTCTCGCTCTGTCACCCAGGCTGGAGTCAGTGGCATGATTTTGGCTTACTGAAACCTGTGCCTCCTGGGTTCAAGTGATTCTCCTGCCTCAGCCTCCCAGGTAGCTGGGATTACAGGTGTATACCACACCACACCTGGCTGATTTTTATATTTTTAGTAGAGATGGGGTTTTACCATGTTGGTCAGGCTGGTCTTGAACTCTGATCTCAAGTTATCTGCCTGCCTCAGCTTTTCAAAGTACTGGGATTATGGGTGTGAGCCAGCACACCCAGTGACATGGTATGGTTTTAGATTGCTCTCATGCAAACCAGAAACTAGGGTGCGCTTGGAAAACACAAACTGAATGTTCACTGAAGTTTTATACCGTGTCCTAAGTGTGAACTCTTAAAAATGCTGAACAGGGCATCACTTGTCCTGATCTCTTAATTTTGTATTCTGATAGGTGGCAAGATCCAACTTGAAATGAAGACTGTTCCAGAAGCAGGACCACATGAAGGGTGGTCCTGGCAACAGATCTGGAAAGAAATTGCAAGTAACTCAAACAGGCCTCAAAACTCTACCATAAATAGCTCTCAGTTATTTGAACAGAGTGATGCCCATTCCCAGGATGAAGAAGAACTAGCTATGATGCACACAGGACAGAAACCTTCCGATTGTGGGAAGTGTAAACAGTCCTTCAGTGGTGTTTCCATCTTTGATCTTTCTCAGCAAATACACTCAGCAGAGAAGTCTCATTCCTGTGATGAGTGTGGAAAAAGCTTCTGTTACATCTCAGGACTTCATATTCATCAGAGAGTCCACCTGGGAGAGAAACTCTTTAAATGTGACTTGTGTGGTAAGGAATTCAGTCAGCGTTTACGTCTGCAAACTCATCAAAGAGTGCACATTGGAGAGAAACCTTTCAAATGTGAACAGTGTGGGAGAGGCTTCAGATGTAGATCAGCACTTACAGTTCATTGCAAATTACACATGGGAGAGAAACATTATAATTGTGAGGCATGTGGGAGGGCCTTCATTCACGATTTCCAGCTTCAGAAACATCAGAGAATTCACACAGGGGAGAAGCCATTCAAGTGTGAGCTATGCAGTATGAGCTTCCGTCTTAGGTCAAGTCTTAATAGGCACTGTGTGGTCCACACAGGAAAGAAACCAAACAACGCTGGGGAATATGGAAAACGCTTCATTGGTAGGCTAGATTTGTATAAGCATCAGACGATCCACACAGGAGAGAAACCATATAGTTGTAAAGAATGTGGGAAGAGCTTCAGACGGTCCTCGTATCTTTTGATCCATCAGCGAGTCCACACTGGAGAAAAGCCATACAAATGTGACAGGTGTGGGAAGGGCTACATTACTAAGTCAGGTCTTGACTTGCACCACAGAGCCCACACAGGAGAGAGACCTTATAACTGTGATGACTGTGGGAAGAGCTTTAGACAGGCCTCAAGTATTTTGAATCATAAGAGACTCCACTGTCGGAAAAAACCATTCAAATGTGAGGACTGTGGAAAGAGGCTTGTATACCGGTCATACCATAAAGACCAACAAAAAGACCGCAGTGGAGAAAACCCATCCAAATGTGAGGACTGTGGGAAGCGCTACAAGAGGCGTTTGAATCTTAATATAATTTTATCATTATTTTTAAATGACACGTAAGTGTTGTGCATATTTATGTGGTATGGTGTGATATTTGAATACATATATATGATATATAATGATCAAATCAGTGTAACTAGCATATTTATCACCTCAAAGAATTATCTCTTTGTATTGGGAAAATTCAAAATTCGTTGTAGCAATTTGAAAATAAATGTTGTTGATCATAGTCACCTTTAGTGCTGCAGAACAGTAGAACTTCTTCCTCCTATCTACCTGCACTTCTGTATCCATTAGCCAACCTTTGGCCATCCCACCTATCTCCTACCCTTCCCTGCCTCTAGAGCTACTGTTCTCACTACTTCTATGAAATCAGCTTTTTTAGCTTCCACCTGTGAGTGAGGAGAGTCGGTATTTATCTTTCTTTGCTTGGCTTATGTTAAACATAATGTCCTCCAAAGCTCATCCATGTTGCCGCAAGTGACATGATTTTGTTTCTCTTGTTATATTTAAAGAGTATTTCATTGTGTATATATGCTACCTTTTCTTCATCTATTGATGGACACTTAAGTAGGTTCCATATTTTAGCTATTGTGAATAGTGCTGCAGTGAACATAGGAGTGCAAATATCTCCTCGACATACTGATTTCCTTTCCTTTGGATATACCCAGTAGTGGAATTGCTACATCACTTGAAATATTAGGCCTCAGAGGCTTCACACAGGAGAGATGCGGGAAGAAAGTTGCCCAGGTGCCAAGGCAAGAGACAGAGCACAATCTTTCCCAGTATAATCAATAACTGATTACTTAGTGTTAGCAATGATACCAAATATATTTAGAAACAATCACATAATTATATAATTAATCTTATTAAGTCATGATTCTTTATTAATCTTTGCTTTAGTATTATAGCATAAGAACATTCTAGTCTTACAGTGTAGAAACAACCAGCTGTAATATAATTAGGAACTGAAGGGACATTGTGAGAAGGGATCAGGAGACGAGAGTGAGAGTCTTGTGGTAGTGCCAGCACCTGGGAAGGCACCTGTTACTTAGCACGCAGGCCTTGCGGTAGCTCCAGTGCCTGGGAAGGCGCCCGCTAGTTAGCAGGCTGTGAAGGGGAGTTTCCATTTCACTGGTGGAGTTCAGAGAACACTCTGCTCTGCCCAGCTCTTGAGGGAAAGCCTGAGATTAGCCAGATCTGCCCACAGACATCCAGAGCGTTAAATGCCTCTCTGTGGTGCTGTGTTCTGATGTCACCATCCTTGTCCACTTTCATGTTCCACTTTCCCACCTGGCTCTCTTTTTAAGTTCTTAGAAGTTGTGAGAAGTAAGAGTAGGGGAATCCTAAAAACCTTTGATCTTTCTGATATGTGTGTAGAAAAACGCTGACATATGTGCCTCCCTCCCTTGCAGTGGCTACCTGAAAGCAAAGGGCCCCCTGTTCTGTAAGCACGTGATTTGCTTGACCCTATCAATCATGTCAGATGATTCACTCTCCTTACCCTGCCCCCTTGCCTTGTATACAATAAATATCAGCGCGTCCAGGCATTCAGGGCCACTACTGGACTCCATGCCTTGGTAGTAGTGGTCCCCCAGGCCCAGCTGAATTATTCTCTTAGCTGTGTGTCTTGTGTCTTCCTTTCCTGCAGTCTGTCATCTCTGCACACAAAAGAACACCCACTAGACCCTGTGGGGCTGGACCCTGCAGAGAGAAACCATGGAAGTGTGGGGAGACGGTATGTGCTTCATTCAGGCGTCAAGTCTTCAACTTCATCAGTGTCCAAACTAGAGAGAAACAGTAGTCGTGCAATAAAGTCTCTACTCAGTCTCGCTGCAGTCTCCTGTGAGAGTTCACAAAGAAGAGAACCATTAAAAATAAGAGGCATGTGGTAAGCACTTCAGTGTGACTTCATATCTTATCATTTATCATAGAATCAATGCTGGTGGTAGTTTTTATCTGGTCTTGTGGGAGGCAAAACATTTGTTTAAAGTTAGCGTTTCAGCCATAGCTCAGCATACCCCAGTGTTCGTAGGACTGTTATAGCAGAGAATGCTTGCAAGTCGTGCTGTAGGGTTTCAAACAGAAGTTTGACAATTAGTTATTATTCAGGAGACAGGCCTTAGTATAAAAGTTTGTTCACACACTTTCAAAACACTAATGATGAACATGTCAAAACTGAGGATCACTAGAATGTCAGCCACATGTGCCTTTGTTTTTTTGCTGCGTCCTTACATCGCTTGAGTCTGGAAGATTGAGGTTGCAGTGACCTATGTATGATAGTGCTACTACACTCCGGTCAGAGCAACAGAGTGACACCCTGTCTCAAAAAATAAATAAATAAATATCCTTTCTGTGTTTCTGGACAAACATCTTTCTGTTTCTGGGATTTTTTTGAGTGTACATACATAATGCATTACAATTCTTTTTTCTTTAGCAATGAATATTTGCTGATATTTTTCCATTTTATAAGTGTATGAATTATTTTTAGATTTCTCAGTGAACATCAGAAACCCCATCTCTACAAAAAATACAGAATTAGCCAGTTGTGGTGGCACATGTCTGTAGTCCCAGCTGGAGACTACTGGAGAGGCTGAGGCGGGAGGATTGCTTGAACCCAGGAGGCAGATATATAGACTAATAGAATAGCATTGAGAGTCCATAAAGAAACCCATACAACTAAGGCCACTTCATTTTCAAGAAGGATCCAAGATTACTTTATGGAGACAGAATGGTCTCTTCGACCAATACTGCTGGGACACCTATACACAGACACACGACATAATGAAGTTAGATTGTATCTCACACTGCACTTAAAAATTAACTCAGAATTGACAATGCCCTAATGAAAGAGCTGAACTATAAAAGTATTAGAAGAAAACACAGAAGTAAATCTTCCTGACTTTTTATTTGGAATGGATTCTTCAATGAGACAATATGAGCAAAAGCAGATAAAAATACCTAAATGGGACTTAAGTTTTAAAAAATTCTACACATACATGGCATACATGAACATTGTCAGGAACATGAAAAGACCATACAGCATGAATTGTACTATCCAGGATATGACTAGAATTCTTAAAACTCAGTAAAAGAAACCACCCAATTAAAAGTTGGGCAAAGGGCTGGGCGCAGTGTCTTATGCCTGTAATCCCAGCTCTTTGGGAGGCTGAAGTGGGCAGGTCACTTGAGGCCAGTAGTTCAAGACCAGTCTGGCCAAAACGGCGAAACCCTGTCTTTACTAAAAATACAACTAGCCAGACGTGGTGTCCTCCCGGGCTCAAACTATCCTTCCATATCAGCCTCTTGAGTAGCTGGGACTAGAGGCGCGCGCCACTTCAGGAATTCCTATCTAGAAAATTTTCTCCTGAGGACTCTGGGAGAGGGAAGGACAACTCTCAGGGTCACAGTCCACATTCCTGACCAGGCGCTTGGGTCTATAGAATTTATTCCTCGTGGACATTGTGAGAAGCCGGGGGAGGGTGACCCTATAGAACGTCTCCTTTGGCATTCAAAGAAGTGTAGCGCAGGCGATTGGCAAGTAGTCTCAGGGCGGCGTGTCCGGGGAATTCTGGGAAATGTAGTCCACGCACTCCTCCGGGTAGGGGGCACTTCCGCCCCCGGGGGGTGAGGTTGCTGCGGTGCATTCGGTGGAAATTTTGTGTTCTGCGTCTGTCGGTCTTTCTAAACACGTTCCCTAACAATGCGGGCTCGCCAACCACCTGGAATTTGACTAAAGGGAGAAGGAGCCTTGTTGGAAAACGGAGGTTTGGAAGGGCAGCGGCCGCTCTTTTTGTTCTGGTCAGCGGAGCCTTCTTGGTCCTAGCGTCCCCGGGGATGGGGCTGGGGGTTGGGACTTTGTCAGGACGCGTCTCGCCTGGTTTGGGGGTTTCTGGGGCTCTCGCTCGCTCAGTCCGCCTCCCTCCATCCCACCTGTGAGACTACTTTCTCACAATGTAGAGTTGGGATGTTATTAATCTCCCTGTACCTCCCACTGCTGTTCTTTGAAATGGGGACTCTAGGACCATCCTAATGAAATCGTTCTGGGAACTGGAGGAGGTAACACAAATGAAAGCCTTAAAGCAGTCCCTGTCCCTTAGTGACTGGTGGTCTCTTCTTAGTGTTTATTTCCCACGAAGCCTGTCAGATCCCTGGGCGGGGTAAGAGCTCCAGCTGCAGGGACCCGGCCCTTGTCTCTGATTCCTGCAGGGCTCTGGGTGATCCCGGACGCCTTCTGACCTCTTTTTAGGAAGGTGAGAGTTGTGTCCACTTCCACGAAGGGAGAGGAGCATTAAACTTTTATGGGGGACGGCGACGCGGTCAGGGTATTTCACAGCTTTCTCCTTCCCCAGCCTGGTTCTGAAAAAGAGCTGCAGGGAGGGGCTTCTTGGCTCTACTGAGGGCAAGGCTCTACGTGAGAGGTCCTTGGCTTTTTTTTTCTTTTACGGAGATGCTCACCTCAACCGAGAATGTGGGATGTGCCCTCAGGCTTGGGTGTTGATAATAATTAAGCATTAATTGGTAACGTCATTCCAAGGGCCTTATGCAATGATCACATTTTCGCCACGCCTTGGCCCTGTGGAGGGGTACTGCTTTATTTCTGTTTTAAAGATGAACGAGATACAAAGGAGCAGGAGTTCTCTGCGCATTGTCCCCTAAGTAGTAAAAGGTGGGGCTGCGGTTGAAACCTGGGTATTACAGGTCAGAGCCTTTGCTGATAATCTTTTGGATATATTCTCATTGAGGCAGAGAAACTAGCTGTAATCTGGTGTGGAAAGCGAGTTAGGATTTGATTGAAAGACCTAAGAGCAAGGCTCATGGGCTCGGACTGTTCTGGGAGTTTGTCAGCTATTTCGTTCATTACAGCCATTCATTTATTACAAATATTTAACTTGTGATGCAATGGTATCATTGTGGAGCGTTCAGAAATTAGAGAAATATGAGTCGTGCAAGTTTATAATTACCCGTGAATACAGCATGTGAAGATAGTAACCGTTAATCTTCGAATACATTTCTTTTTAGTCTTTCCTTTGGTATATTTGCATATTTATTTATAAACATTTAAACAAAATTTTATAATTTTAAAACTGTGTTTCTCCTTATATGTTTATGGAAATTTGGAAACACTGCCAAGAGGGAAATAACTAGTGAATTGCGATGTTATATCATGCTCATCCTAATTTATCTCTTTTGTTATTTTTGTAAATGTTTCCTGATATTTTAACACTTTATTTTCGTATCATTTGAAACCTATAGAAAAGTTGGCAAAAATAGTATTAGAAATTCTCATAGACCCTTTACCCAAATTTGCCAAGTGTTTTTACATTTTTCATGTTTGCTTTGTTGTTGCTCATAAGCCAGATACCAGGAACATACCTGTAGCCAGAAACAGTTGCTAGTAGCTTTCTGCAGCAAGGAAGCCCACATTCCAAGGTAATTCTGTGTGTCTTGGTAAGAGGTGTTTAGGAAAGGCTGGTTATAGGGTTTCACATAACATGCTAGATAATATTAGATATTATACTGGCTAGGCATGGCGGCTTATGTCTGCAATCCCAGCACTTTAGGAGGCTGAGGTAGGCAGATCACTTGAGACCAGGAGTTTGAAACCAACCTGACCAATGTGGAGAAACCCCATTTCTACTAAAAATTCAAAAATTAGCTGAGTGTAGTGATGTGTGCCTGTAATCTCAGCTATTAGGGAGGCTGACCTGTGAGAATTGCTTGAACCCAGGAGGCAGAGGCTGCTGTGAGCTGAGATGGTGCCCCTGCACTCTGGCCTGAGCAACCGAGTGAGACTATGTCTCAAAAAAATATATTAGATATTATACTAAGTAATATTGTTATGTGTAAAATATCAGATAGATCTGTTAAAAGACTACTAATAGTAGTTGTGTTATTTATTAGATAGTGTTGGATACCATATTACATAACATTGTTGTCTAATCTGCAGTTTTTATATTTAAATTTGTTCAGTTTTTTTATTTTGGTCCTTATAACTATCTCTGTACCACTTTTTACCTGCAACCCTAAAGTCCAATTTTATGCATTGTCTTTATTGTCACATTTCTTTTTTTTTTTTTTTTTTTTTTTGAGACAGAGTTTCGCTCTTGTTACCCAGGCTGGAGTGCAATGGCGCGATCTCGGCTCACCGCAACCTCCGCATCCTGGGTTCAGGCAATTCTCCTGCCTCAGCCTCCTGAGTAGCTGGGACTACAGGCACGTGCCATCATGCCCAGCTAATTTTTTATATTTATAGTAGAGACGGGGTTTCACCATGTTGACCAGGATGGTCTCGATCTCTTGACCTTGTGATCCACCCGCCTTGGCCTCCCAAAGTGCTGGGATTACAAGCTTGAGCCACCGCGCCCGGCCTATTGTCACATTTCTATACTCTTCTTTAATTTAGAAGGATTCCACAGCCTTTGTCTTTTATATGCATGGGTTTTTGAAGAGTATAAGCAAGTTGTTTGGTAGAATGACATTGATTTGGGGGTTATTTGATACATTTCATGTTTAGGTCTAGGTTATGCTTTTTTCTTTTTCAGAGCCAGAGTCTCACTCTTGTTGCCCAGGCTGGAGTGCAGTAGTGTGATCTCAGCTCACTGCAACTCCTGCCTCCCGGGTTCAAGTGATTCTCCTGCCTCAGCCTCCTGAGTACCTGGGATTACAGGTGCCCACCACCATGGCCAGCTAATTTTTGTATTTTTAGTACAGACAAGGTTTCACTATTTTGGCCAGGCTGGTCTTGAACTCCTGACCTCATGATCCACCCGCCTTGGCCTCCCAAAGTGCTGGGATTACAGGCGTGAGCCACCATCCCTGGCAGATTATGCATTGTTGGTAGGGATACCATAGTAGTGGTGAGGTGTCCTTTTCTTTTCTTTTCTTTTCTTTTTTTGAGACGGAGTTTTGCTCTTGTTACCCAGGCTGGAGTGCAATGGCGCGATCTCGGCTCACCGCAACCTCCGCCTCCTGGGTTCAGGCAGTTCTCCTGCCTCAGCCTCCTGAGCAGCTGGGATTACAGGCATGCGCCGCCATGCCCAGCTAATTTTTTAGTATTTTTAGTAGAGACGGGGTTTCACCATGTTGACCAGGATGGTCTGGATCTCTTGACCTCGTGATCCCCCCGCCTCAGCCTCCCAAAGTGCTGGGATTACAGTCTTGAGCCACCGCGCCCGGCGAGGTGTCCTTTTCATTGCAACATAACAGTGTCCAAATGATGTTGGATTGTCCCTTCACTGGTGATCTCAACTTCGTTCACTTGCACAAGACGAAGTCTTTCAGATTTGTCCACTGTGAAGTTACTTTTTTTTAAATTTTGAAAATAATAAAGTTTCGATGGGGAGATACATTATTAGTGGACATTCTACTGTAAAGATGAGTTTCCACTTCCCATTTATTCATTCCTTTATTCAACTATAAATATTCTATTGATATGGACTCAGAATTCGGTCTTACTGATTCAATGACATGTAGATTAACAATTATTTTTTCCACTTCTATCAAGATACATTTCACATATAGCTTTCACCCATTTCAGGCATAGAACTCAATGATTTTTAGGAATTCTGTGAAGTGGAATAACCATCATCATGATTCAGTTTAGATCATTTTCATCTCCCAGATGGACTCCTTGTGCCCATTTATAGCTAAGCCCATTCTCACCTCAAATGTGAAGCAACAACAAATCTACTTTCTCTATACATACATTTGCCTATTCTGAACATTTCATATAAATGGGATCATACAGTCCGTGGGTTTTTGTGACTGGCTTCTTTCATTTAACAAGTTTCCAGGTTTACGCATGTTGTAGCATGAGTCAGTACTTCATTTCTTTAAATTTCCAAGTAAAATTCCGTTGTATGGATAGACCACAATTTGTCTGCCCATTTACCCACAGGAGGGCATTTTGGTTGTGTGCAGTTCTGGGTTATGAATAATGCTGCTGCGAACATTCAAGTGCTAATTCATAATACGTGTTCGTGTTGTTGGGCAGCATCCCTCACCACCCCTTCATGTCTTTTTTTTTTTTTTTTTAGCCTTCCATGACACATTCCAGGTACAATTCTGTCTTCCCTCGAACTGCATAACTGAGGACTCTGCAAATTCCCTAAAGTAGGAGAAAAAAGGACGATGTTCAAGGTGAGTAAGGCTTATCTCTTTTGCTGTTCAAATTCCAACTCACTACTTAATATTGTCTTGTGTTTCTCGCAGTCTTGGGACGACTCAAGAACAGTTATTTGTGCACCTGTTGTATGCCAGGTGGCTCCTTGTTTCTTTTGTGCTGAATTTGCATTTGGATTTGATTTTGTTTACTTTTACCGTTATTTATGTTCCGAGTAGAAATTTACTGGGAAGGAGCAATTCTCCCATTTCACTACATCTCTTCACACTAATTAGGCATTTTTATTTTCTCATGCTACTCCTCATGTATATTCATAACTGTATTTGTATGGATACTTAGCTAATTTAAATTGTGTTATTTTTGTTTAATATGATATAATGTTTGTTGTTTATGATTGCATTATGTTCCCATTGAATTAATGTTCCTTTTTTTTTTTTCTTGATATGGAGTCTTGCTCTGTCGCCCAGATTGGAGTGCAGTGGTGCGATCTCGGCTCACTGCAACCCCCACCTCCGAGGTTCAAGCAATTCTCCTACCTCAGCCTCCCAAGTAGCCGGGATTACAGGTGCCCACCACCACTCTGGCTAATTTTTGTATTTTTAGTAGAGACGGGGTTTCACCATGTTGGCCAGGCTGGTTTCAAACTCCTGACCTTGTGATTCGCCTGCCTTGGCCTCCCAAAGTGCTTGGATTACAGGTGTGCACCACTGCACCTGGCCACTGTTCCTTTTTAACTACTTGATACTCACAGACACTAGGAGCTCAATTTTGAAAGGCTACTTTTGACATGTGCCATGTTGGCTGTTTTATAGATAAAATATCCACATGTGGCACAGCACAGCAGGCTGTAACTGTGGCTTCACACAAGGATTTCTGGAGATTTTCACATAGGAAGAGCTGGATTTTGTTTTCCCCATGCTTAAGTCATGCATTGTATGTATATTATTTACGCTTTTTTTCTTTATTCCTTATGTATTAAGGAGTTTGACCAAATGATAGGTAACTTCAGTTTCAAATGCCTGTGTTATCAGAAGATTCTCTAGTCACTATGCTGTTTTGATTACTGTAGCCTTGTAATATAGTTTGAAGTCAGGTAGCATGATGCCTCCAGCTTTGTTCTTTTTGCTTAGGATTGTCTTGATTATGTGGACTCTCTTTTGGTTCCATATGAAGTTTAAGGTGGTTTTTTCCAGTTCTGTGAAGAAGGTCATTGGTAGCTTGATGGGGATAGCATTGAATCTATAAATTACTTTGGGCAGTATGGCCATTTTCACGATATTGATTCTTCATAACCATGAACGTGGAATGTTTTTCCATCTGTTTATGTCCTCTCTTATTTCCTTGAGCAGTGGTTTGTAGTTCTCCTTGAAGAGGTCCTTTACATCCTTTGTCAGTTGTATTCCTAGGTATTTTATGTGAATGGGAGTTTGCTCATGATTTGGCTCTCCGTTAGTCTGTTATTGATTTGGCTCTCTGTTAGGTGTATAGAAATGTTTGTGATTTCTGCACATTGATTTTGTATCTTGAGACTTTGCTGAAGTTGCTTATCAGTTTAAGGAGATTTTGGGCTGAGATGATAGGGTCTTCTAAATATGCAATCATGTTGTCTGCAAATAGAGACAGTTTGATTTCCTCTTTTCCTAATTGAATACTCTTTTTTTTTTCTTGCCTAATTGCTCTAGCTAGAACTTCCAATACTATATTGAATAGGAGTGGTGAGAGAGGGCATCCTTGTCTAGTGCCAGATTTCAAAGGGAATACTTCCAGTTTTTTCCCATTCAGTATGATATTGGCTGTAGGTTTGTCATAAATAGCTTTTTTTTTTTTTTTTTTTTTTTTTTTTTTTGTGAAATGGAGTTTCGCTCTTGTTACCCAGGCTGGAGTGCAATGGCGTGATCTCGGCTCACCGCAACCTCCGCCCCCTGGGTTCAGGCAATTCTCCTGCCTCAGCCTCCTGAGTAGCTGGGATTACAGGCATGCGCCACCATGCCCAGCTAATTTGTTGTATTTTTAGTAGAGACAGGGTTTCACCATGTTGACCAGGATGGTCTCGATCTCTTGACCTTGTGATCCGCCCGCCTCAGCCTCCCAAAGTGCTGGGATTACAGGCTTGAGCCACCACGCCCGGCCATAGATAGCTTTTATTGTTTTAACATATGTTCCTTCAGTATCCAGTTTATTGAGAATTTTTAGCATAAAGGGCTATTGAATTTTGTCAAAGGCCTTCTCTGCATCAATTGAGATAATCATGTGGTTTTCGTCTTTGGTTTTGTTTATGTGGTGGATTATGTTTATAGACTTGCATTTTGCTCTGTTGCCTGGGATAGAGTACAGTGATGTGAGTGTAGCCTACTGCAGCCTTGAACCCCAGGGGTCCAGATCTTCCTACCTCAGCCTTCCAAGTAGCTAGGACTACAGGCACTCACCACCATGCCTGGCTAAATTTTTAAATGTATAAAGATGGTGTCTTGCTGTGTTGCCTACACTGGTCTCGAACTCCTGAGTTCAAGCAGTTCCCCCACCATAGCCTCTTAAAGCACTGGGATTACAGGTGTGAATCACTGAACCTGGTTTGAAATTATTTAATTTAAATAAATTAATTTATTATCTTATTTTATTTCTTTTTTGAAACGGAGTCTTGCTCTGTTGCCCAGGCTGGAGTGCAGCGGCGCAATCTTGGGTCACTGGAACCTCCACCTCCCGGGTTCAAGTGATTCTTGTGCCTCAGCCTCCCAAGTATCTGGGATTATAGGCCTGTGCCACCATGCCCAGTGAAATTTTTGTCTATTTTGTAGAGATGGAATTTTGCTATGTTGCCCAAGCTGGTGTCAAACTCCCAGAGCTCAAGTGATTTGCTTGTCTCGGCCTCCAAAAGTGCTGGGATTATAGGCATGAGCTAGCATGCCCAGTCAAAATTATTTTAAATCATCAGACTGGAGAGTAAGGTCTACATAACACAATTTTCTTTGCAGGACTGGTAATAATGAAAACTACATAAAATTAAATATTCATTACTTAGAATAGATAAAGATAGATCATCAGTTCTCTGTAATACTATGCAGACATGAAATAGATAACTATAATGAAAGTTATATTAAAAGGTAATAAAATTAACTAATGTTAATTAAATACCTAGTCTGTGCTACAGACTTTTCCCCATTTATATTCTCTGGTTTATCCCTGGAGAAAACTAATATAACAGTCTTCTTTTTTTTTTTGAGGCGGAGTTTCGCTCTCGTTACTCAGGCTGGAGTGCAATGGCGCAATCTCGGCTCACCGCAACCTCCACCTTCTGGGTTCAGGCAATTCTCCTGCCTCAGCCTCCTGAGTAGCTGGGATTACAGGCACTCACCACCATGCCCAGCTAACTCTTTATATTTTTAGTGGAGACGGCGGTTCACCATGTTGACCAGGATGGTCTCGATCTCTTGACCTTGTGATCCACCTGCCTCAGCCTCCCAAAGTGCTGGGATTACAGGCGTGAGCCACCGTGCCCGGCCCTAATGTAACAGTCGTTATATAGCGAAGAAACCAATGCATGTAGGCAAACTTATCCAAGGTCACATGGCTGGGAAGGCAAAGGCACAGAGCCTTAGGATTGAGCCTTGTGAGTGTTCACACATAGTGTGTTCATAGCCACACTGGCTCCACATCATGACATTCAATGCTGCAATTAATGTGTATAGTTTGTGTCTTGTTTGTTTGTTTGTAAGTGATGCTGCTAAATATAGTTTGTGTCTTGAGAGTACAGAGGACCCACTCCAGAGCTGTCCCACATAGGTTACCATAAAACTTGTTAGTTTGGCAGATATTAAAGAAAAATGGGCCAGATGCAGTGGCTCGGGCCTGTAATCCCAGCACTTTGGGAGGCTGAGGTTGGCAAATCGTCTGAGGTCAGGAGTTCATGACTAACCTGGCCAAAATGGTAAAACCCTGTCTCTACTAAAAATACAAAAATTGGCCGGGCACAGTGGCTCACGCCTGTAATCCCAGCACTTTGGGAGACCAAGGCGGGTGGATCACGAGGTCAAGAGATCAAGACCATCCTGGTCAACATGGTGAAACCCCATCTCTACTAAAAATACAAAAAATTGGCTGGGCATGGTGGCGCACGCCTGTAGTCCCAACTACTTAGGAGGCTGAGGCAGGAGAATTGCCTGAACCCAGGAGGCGGAGGTTGCGGTGAGCCGAGATCGCGCCATTGCACTCCAGCCTGGGTAACAAGAGCAAAACTCCGTCTCAAAAAAAAAATTACAAAAATTAGCCAGGTGTGGTGGTGGGCGCCTGTGATCCTAGCTATTTGGGGGGCTGAGGCAGAAGAATCACTTGAACCCAGGGGGCATAGGTTGCAGTGAGCCAAGATCGTGCCACTGCACTCCAGCCTGAGTGACAGAGCAAGGCTCTGTCTCAACAAAAAAAAAAAAAAAAAAAAAAAAAGAGAGAGAGAGAGAAATGATAATATCCAGGGTTCAAGTGCCAGAGAGAACAATGGGCATTATCAAACAAGATTGGGAGTGAACTGCTAAATGTTGCTGGGGCAACTGGCAAGTTTCTTTGAAACCTATATATCTGTAGCCCAGGATGCTGCATTTAGCATGCTAGAGGGTTACATACAAGGAGACTCAGTAAGTGCACAAAGTAAACTATAGGACTTATTCGTCATTCCTCTTCTGGTACAGGTCTGGAAAATCAATTACAGATTTCCCATTCATTCTGTCTGTATCCTGGCAATGATACAGACAGAGTGAATGGGAAATCTGTAAGTTGACCTACGTCTCTCAAGATCTACAGCAGCTTCTCATCCTTACCCTTCAGCTGCTCAGTGCCACCCTTCTCCCCGGAATCATTGGTCATGAGATTGAGATTACATATGTTTGATGTTGTAGGAGGCAGTGACCTTCAAGGATGTGGCTGTGGTTTTCACCGAGGAAGAGCTGGGGCTGCTGGGCCCTGCCCAGAGGAGGCTGTACCGAGATGTGATGCTGGAGAACTTCAGGAACCTGCTCTCAGTGGGTGAGCACAGAAACCCTCTGTAATTGAACATCAGGCCCCAAGAGTTGCTTTGTATCCTAGAGTGTCTGTATTAATTTGTTCTTACGCTGCTATGAAGAAATACTCAAGACAGGGTAGTTTATAAAGAAAAGACAGTTCATTGGCTCACAGTTTCACATGGCTGGGAAGGCCTCAGGAAATGTACAGTGATGGTCAAAGCGAAGGGGAAGGAAGGCACCTTTTTCACAGTGCAGCAGGAAGAAGTGCTGAACAAAGTGCAAAAGGCCCTTGTAAAACCATCAAATCTTGTGAGAACTCACCCAGTATTATGAGAACAGCATGGAGGAAACTCCTCCCATGATTCAGTTATCTCCCACCAGGTCCCTCTTATGACATAAGGGGATTATGGGAACTACAATTCAAGATGAGATTTGGGTGGGGACACAGCCAAACCATATCAATGTTCAAGTTCGAGTAGGCAGTGAGAACCTAAATTTCTAGTAAATTTTACCTAGGATATATTGGGATTAAGCATGTGACTTTGTTCACAGGGCATCAACCTTTCCACCGAGATACTTTCCACCTCCAAAGAGAAGAAACGTTTTGGATGATGGAGACGGCAACCCAAAGAGAAGGGAATTCAGGTAAGAACCAAGCAACCATGCATCCTTGTATGCGACTCCCCCATTGGTTTTACTTCTGTCCATTACCCAACTCCATTGCCCTGGTGCAAATGGCCAAACCTGTTTCCTGGATTATTACAACCTCCTTCCTGCTGGTTGTCCTGCTCCCCCCAACCTTCTTTCCACCCTGACATCTGTTTTCCTCATAGCAGCCAAAGTGATCCTTAGGAAATTTAAGTCAGATTGCCATTCCTCAGCTTAAAAACCTTTATAACTTCTTATTTGTATTAAAGTTACAATTGCTTTCAGTGCCTTTTAGAGACCCTGGATCTGTTCTTCATCCCCCACTGCCTCTCTGACGACATCTCCTGTGCTTTCCCTCTTGCTTCGTCTTTTCCAGCCCTGTTGTCCTCCCTGCTGTTTCTCATCCTGCCAAGGACACTGTATCGCCTGTTGCTGGTACCCAGTGACCACAAACTTAGCAGATTAAACCACAAGCATTTATCTTTGTGTTCTTCAGACCTGAAGTCTGACACATGTCACTGGACAAAAATCAAGGTGTCCCTAGGGCATTGTTCCTTTTTGGATGTTCATGGGGAAAAGCCTTCACTTTAGTTTACCAATCCCTGGGCACTGTGCACACTCCTTGGCTTCTGTTTCCCTGCCTCCATCTTCAAAGGCAGCTCCACTGCATCCCTGACCATTCTTTCATAGTCATGCCACCATTCTTCTTAAGCCTCTGTTTTCCACCTTTCAGGTCCCTTGTGATCGGATTGGTCACTCCCACATAATCTAGAATGAGCTTCCTACTTTCTGTTTAGCTGACTAGTGACCTTAATTGCATCTGCAACCATAATCTCTCTTGCTGTGTAACATAACAGGTTCATAGGTCCCCGAAGTCAGATGTGGACATCTTTCAGGAACCATTGTTCTGTCTACTACAGAAGCTTCTATCTTAGAGTTCATACATGCTCTTCTTTCTGATTGGAATATGCTTTCACCTCAAAACCTTCTGACCCTTCCTTTATTCTGCTCTCTGTTCGGTTTTAATATCATGAGAAAGGACCTTCTTTGACCACTGTTTTTAAAATACTAGCTGGGCATGGTGGCTTCACACCTGTCATCCCAGGACTTTGGGAGGCTGAGGCAGGCAGATAGCTTGAGGCCAGGAGTTCCAGATCAGCCTGGCCAGCATGGCGAAACGCTGACTCTACTAAACATACAAAAATTAGCTGGGTGTGGTGGCACAGTCCTGTAATCCCAGCTACTCAGGTGTCTGAGGCACAAGAATTGTTTTAACCCAGGAGGCAGAGGTTGCAGTGAGCTGGGATTGTGCTACTATACTCTAGCCTGGGTGACAGAGTGAGACTTTGTCTCAAAAATAAATCAATAAATCAATACTAGAATGGAATACTATCCTGTCTTTACCCTTCTGGTGTTGTCTGGTACTGTGTCTCATATATTTCTTTTTTTTTTTTTTGAGACGGAGTTTCGCTCTTGTTACCCAGGCTGGAGTGCGATGGCGCAACCTCGGCTCACCGCAACCTCCGTCTCCTAGGTTCAGGCAATTCTTCTGTCTCAGCCTCCCAAGTAGCTTGGACTACAGGCATGTGCCACCGTGCCCATCTATCTTTTGTATTTTTAGTAGAGACGGCGTTTCACCATGTTGACCAGGATGGTCTTGATCTCTTGACTTCAGTGATCCGCCCACCTCGGCCTCCCAAAGTGCTGGGATTATAGGCGTGAGCCACCAGGCCCAGCCTCATATATTTCTATTTACCTATTATCTCTACCCCTTGGAAGAGAATGTCTAGGAGGAGGACTTTTAGCTGCTCCATTTTTATTTTAGATTCATGGGGTACATGTGCAGGTTTGTTATCTGGGTATATTGCGTGATGCTGAGGTTTGCATTGTGAATGATCCCGTCACCCAGGTACGGAGCACAGTACCCAATAGTGGTGGCAGGATAACACTCAGGTTTCCAGGCTATGTGCACTGGTATTAGAGGTAGTGGTGATGGGCTGGCTAGGCCAGTCCTGAGACTCCCCACATGGTGTGTGCAGGTGAGTGTCAGCAGTGGTAGTGGCAGCAGGCTTGTAGGACCTACCCTCAGGTCTCTATGAGGAGCGCACAGATGCCAGTCATGGTGATCAGGGCAGGGAAATCCTTAGGCCTCTGGACAGCATGCTTAGGCACCTGTGGCAGGGTTCCAGGTCTGTTGTAAGGCTCTCTCCATGGTACCGTGCTCATGCCTGGGGCGACCTGACATGGCAGGGTGATCTCAACAGCCCCAAGTGGTATGCTTGGGTAGTGGAGGAATGACATCAGGCCAAGTGAGCCTGTCCTCAGGCCTTTCAGTGGTGCAGGCAGATACAGGCTGTGGTGGAAGAGGTGGCGTGATCCCTTGGTCCCCAGACGGCCTGCTCCAGCACTGGCAGCACACACCTAGGTCTTTGTCAGTTCTCTTGTTTGTGCACACATATGCCTGAGGCAACACAGGACAGAGCAATCCCCAGGTCCCTCTGTGTCATGCTTTGGCACTGAGATGGGCAGCGCCAAATGAAGTCCTAAGGTCTGCACAGGCACAGGTTGTGGTGGGCAGTGCAGTGGATTCCCCAAGCCTCTAGGTGGTGTGCTTGGGTGGCAGTGGCAGAGTGCGCAGAGATCCTTTCCTCAGAATGAGAGCACATACAAGTGTACGGTGGCCCTGCTGCTGGGGGTAGCGTTGCCGTTAGAGGCAGCAGCCCCAGACAGGCAGCTTTCAGGCTCTGGTGAGTGCACACTTTGGGTCCTTTTGTACTGTACCGGGGACAGCCTCCCTGGTGTGCTGCACTGCCCATTCCCCAGAGTGTAGGACAATATGTGGCCTAGATTGCTGGGAACTCTGCCATACTGCTGGGTCTAAGAGGCAATTGCGCTATTGCAACCCTCCAGGTGGATGTGTGTGGGGGCATGTCGTTGGGGCTCCAGGGAGTTGGAGATGCAACGGCTATTGGGCCCCAGGGCGAGATGCAGTCTGGTGGGGGTGCAGACCACAAAATAACACTGGGCCATAGCTTCTTGAGTCTCACGAGCACCCTCTCTGGAGCGGTGCCATTGCACAGAGTCCAGATAGCCCCCTATACTAGTCTCAGGGCCCACAGGGGTCAAGGGGCTCTCTCATGGCTGATTCCTGGAGTCCACAGTGGAAAGGGAAGCTACTAGGGATCTCTCACTTACCCTTTCCCAACACTGAGGAGCCTTTCGGGCTTTCAGGTCATCACGGCCAGAAGGGCTCCATCACTTTACTCTTTTGTGCTTCAGGTGTTTCCAGTCACTTCTCTGCTTTATTCCAGTGATCCCTCTTAGATGCTATTTGATGTATGATTATTTGCTTTTTAAATTTTTTATTTAAAAATATACAGAACACTTCAGGAATCCGCATATCAGCCTTGTGCAGAGGCTGGTCATTCCAATTTTACCGTATGTGCTTCTGAAGTGAGCACTACTCATTATGTTGGCTCTTTGTGGAGGAGGCAAGCTCTGGGTGTCTTCAGCCATCTTGAAGTCTTCCTACCCTTAAAGTTCCTATTGATTCACCATGTATATAGTTTATTAGTTACATAATATACCATGCAAGATTTTAGACTAACTAGGAAATTGGTAGAAATAGTAACAAGTTAACTGTATGTATTATATTAATATTTTAAATTAAGTCTTTCATTTCTACCATGTATGAGACATTGTGTGGTTCAAAACTGGTTTCATGAAAACAAGAGACTGTGGTGCACTTGGAAAACACACACTGCACCTTCCTTGTATTCAGTAAAGTTTCAGGCCATGTCCTAAGTGAAATCCTGAAAACACTGAACAAAGGCTTCACTTATCCACGTCTCTTCATTCTGTGTCCTTATAGGAGGCAAGATCCAAACTGAGTTGGAATCTGTTCCAGAAACAGGACCACATGAAGAGTGGTCTTGCCAGCAAATCTGGGAACAAATTGCAAGTAACTTAACTAGGCCTCAAGACTCCATGATAGGTAGCTCTCAGTTCTACACACAAAGTGATGTCCCCTCCCAGGTTGATGCAGGACTATCTATAATTCACATAGGACAGACACCTTCTGAGGATGGGAAGTGTAAAAAATCCTTCAGTGATGTCTCCATCCTTGATCTTCATCAACAATTACACTCAGGAAAGATGTCCCATACATGTAATGAGTATAGGAAGAGCTTCTGTTATAGCTCAGCTCTTCATATTCATCAGAGAGTTCACATGGGAGAGAAACGCTATAAGTGTGATGTGTGTAGTAAGGAATTTAGTCGGCGCTCATATCTGCAAACTCATCAGAGAATCCACACTGGAGAAAAACCATTCAAATGTGAGCAGTGTGGGAAAGGCTTCAGCCGTAGATCAGGAATTTATGTTCATTGCAAATTACACACAGGAGAAAAACTTCATATTTGTGAGGAATGTGGGAAGGCTTTCACTCACAATTCCCAGCTTCAGGAACATCAAAGAATCCATACTGGGGAGAAGCCATTTCAATGTTATATATGTGGTAAGAGCTTCCGTAGTAGAGCAAATCTTAATAGGCATTCCATGGTCCACATGCAAGAGAAGTCATTTAGATGTGATATCTGTAGTAATAGCTTTGGTCCAAGACCAGCACTTAATAGTCATTGCATGGTCCACACAGGAGAGAAACTATACAAATGTGAAACGTGTGGAAGGAGCTTCATTTGTAGGCAAGATCTTTATAAGCATCAGATAGGACCACACAGGAGACAAACCATATAGTTGTAATGTATGTGGGAAGAGCTTCAAGTGGTCCTCATGTCTTTCAAGACATCAGCGGGTCCACAATGAAGAAACAACATTCAAATGTGACAGATGTGGGAAGAAATTTTATATGAATTCACAGGGCCATTCACATCAGAGAGCCCACAGAGAAGAAAAACTGTATAAATGTCAGAAGTGTGGGAAGGGCTACATTAGTAAGTTTAATCTTGACTTGCACCAGAGGGTCCACACGGGAGAGAGACCTTATAATTGTAAGGAATGTGGAAAGAGCTTTAGGTGGGCCTCAGGTATTTTGAGACATAAGAGACTCCATACTGGAGAAAAACCATTTGAATGTGAAGAGTGTGGGAAAAGATTTACTGAGAATTCAAAACTTCGTTTCCATCAAAGAATTCACACCGGAGAAAAGCCGTACAAATGTGAGGAGTGTGGAAAGGGCTTCAGATGGGCCTCAACTCATCTAACCCATCAGAGACTCCACAGCAGAGAAAAACTCTTCCAGTGTGAGGACTGTGGGAAGAGCAGTGAGCACAGTTCATGCCTTCAAGACCAACAAAGAGACCACAGTGGAGAAAAAACATCCAAATGTGAGGACTGTGGGAAGCGCTACAAGAGGCGCTTGAATCTAGACATGATTTTATCATTATTTTTAAATGATATATAATTATCGTCCATATTTATGGGTTATGGCCTATTTCAATACATGTATAGAATGTATAATGATCAAATCAATGTTATTAGCATATCTATCACCTCGTTTATCATTTGTGATCATTTATCATTTCTTTATGTTTTGAACTTTCAAAAATCTGCTGTTCTAGTTACTTGAAAATAAATTATTATGAATTATAGTCACCCTTAGTACTGTGGAACATTAGAACTTGTTCCCTTCATCTTACTGTACTTTTGTATCTGTTAACCAGCCTTTCACCATCCATTCTCCCTCCTGCTTTTCCCTTTTAGTAATTGCTATGCCATGCTGCTTCTGCTTTTATTTTTTATTTTTTTTTATTATTTTTTAAGACAGTATAGTGGCACAGGAGCTCACTGCAGCTTCTGCCGCCCAGGTTCAAGCAATTCTCCTGCCTTAACCTCCCGAGTAGCTGGGATTACAGGCACACACTACCACACCTGGCTAATTGTTGTATTTTAAGTGGAGACGGGGTTTCACCATGTTGGTCAGGCTAGTCTTGAACTCCCAACCTCAAGTGATCCACCTGCCTTGGCCTCCCAAAGTGCTGGGATTACAGGCATAAGACACTGTGCCTGGCCAATGCTATGCTGCTTCTATGATGTCAACTTTTTAGCTTTCACATATGAATGAGAACATGTATTATCTTTCTGGGCCTGACTACATCACTCAACATCATGTTCTCCAAAGCTTATTTCTATCTTGCCATAAATCACAGAATTTTGTTATTTTTTATGGTTAGTGTTCCTTTGTGTATGTATGCCACATTTTCTTTACCATTTTCTATTGGTGAACACTTAGGTTGATTCCACATGTGAGCTACTGCAAATAGTACTATAATAAATATAGGAGTGCAGACAGGAGTTCAACACATGGATTCCTTCCTTTCCTTTGGATATACAGCTAGTAGTGGGATTGCTTGATCACTTGAATCTTAATCTGCATAAGAGAATCTACACTAGAGAAAAACCATGGAAGTGTGGAGAGTGTGGTCTATGTTTCAGTCAGGCATCACATCTTCAAATTTAGTGTCTATTTGGTAGAGAAACCTTAATGGTGTGATATATGTGACACTCTTTCCTTCGCCTTAACAACTGTAATCTCATATGAGAACTCATGAAAGAGAAACATTTAAAATGACTAAATGCGTGGCCAGGTGCCATGGCTCACGCCTGTAATCCTAACACTTTGGGAGGCCAAGGTGGGCAGATCACTTGAGGTCAGGAGTTTCCAACATAATGAAGTTAGATCTGCACTTCACACAATACTTAAAAATTAACTCAGAATGATCAATGACCTAAATAAAAGAGCTTAAGCTATGTAACTCAGAATAAAACATAGAGGTTAACCTTCAAGACTTTTTATTTGAAATAGATTCTTAGATAAGACACCATATGCACAAACAAAGCCCATATAAATTGGACTAGAATTTAAAAAATGCTATGCATAGACATTGTCAAGAGCATGAAAAGACCATTCAATGTGGCTTCTAGAATCAGAATATATAAAGAACTCTTAGACCAGGTGAGGTGGCTCTCACAATCCCAGCACTCTGGAAGGCTGAGGTGGGTAGATTACTTGAGCACAGGAGTTTGAGACCTGCCTGGGCAACATGGCAAAAACCATGTCTCTACTTAATAAATAAGGAAGTAAGTAAGCCAGGCATAGTGCCTGTGGTCCCAGCTACTCGGGAGGCTGAAGCAGAAGGAACGCTTGAGCCCAGGAGGTCAAGGCTGCAGTGACATGTGATTGCACCATTAAAGAACTCTTACAACTCAATAATAAGAAGAGAAACCATCCAATTTTCTAATGAGCAAAGATACAAATAGAAATTTCAGATATACAAGTTACCAACAATCGTGAAAAGATGCTCATCTATTAGGAAAATGCAAATCAAAACATAATGAGATGCCATTTTACAACAGCTATCTTAGCTACCATTTTTAGAAATAGAAAATAGCCAATGTGGTGGCAGGCACTGTAGTCCCAGCTACTTGGGAGGCTGAAGTAGGAGGATCACTTGAGCCCAGGAGTTCTGAGGTGTATCGAGCTATGCCCGCAGGGTGTCCACACTAAGTCGACGTCAACGTGGTGAGCTCCCAGGAGCACGGGACCACCATGTTGCCTCAGGAGGGGTAAACTGGCCCAAGGTGGAAACAGAGCAAGTCAAAACTCTCATGCTGATCAGTAATAGGATGTTGTCTGTGAACAACCACTGCAATCCTGCCTGCACAACATAGGGAGATCCCGTTTCCAATTTACACACACACACACACACACACACACACACACACACATTTTATACATAGATAAAAGTATTGGAGAGGATATGGAGAAATTACTACCCTCACGCACTGAAGGTGGGAATGTAAAAATGGTGCAGTTGCTGTGACTGCTTATTGGGTATGGAGTCTTTGGGGTGATAAAAATGTTTCCTAACTTTCCTCACTTCCTAACTGATATCCTAAAATGGTGAATTTTACGTTTTGTGCATTACACCTCAATAGAGATGTTTTAAATAAAATACGTTAAAATGTTTTGCACAGATAAAACAAGAAAGAAAAAACACCGAATGTTTTTGTTGAGAAAATATTTGCGAGATAAATGTTAATATCATGAATATTAAAACTGTGCTTGAAAAGTGAGGGATAAAGACCAAAAAACAGGAAAGTGGGCAAAACATCTGGACAATTTACAGAAAATGTAATAATGACATCTGAAAATATACAAGAATATTCCATTTTGTTTACAAGAGATATAAAACTACATGCCATTTCTTACCACTGGCAAAACTTAATTATTTGAAGATTGTATCATCTCCCTTGTTCCCTTTCCAGTAACACTCCTGTCATCATGAGTGGCGTTTAGACTGCAGGAATTCCTGTCTATACGATATTTTTTCTTGAGTACTGGGGACACGGAAGGACGACTCTCAGGGTAGAAGTCCACATTTCCCCACAGGCGCTCGGGGATATGGGATCCGCTCCCCGTGGGAAGAGCAGCGAAGGGCTTTCCCGTAGCTGGGAACGCTTTTCCCCTGGAGGCTGATGCAGCCGGAGTGCAGTCCAGACGCTCCGTAGAGTCGCGGTCAGTTTGGCTACGGCAGGCGGATCCAGGGGAGTTCTGGGAAGTGTAGTCCAGACGCTCAGTGGAGTAGCGGTCAGTTTGGCTACGGCAGGCGGATCCCGGGGCATTCTGGGAAGTGGAGTCCAAACCCTCCGAGGCGTCGCGGGCGTTTCCTCTCGGGGACTGAGGTTGGTGAAGTTTGTCCGCGATAGTTTGTGTCAGCTCCGCGCCTTGAGGACCCTTCTGAATTTCCGGGACCTACGCATTGGATTCTCTACAAACTGGTGATCGAATTAGGGGTAGAAGAGTCTCGTCGGAGAGCCGAGGTTTGGAGGGGCAAGGGCCGCTGTTTTCGTTTTCGTCAATCCCTTCTTGGGCTTGGGGCTGTCCTCGCGTCCCGCGTGCATTGGTCAGGTCGCGTCTCACCCGGTTTCAGTGTTTTCGGGGCTCTGAGCTCGCCCACTCCGCCTCCCTGCACCCCACACGCGTGGCCACTTCCTCCCGATAGAACGCTGGGGTGTTCATCTCCTTGGGTCTGCCGTGACTGTTTTTTAAAATGGGCACTTTAGGACCATTTCTGATAGAATCGTTTTGGGAACTGGAAGAGGTAACGCAAATGAGAGCCTTAAATCAGTCCCCGTCCCTTGGTGACTGGTGGTCTCTTGTTAATTTCTCACGAAGCCTGTCAGGTCCCTGGGTGGGGTCAGAGCTCCAGCTGCAGCGGCACCGGCCCTTCTCCCTTGTCCCTGCAGGACGCTGGATGATCCCGGTCGCCTTCTGACCTCTTTTTAGGAGAGCGAGGGTTGCGTGCGCTTCTAGGAAGGGACAGGATAATTTAACTTTTAATTTATTTTTATTTTTATTTTTTTGAGACGGAGTTTCGCTCTTGTTACCCAGGCTGGACTGCGATGGCGCGATCTCGGCTCACCGCAACCTCCGCCTCCTGGGTTCAGGCAATTCTCCTGCCTCAGCCTCCTAAGTAGCTGGGATTACAGGCACGCGCCACCATGCCCGGCTAATGTTTTGTATTTTTAGTAGAGACGGGGTTTCACCATGTTGACCAGGATGGCCTCGATCTCTTGACCTCGTGATCCACCCACCTCGGCCTCCCAAAGTGCTGGGATTACAGGCGTGAGCCACCGCGCCCAGAGAATTTAACTTTTATGGCAGGCACCTGTAGAGTCCCAGCTACTTGACGCGGTAAGGGTGTTTCACAGCCTTCTCCTTCCCCAAGCCGACCTTTCCAAAAGAGCTGCAGGGAAGGACTTCTTGGCATCTGAGGGCAAAGCTCTACGTGAGGGGTCTTTGGTTCTTTTCTTTGTCAGAGATCCTCACCCCAACCAATATGTGGTATTGGAGAGTGTATAGGATGTTTTCTCGAGAATGAGTGTTGATATTAAGTCTTAATTAATAACTTCATTCTAAGGGCTTATGCCACACCGTGGCTCTGTGGAGAAGTGTCAGTTTTTTTCTATTTTAAAAACGAAAGTGAGACACAGAGCACATAGACACCCGACTAGTGAGAGGCGGAGCTGAGGTTGGAACCTAAGCAGTCTGGGTCAAAGCCCGATTTTATCTTCTCTTGGATACGTTCTCATTGAAGCAGAGGAACTAGCTGGACTCAGGTGGGGAAAGCAAGTTAGGACTTTGGGAGGCCTAGGCGGGCGGATCACAAGGTCAGGAGTTCAAGAGTAGTCTGGCCAACATGGTGAAACCCCCGTCTCTACCAAAAAATAAAAATAAAAAATTAGCCAGGAGTGGTGGCAGGTACTTGCAATCCCAGCTACTCGGGAGGCTGAGGCAGGAGAATTGATTGAACCTGGGAGGCGAAGGTTGCAGTGAGTAGAGTTTGTGCCATTGCACTCCAGCCTGGGTGACAGTGCAAGACTCTCTCTCAAAAAAAAAAAAGGAACAAAATGTTTTTATTACCCACGAACCCATGATGTAAAAACAGCAACTGTTACGCTTCTAATGTATTTATTTCTTTTTGTATATTTATATGTTTATGAACATTTTTTAAAAATTTATATATATATATATATATATATATATATATTTTTTTTTTTTTTTTTTTTTTGAGACGGAGTTTCGCTCTTGTTACCCAGGCTGGAGTGCAATGGCGCGATCTCGGCTCACCGCAACCTCCGCCTCCTGGGTTCAGGCAATTCTCCTGCCTCAGCCTCCTGAGTAGCTGGGATTACAGGCATGCACCACTATGCCCAGCTAATTTTTTGTATTTTTAGTAGAGACAGGGTTTCACCATGTTGGCCAGGACGGCCTAGATCTCTTGACCTCGTAATCCACCCACCTCGGCCTCCCAAAGTGCTGGGATTACAGGCTTGAGCCACCGTGCCCGGCAATATTTTTTTCTTAATGTTTCCCCCTTATGTGATTAACTATGGAAATTTCCAAATACAAAGAGAATAAACTAGTCAATTACCATGTTATTAATCTCATTGTTGTTATTTTTCCTATGACTGTTTCCTGAAATTATAAAACTTTATTTTCATGTCATTTGAAGCCTATAGAAAAGTTGCAAAAATAGCCTAAGAAGTTCTTATTTACTCTTTACCCACATTTGCCAAGTGTTTATATTTTTCCTCTTTGCTTTGTTGATGACCATCAGCCAAATATCACCAGAAACATACCTGTAATCAGAGACAGCTGATTATACCTTTCTGCAGCAAGGAAGCCCACATACCAGAGGCTGTCTTCGTAAGAGTTTAGGAAGGGCTAGCATATGGTTTCACATAACATATTAGATAATATTAGATTATATACCAGATACAGATATTTATTAAATATTAGATATCTATTAGAGGACTGCTAGTAGTTAATTGTATTATCTATTAGATAGTGCTAGATAACATATTACCTAACATCATGTTATGCACTCTGCAGTTCTGTGTTTAAATTTGTTCTGTTTTTCACTCAAGGTTCTTACAAGTGTCCACTCCCCACTCGCCACCACCACCTCTGTCCACAATCTAATTTTATGCATTGCTTTTAGTTGTCCCATTTCCATAATCTTCTTTAATCTGGAGGATTCTACACCCTTTGTCTTTCTATGCTTGATGTTTTTGAAGAGTATAAGCAAGTTATTTTGGAGAAAGGCATTCATTTGGGGTTGTGTCTGATAAAATTTATGTGCAGGTTCAGATTATGCTTTGTAGGGATACCACAGAAGTGGTGAGATGTCCTTTTCATTGCAACATAACAGGGTCCAAGTGATGTCAGTTTGTCTCTTTATTGGTGATCTCAACCTTTTCCACTTGGCCAAGATGCTGTCTTTCAGATTTCTCCACTATAAAGTTAGAATTAAAAAAAAAATAATGTTTCTTAGGAATAGATAACATTACTAGTGGGCATTCGGCTGTAAAATGACCTTTTTCTCCATTTATTCTTGGATTTGTTCAACTGCAAATATTCTGTCAATATGGACTCTGAATTGATTCTTGTTAAGTTAAATGACGTATATGTTAACAATTATTTTTTCCCAGCTATCGTATCAGAGAACTTAACTTATTTCAGGTGTACATCCAGTGATCATTAGAAAGTTTGCTGAAGGGAGTAACCATCACCACAATTCAGTGATCTTTTCATTCCTGTATGGGTCTCCTCATGCCTACTTAGGGTTAGACTTCATTCTCACTCAGCTCTGAAGCAATTGCTAATCAGTTTTCTCTCTCTGTGCATTTTCCTACCTGGACTTTTTACAGAAATGGAATCCTGCAATATGTGGTCCTTTGTAACTGGCTTCTTTCATTTAGCATAATGTTTCAAAGGCTCATGTATGTTGTGGCATGAGTCAGTACTTCAGTTTCCTTAAATTTCCAAAGAAGATTCCATTGTTTGGATAGACCATGATTTGTCTATCCATTTACCCATAGGAGGGCATTTTGGTTGTGCTGTTTTGAGTTTTTATGATTAACGCTGGCTGTGAACATTCATGTGCCAATTCACAACACACATCCCTGTTGGTGGGTGGCATCCCTGGCCACCTTTTCATGTCTCTTTTTCTGTCTTTTCTGGCACTTTGCAGGGACAATTCTGCTTTCCCAGGAATTGCATCACTCAGTACGCCGCAAGTTCCCAGAAGAGGGAAGATGACCACGTTCAAGGTGAGTAGGATTTGCTTCTCTCACTCTTAAAATTCCATCTCAGTACTCAGACTGTCACAAGTTTTTCTCTGTCTTGGGAAGGTTCGAGGAGAAAAACAAGCATTTGAGGATCTCTTGTGTACCAGGTGCTTCCTTTGTTACTTTTGAGTGGATTTTACGTTTGTTTTTAGTTCTTGTTTTCTTATATCATTTAGTCTATGGAGTAGACAAGATTGTTGGAATGGATAATTCTTTTATTTTACTACTTCTCTGCTCACACATTGGCTATTTTTATCCTCTAATACAATACTCTTCCTCATGTACATTCGTAACTGTATTTGTATTGGTGATACTAATTTAAATTGCACTCTTTGTATTTAATATTATATAATGTTCATTTTTAATGGTTGCATCATGTTCCCATTTAAATCGGTGCTCCTTTTTTTTTTTTTTTTTTTTTTTTTTGAGACAGAGTTTCGCTCTTGTTACCCAGGCTGGAGTGCAATGGTGCGATCTCGGCTCACCGCAACCTCCGCCTCCTGGGTTCAAGCAATTCTCCTGCCTCAGCCTCCTGAGTAGCTGGGATTACAGGCACACACCACCGTGCCCAGCTAATTTTTTGTATTTTTAGTAGAGACGGGGTTTCACCATGTTGACCAGGATGGTCTCGATCTCTTGACCTCGTGATCCACCCGCCTCGGCCTCCCAAAGTGCTGGGATTACAGGCTTGAGCCACCACGCCCGGCTCCCGGGAACTCAATTTTGAAAGGGTACTTTAAATGTGTGCCACGTTGGCTCTTTTGCAGATGGAGTACCCATATGTGGCATATTATGGCAAGCTGTAACTGTGGCTTCACACAAGGATTGCTGGAAGTTTCCACACAGGAAGAGCTAGATTTTCTTTCCCCCATGTCTGGGTTGTGCCTTCTGTGTCTTTTATTTAGTGGTCTTTCTTTATTCCTTTATATGTTAAGAAATTTGACCAAAGTAATATTTAATGTACATTTTTTGTGCATGATACTAGATTTGCCAATCTTTGTGTTTTGTTTCTTCATTTACTTCTCAAAACAGCTGAATGAGGCAGTTCTTATCTTCCTCTTAAACACATGAAATATAAGAAACCTGCTCATGTTCAGACAGGAGACTGAGAGTCAGGAATATTAGCCGTTTCACTCAGTTGAAAGAGAGAGAAAAAGAAAGCGAGAATTCTCCCTTGAGTGGCCTGTGCCCTGTGGTGTGGGTGTCTGGAGTATCCTGCTGAGTGATGACATCCACAGGTGGCGCTGCTCCTCCCTGGCCCTACCTTGGGAGGGGGATGCCTTCTCTTCTTGTCATAGTACCTCTTCCTTGGCCCCCAGCACTTCAGGTACCCAAAACCAGCAATTACCATAGTCATTACAGAAATGGAAACATTAAGGGAAACATTAAGGGAAAAGATGCCTTACACAGTGTTACCAGAAAACGTAATAGTCTAAGATGAAAATACCCTTTGGATATCTAAAAAAAGATACAATCCAAAATAAGAATCTTATGCACAGAATAGAGAAGAAAATCCAAAGAAATATGAATAAAGGAGATTACCAGGAATGTATCCAAGGAGAAAAACAGGTGGCAACAAATATTTGAAAAGATGATGATATTCATTTATAATCAAATAAATGAGAATAATAAAACAAAATCGTGGCCAGGCCTGTGACTCACACCTGTAATCTCGGCACTTTAGGAAGCTTAGGAAGGAAGATTGTTTGAAACCAGGAGCTCAAGACCATCCTGGTAAACATAGCAAGATGCTATCTCTACAAAAAAAAAAAAAAAAAAAGGCCGGGCGCGGTGGCTCAAGCCTGTAATCCCAGCACTTTGGGAGGCCAAGGTGGGTGGATCACAAGGTCAAGAGATCGAGACCATCCTGGTCAACATGGTGAAACCCCGTCTCTACTAAAAATACAAAAAATTAGCTGGACATGGTGGTGCGTGCCTGTAATCCCAGCTACTCAGGAGGCTGAGGCAGGAGAATTGCCTGAACCCAGGAGGCGGAGGTTGCGGTGAGCCGAGATCGCGCCATTGCACTCCAGCCTGGGTAACAAGAGCGAAACTCCGTCTCAAAAAAAAAAAAAAAAAAAAAAAAAGGACCAAAAAACCAAAAACAGTTTCTTTCTGATCACAGTACCAGAATAATGAGAAAATCGATAACCTGCTTTGGGCTATATTAAGAAAAATCAGAATAATGTATCCCCTTGAAAAATTTTGGAGTTAAAAAAATTGAGAAAATGTGACACATAATCACAATTTTAAACATTCTTATTTTTTGACATTTTATTATTTAAAACTTATTTAAATAGGAGAGTAAGATCTATCTGAAATGATGTTCTTTATTGGATTGGTAATCATGGAAAATATATAAAATTAAATGTTCATTATTTAGAATAACAATAGATCAATTCCATGGAACACTGCAGATATGAGATAAAGTCAATAACAATGACTGACAAAAATAAAAACAGCTAATGTTAAGTATTTAGTCTATGCTACACATGTTTCCCCAGTACCATATGTATATTCCACTATTTAATTCTTTAAAAACTGTATCCTGAGACAATCATTATACAGAGAGGAGAGTAATGCATTCAGGCCAACTTGTCCAAGGTCACATGACTGGGAAGGGACAGAGTCTTATGTATGCACTCTGAGGCACGCTGGCTGCAGGTCATGACATTCAGTGTTGAAATTAATGTATGTAGTTTTTGCCTTGAGAGTACAGAAGACTCACTGCATAACTACTCACACATATCACCATAAGATTGTCAGTGTGGGGCCAGGCATGGTGGCTCAAGCCTGTAATTCCAGCACTTTGGGAGGCCAAGGCAGGTGGATCACGAGGTCAAGGGATCGAGACCATCCTGGTCAACATGGTGAAACCCCGTCTCTACTAAAAATACAAAAAATTAGCTGGGCATGGTGGCATGTGCCTGTAATCTCAGCTACTCAGGAGGCTGAGGCAGGAGAATGGCCTGAACCCAGGAGGCGGAGGTTGCGGTGAGCCGAGATCGCGCCATTGCACTCCAGCCTGGGTAACGAGCGAAACTCTGATGCAAAAAAAAAAAAAAAAAAGAAAAAAAGATTGTCAGTGTGGCAAATGTTTGTGTTTTTTTTTCCTCTTTTTTATTCTTACACAGAAAAAAAGCAGATGTTAAAGCAAAACAATAACATCCAGGGTTGGAGTTTGAGAGAGGGAGACAATGGGCATTATCAAACAAATCAGGACTGAATTGCTAACTGTTACTGAGGTGACTGTCAAGATTTATCAAAACAGCTGGGCGTGGTGGCTCAAGCCTGTAATCCCAGCACTTTGGGAGGCTGAGGCGGGTGGATCACGAGGTCGAGAGATCGAGACCATCCTGGTCAACATGGTGAAACCCCGTCTCTACTAAAAATACAAAAAATTAGCTGGGCATGGTGGCACGTGCCTGTAATCCCAGCTACTCAGGAGGCTGAGGCAGGAGAATTGCCCAAACCCAGGAGGCGGAGGTTGCGGTGAGCTGAGATCGCGCCATTGCACTCCAGCCTGGGTAACAAGAGCGAAACTCTGTCTCAAAAAAAAAAAAAAAAAAAAAAAAAAGATTTATCAAAACATATATGTGTGTAGCCCAGGATGCCGCGTGTAGAGTCCTAGAGGGTTACTTACAAGGAGACTCAATTATTGCGTGAAGTAAAAATACAGGTCTTTTTCATCATTTCATTTTTCATGGAACTCAGGAAAATCAGTCATTGTCAGGATACAGACAGAATGAGTAGGAAATCTATGAGTTGACCTGTGTCTCTCAAGATCCAAAACAACTTCCCACCCCTCCCCTCTCTCTACTCAGTGCCACCCCTCCCTCTTGCAGGAATCACTGGTCATGAGATTGAGGTTGCATATGTTTGATGCTGTAGGAGGCACTGACCTTCAAGGACGTGGCTGTGATCTTCACTGAGGAGGAGCTGGGGCTGCTGAACCCTGCCCAGAGGAAGCTGTACCAAGATGTGATGCTGGAGAATTTTAGGAACCTGCTGTCAGTGGGTGAGCACAGGCACCCTCTGTAATGGAACATCAGGCCTCAGGAGTGACTTTGTATGCTAGGGTACAAAGTTTCAAGGGTTGCCGGGAGTGGTGGCTCACGCCTGTAATCCAAGCACTTTGGAGGCCAAGGCGGATGGAACACCTGAGGTTGGGGGTTCAAGACCAACCTGACCAACATGGTGAAACCCTGTCTTTAAAAAAAAAAAAAGGTTTCAAGTGTTAATTAGTAACTTGAAATTTTACCTTGATATTACCTAGAATGCATTGGAATTAAGCACATGACTTTGCATGTTTGCAGGACAGCAAGCATTTGACAGGGATACTTTCCATTTCCTCAGGGAAGAAAAGGTTTGGATGATGAAGACAGCAACCCAAAGAGAAGGGAATTCAGGTGAGAATCAAGCAAGTGTGAATCCCTGTAGGTCTCTTCCATCTTTTTTACTTCTGTCCGTGCTCAAATCCGTTGCCTTGGCCTAAATGGCCAAACCTCTTTCTTGGATTACTGACAGCCATCTTACACTTGGTGACTCTGCTGCCTGCCTTTCCACCCTGACATCTCTTCTCGTAGCAGCCAAAGTGATCCTTAGGAAATGTAAGTCAGGTTGCTATTCCTCAGCTCAAAAGCCTTTTTGGCTTATTTTCATTAAAGTTACAACCTCTTTTTTTTTTCTTTTTTTTTTTTCTGAGACGGAGTCTCCCTCTGTTGCCCAAGCTAGAGTGCAGTGGTGCAATCTCGGCTCACTGCAACCTCCGCCTCCTGGGTTCATGTGATTCTCATACCTCAGCCTCCCACATAGCTGGGATTATAGGCATGTGCCACCATGCCTGGCTAATTTTTGTATTTTTAGTAGAGATGGGGTTTCAACATGTTAACCAGGCTGGTCTCGAACTACTGGGCTCAAGCGATCCACCAGCCTTGGGCTCTCAAAGTGATGGGATTACAGACATGAGCCCCTGTGCCTAGCCTCTGCCTTGTTTTTTGTTTGTTTGTTTGTTTTTTAATGAGAGTCTAATATCCCTGGAGCATGACCCCTCAGGCATTCTTTTTTTTTTTTTTTTTTGAGGAGGAGTTTCGCTCTTGTTACCCAGGCTGGAGTGCAATGGCAAGATCTCGGCTCACCGCAACCTCCTCCTCCTGGGTTCAAGCAATTCTCCTGCCTCAGCCTCCTGAGTGGCTGGGATTACAGGCACGTGCCACCATGCCCAGCTAATTTTTTGTATTTTTAGTAGAGACGGGGTTTCACCATGTTGACCAGGATGGTCTCGATCTCTTGACCTCGTGATCCACCCGCCTCGGCCTCCCAAAGTGCTGGGATTACAGGCTTAAGCCACCACGCCTGGCCCAGGCATTCTTTTTATCCCAAGTGTTCTCACTACCTTTCATTGTCTCATCAGGAGCATCACCCTTTGCATACCCCTGTCAGGTCCTACCTTTCCGATTCCCATCAAAACTGCAGTTGTCTGTTTCTTACCTGTTTCAGGTAACCAAATTATTGTTCATATCTACACAGAAAAATAAAACTAAAGATACACATTATACAAAATTCTAGTGTAGGAATATTATAAATATGTAGATAAAACACTCCTAGGTCATTGGTATTATTGTGAAGAGTTTAAGTGACTACACAGTTTAGAGCAAGAGTTTACAGAAGATCACTCTCACTTCACACCAACTGCAGATGTGGGGATTTCCTAAAACTACCTTCACATTCAGTAATTACCTAGAAAGACGAGCAGAACTCACTGAATGCTTTTATACTAAAAGTTATGGGTATTAACAGGGTAGAGATGCACATTACATTTTACTAAGAGAAAAGTAAAATAAGAAACAGTTCTGGGATGTACCAAATGAGGATCTTGTATTGTATCCTCCTGATAGAGTAGATTGTGTCACATTCCTAGAATTAAGGTGCGATGTAGAGAATACAGCCAACCAGGGAAGCTCACCTGAGCTCTGGTTTTACAAATAATTTTGGGGGCTCTATTACATAGCCATTATTTGTTGATTGATTCCCATGTGGCTAATCAGTCTCCTGGGCCACTGATTCCATGTAACCTAAAGCCCCACCTTAAATCACATTGCTCTTTGTGACATGGGGGCACCAACCCCCAAAGGGGTAGCCAGCCACAACCCTAAATTATATTGTTTCACTATCCAGAGACCCAGTTTTACCACCAAGCAAACAAAGACACTCTCCTCAGGCATGACACTTCAAACTCCTAGCGATCACCTCTCAGATCATGAGGACAACATCCAGACCTCATTCTGAATGAGGTTAATTTCTTTACTTTTTAAGGATACACAATATAAACACAAATGTACCAAGTATTTATTATGTTATTTTTCTTTAAAGTTGGTTTGATTCATATTTTATTAAATATATCATTTATTAGTTTCATGATTTGCCATACAAGATTTTAGACTGATTAGGAAATTCACTAGGAAGAGTAGCAGGTATAATATTTGTATCATATTAATTTTATTATTAAGACTTTTTATTTTATTAAAAACATTTATTTAATTTCAGTAGCTTTTGGGGTTTGGTGGTTTTTGGTTACATGTGTGAATTGTCTAATGGTGAATTCTGAGATTTTAGTGCACCCATCACCTGAGTAGTGTACATTGTACCCAGTGTGTAGCTTTTTATCCCTTTCCCCACCTTCGACTCTCCTCCTTTTGAGTCTCCATACTCCGTTATATCACTCTGTATGCCTTTGCCTACCCATAGCTTAGCTTTCACTTATAAGTGGAAACACAGTATTTGGTTTTCCATTCCTGAGTTACTTTACTTAGAATAATGGCCTCCAGCTCCATCCAAGTTGCTCCAAAAGACATTATTTCTTTCTTTTTTATGGCTGAATAGTATTCCATGGTGTATATATACCACACTTCTTTTTTTTTTTTTTTTTTTTGAGACAGAGTTTCGCTCTTGTTACCCAGGCTGGAGTGCAGTGGCGCGATCTTGGCTCACCGCAACCTCCGCCTCCTGGGTTCAGGCAATTCTCCTGCCTCAGCCTCCTGAGTAGCTGGGATTACAGGCATGCGCCACCATGCCCAGCTGATTTTTTGTATTTTTAGTAGAGGCGGGGTTTCACCATGTTGACCAGGATGGTCTTGATCTCTCGACCTTGTGATCCACCCGCCTCGGCCTCCCAAAGTGCTGGGATTACAAGCTTGAGCCACCGCGCCCGGCCTATACCACACTTTCTTTAGACACTCGTTCATTGATGGGCACTTAGGTTGGTTCCATGTCTTTGAAACTGTAAATTGTGCTGTAATAAATATATGTGTGCAGGTGTCTTTTTGATGTAATGACTTATTTTCCTTTGGGTAGAAAGTAGTGGGATTGCTGGATCAAACTGTAGATCCACTTTTAGTTCTTTAGGGAATCTCCATACTCTTTTCTTACAGAGGTGGTACTAATTTACATTCACACCAGCAATGTGTAAGCATTCAAGCATTCCCTTTCATCACATCCGTGCCAACATCTATTGCTTTTTTGTAAGTCTTTTATTTCTACCAAGTATTTTACATATGATTCTTGGTTTGGTTCTAAATTGGCCTCATCCAAACCGGAGATTATGGTACACTTGAAAAATACAAACTGAATGTTGTCTGTATTCATGAAAGTTTCATGCCATAGACTAAGTGAAATCTTGATAACACTGAACAAAGGCTTCACTTGTCCTTATCTCTTAATTCTGTATTCTGATAGGAGGCAAGATCCAAACTGAGATAAAGACTGTTTCACAAGCAGGAACACATCAAGAGTGGTCCTGCCAGCAAATCTGGGAAAAAATTGCAAGTGATTTAACCAGGTCTCAAGCCTCAGTAATAAATAGCTCTCAGTTCTCCAAACAAAGTGATTTACCCTGCCAGACTGAGGCAGGACTATCTGTAATTAACATAAGACAGAAATCTTCCCAGGGCAATGGATATAAACAGTCCTTCAATGATCTCTCCATCTTTGATTTTCATCAACAATTACACTCAGGAGAGAAGTCTCATACATGTGATGAGTGTGGAAAAAGCTTCTGTTACATCTCAGCCCTTCATATTCATCAGAGAGTTCACATGGGAGAGAAATGCTTTAAGTGTGATGTGTGTGGTAAGGAATTCAGTCAGAGCTCACATCTGCAAACTCATCAGAGAGTACACACTGGAGAGAAACCATTCAAATGTGTTGAATGTGGGAAAGGCTTTAGTCGTAGATCAGCACTTAATGTGCATTGCAAATTGCACACAGGAGAGAAACCTTATAATTGTGAGGAATGTGGGAAGGCCTTCATTCATGATTCCCAGCTTCAAGAACATCAGAGAATCCATACTGGGAAGAAGCCATTTAAATGTGATATATGTGATAAGAGCTTCTGTGGTAGATCAAGACTTAATAGGCATTCCGTGGTTCACACAGGAGAAAAACCTTTCCAATGCGATATGTGTGGTAAGAGCTTTCGTCAGAGATCAGCTCTTAATAGTCATCACATGGTCCACACAGGAGAGAAGCCATACAAATGTGAGGAGTGTGGAAAAGGCTTTATTTGTAGGCGAGATCTTTATACGCATCATATGGTCCACACAGGAGAGAAGCCATATAATTGTAAAGAATGTGGGAAGAGCTTCAGATGGGCCTCATGTCTTTTGAAACATCAGCGGGTCCACAGTGGAGAAAAACCCTTCGAATGTGAAGAATGTGGGAAAGGATTTTACACAAATTCACAACGTTATTCCCATCAGAGATCCCATAGTAGAGAAAAGCCATATAGATGTGAGCAGTGTGGGAAGGGCTACAAAAGGAGGTTGGATCTTGACTTTCACCAGCGCGTCCACACAGGAGAGAAACTGTACAATTGTAAGGAATGTGGGAAGAGCTTTAGTCGGGCCCCTTGTCTTTTGAAACATGAGAGACTCCACAGTGGAGAAAAACCTTTCCAGTGTGAAGAGTGTGGGAAGAGGTTTACTCAAAATTCACATCTTCATTCCCATCAGCGAGTCCACACTGGAGAAAAGCCATACAAATGTGAGAAGTGTGGAAAGGGCTACAATAGTAAGTTTAATCTTGATATGCACCAGAAGGTCCACACAGGAGAGAGACCATATAATTGTAAAGAATGTGGGAAGAGTTTTGGTTGGGCCTCATGTCTTTTGAAACATCAGAGACTGCACAGTGGAGAAAAACCATTCAAATGTGAGGAGTGTGGGAAAAGATTTACTCAGAATTCACAGCTTCATTCTCATCAAAGAGTGCACACCAGAGAAAAGCCATACAAATGTGATGAGTGTGGGAAGGGTTTCAGCTGGTCTTCAACCCGTCTGACCCATCAGAGACGCCACAGCAGAGAAACACCTCTCAAATGTGAGGAGTATGGGAAGAATATTGTACAGAATTCATTCTCTAAAGTCCAAGAAAAAGTTCACAGTGTAGAAAAGCCATACAAAGGTGAGGACTGTGGGAAGGGCTACAACAGGAGCTCGAATCTTGACATGCATCAGAGGGTCCACATGGGAGAGAAAACATGGAAATGTGGGGAGTGCGATCTGTGCTTCAGTCAGGCCTCAAGTCTTCAACTTCATCAGATTGTTCAGGTGAGAGAGAAAACTTAGTGATGTGATGGTGTGATAAAGTCTTCACTCAGTCTTCATGAATGCAATCTTATCTGAAAGTTCACAAAGGGGAGAAACGTTAAAATGTGAGGCAAATAATAAGCAGTTTCCTTTGAGTGCTTTATCTCTGAATACATGCTGGAGATAAATTTCACCCATTCTTGGAAGAGGGAAAACATTTAAGATAACATCATTGCTTCAGCCATAGCTCAGCATACCCCAGTAGTCTCAGGACCACCATAGTGGAGAATCTTTGTAAATGGTGCAATAAAGCTTCATTCAGAAGTTTGATAGTTACAGCTGTCATTCAGGAGACAGGACTTAGAGTAAGAGTTCATGAATTTACCACTCTAATAGTGGACATCTCAAAATTGATGTCCACTAGAATGTAAGCTACCTGTGTCTTTGCTGCTAGATTGTCACAACTGGAACACTGATTAGCACTTTGTATGTGTCCAGTGCTTGTTTGTTAAATCAATGAAAGGAGAAAATATACGTATGGATTTGGATGCAATTTTATGTATCCAAACACGGAAGTCTGGGAAACATAATTCTGGGAAACATGAGTTGAAATGCAGAGTAAACTCAGTACTGCAATCCATAGCATTATTTTGAATATTATTATTTTTTCCTTTTAAATTTTTTTCTTGATCAGAGTTATCATATTCATTAAATATCACTTTGTTGCACTTGGCTCCTGGCTTCCCCACATCCTGTGTTCTGAAATTAGATTATTATTTGTGGCTCTATCAAATGTTCATTGCTTGTATATGGTATAAATTTATCCTTTGTAGCTTTTCTCACAGTATAGACTAAAAAGGTTGGGTTAATTTTACAGTAATAGACCACTGCATATTTTACAATTAAATGCTTTCAACAGTATTAAGATTTATGGTAACACTTTAAAAGTGTCGGATGGACATTGACAAATTTTCTTAGTCAATCCTAGATTGGTCGTATTTGTGATCATGAGGCCTTGGTATGATTACCTTTTAATTGCCGTACAATTTCTTTTTTTTTTTTTAACTTCTCTGGTACAAAATATTCTACATTTGAAGGTCAGCTTTTGTCCACCTTCTTATCCAATATTCTTCTATCAACCCTATGAAACAGGAAGAGAAACTTAATGGAGTTTGGTAGTTTCTTCAAATATATTCATTATTGGAGGCAGGAGTAACAGTTAAATCTTCTATATTGCTGGCAGTAAAAAAATGTCTTTTGGAGAGCAGAACATGTCAATGTATAAGGTGCAACTGTTTGATATGAAAACCATCGGATAGGAAATTATGACTATGACAGACTCCAAAAAGTAGACCACATTGATGATGTCACTGCATTTTAAAATGAAAAGAACAAGTGTTCAAGAACAGGAATTTGTGTGAATTGCATTTATTTTTATAATAACATGAAATCAATGAGACGATCACATAGACATAAAAGGAGAAAAACAATGTGTTTTTTTTAGCCTTCATAACCTAGCCAAATAAATATCTTTGTGTATTTATGTTCTTTTGAGTGTTTACATACATACTCTGTGAGTGAATATTTTTACTGATCTTTGCTGGCAATGAATATTTGCACCATTTTATATTTCCATGAATTTTTAAATTTTTTGTTTTTAATAATTAGGGATACATAAAATTTTGTCTCAGTGAAAATCAGCTTTACCAAAGCAGTAAATTGTGTGCAGTAAAATTTGAAAAAATATTAATGTTAATCACTTACTTATAAAGACTGAATAAGATTGCTCTATATTGTCATGTGATATAAGTTCTAAATTAAGGAATAAGACTGTGGAAGTCATATTTTAAAACAAAAATTAGGCTGGGCGTGGTGGCTCACGCCTGTAATCCCAGCACTTTGGGAGGCTGAGGTGGGTGGATCACGAGGTCAAGAGATCGAGACCATTCTGGTCAACATGGTGAAACCCCATCTCTACTAAAAATACAAAAAATTAGCTGGGCATGGTGGCACACGCCTGTAGTTCCAGCTACTCAGGAGGCTGAGGCAGGAGAATTGCCTGAACCCAGGAGGCGGAGGTTGCGGTGAGCCGAGATGGCGCCATTGCACTCCAGCCTGGGTAACAAGAGCGAAACTCCGTCTCAAAAAAAAAAAAAGAAAGAAAAGAAATTACCTGGGTTTTTGAATACAGATCCATTGATGAGTGTGGTAAACTGCCATGATTAATGCACATGTTGGTTCTTTTTTTTTTTTTTTTTTTTTTTTTTGAGACGGAGTTTTGCTCTTGTTACCCAGGCTGGAGTGCAATGGCGCGATCTCGGCTCACCGCAACCTCCGCCTCCTGGGTTCAGGCAATTCTCCTGCCTCAGCCTCCTGAGTAGCTGGGATTATAGGCACGCGCCACCATGCCCAGCTAATTTTTTGTATTTTTAGTAGAGACGGGGTTTCACCATGTTGACCAGGTTGGTCTCGATCTCTCGACCTTGTGATCCACCCGCCTCGGCCTCCCAAAGTGCTGGGATTACAGGCTTGAGCCACCGCGCCCGGCCTCACATGTTGGTTCTTTAGGCATAAATCATAGAAATTGAAATAAAGTAGGTATACATATGTTGTGGAGGTTAACAAAAAGCACTCTAGAGAATAGATGTGTATGGACAGGGAACGTGGCATGACAATGGCAGAGCTCCAAAGGGTGTGGAACTAGTTAGGACAAAACTCGTTTGAATGCTGTATTAGTCCGTTTTGCACTGCTGTAAAGGAATCCCTGAGACTGGGTAATTTAAAAAGAGGTTTATTTGTTACACTCTTCTGCAGGCTTTACAAGAAGCATGACACTGGCATCTGCTGAGCTTCTCGTAAGGGCCTTGGGAAGCTTTTACTCATGGGAGAAGGTGAAATTGCAGTAGGTATGTAACATGGCAAGAGAGGGAGAGGGGTGCCATGATCTTTTAAACAACCAGCTATTGTGTGAGTTTAAATAGAGTGTGTATTCACTCATTGAACCGTGGTGGGGACACCAGTGTTCATGAAGTATCTGCCTTCATGACCCAGACACCTTCTAATAGGCCCCACCTCCAACACTGGAGGTCATTATTTCAACATGAGATTTGGAGGAGATAAATATTCAAACTATTGTCAGATGCTAATTAATCAGGTACACACCATAGTAATATCTTAAGTGTGTTAAGGGCTTTTTTCAGCAAAGTGTCAGATACATTTGATTTATATAGTTAATTTTGTAAACTATATTTTCTCAGGATGCGAGGTACTTATTAAGATCCATGCTTTCTTGAAAAAGCTATAGATCTTGAAAAAGAAAAAAAAAATCCATGCCTTCTCAATTTGCATAGCAGGTTGGAGGTCTCTAAGAACATCTCTAGGTTCTGTGATTTGCTAAGAGGACTCAGAGTATTAGTTGTATTTATGACTATATTACAGTGATAGAATACAAAGCAGAATCTGTAAAGGGAAAAGGCTCACGGGCAATATCTGAGAAAACCAGGTGCAAATTTGCAAGAGCCCTCTCTGCCTGGCATCCCATAGCAGTCACTCAAGTCCCCCAGCATTGAATTGTGATAGTACTTAAGAAAGGTCTACAATGGAAGCTCTTAGTAATCTGTATCTAAAGTTCTTATTGGGAATGATCATGGTAGGTATCATCTGCCCTAGCATATACCAAAATTCCAGACTCCAAGGAGACCAAATATATGGAATAAATTACCTTGTACAGAGGCTGGGCTCAGTGGCTCACACCTGTAATCCCAGCACTTTGGGAGGCCAAGGCGGGTGGATCACGAGGTCAAGAGATCGAGACCATCCTGGTCAACATGATTAAACCCCGTCTCTACTAAAAATACAAAAAATTAGCTGGGCATGGTGGCGCGTGCCTGTAATCCCAGCTACTCAGGAGGCCGAGGCAGGAGAATTGCCTGAACCCAGGAGGCGGAGGTTGCGGTGAGCCGAGATCGTGCCATTGCACTCCAGCCTGGGCAACAAGAGCGAAACTCCGTCTCAAAAAAAAAAAAAAAAAAATTACCTTGTACAATTTAGGCATGGCGAACCACTCTTAACAGTTATGGATGGTGGCAACCTTCTCAAAGTCCATATTTCCTAACACCAGCCACTGGCCAGTCGTACATACAGTCCTTTCTAAGGTTAACAATCTCAGGCTTGCTATGTTAAGTTTCTGTGCACATGGTACCAGAAAACTAGGACCTGTTGTTTTACTTTTGTTTTTTATGCATCACCAGATACCAGAATAGTTCATGTCCAAAACAGTTTTTTTGGTAACAGAAAACATTGAGCAAAAAATTCATGTTTATTATCACTAAAAAGACATCAGATAGGTCTTATATCTACCCTTCTGTGTGCCTGGTTTATGAAAGTTGGTGTATGGATCATGTATCCTATGATCATGCTGAATTCACCTGTTGTCTGGGAGTTCATAAATTGGAAGACATCACATCGTAAAGATGACAATACTGTCCAAAGCAATGTACAGTTTTAGTGAAATCCCTGTCAAAATCCCAACACTCTTTTTGTAGAAAAAAGCCAGTACTCCTAATTCATATATGATTGCACTGGCCCCAAACAGACAAAAAAATCTTGAAAATGACGAACATAAAAGATGATTCACACTTCCCAATTTAAAAATTTATTACCAAGTTGTAGTAATTAAAGCCATGCGGTACAAGCCTAAGAAAAGATACACGGACTAATGGAATATCATTGTCGGTCCATAAAGAAACTCATATATCTAAGGTCACTTGATTTTCAAGAAGGATCCAATATTACTTAATGGAGAAAGAACAGTCTTTAGCAAAGAGTGCTGGAACAACTGTATATACATATGCAACACAATGAAGTTAGATCCCCACCTCACACTATACTTAAAAATTAAACTGCCGGGCACGGCTCAAGCCTGTAATCCCAGCACTTTGGGAGGTCAAGGCAGGTGGATCATGAGGTCAAGAGATCGAGACCATCCTGGTCAACATGGTGAAACCCCGTCTCTACTAAAAATACAAAAAATTAGCTGGGCATGGTGGTGCATGCCTGTAATCCCAGCTACTCAGGAGGCTGAGGCAGGAGAATTGCCTGAACCCAGGAGGCAGAGGTTGCGGTGAGCTGAGATCACGCCATTGCACTCCAGCCTGGGTAACAAGAGCGAAACTCTGACTCAAAAAAAAAAAAAAAAAAAAAAAAAAAAAAAAAAAAAATTAAATGGATAAATAACCTAAATGTGAGAACTTAAGCTACAGAATTCTTAGAAGAAAACAGGGGTTAATCTTCAAGACTTTACTTGGAATGGATTCTTAGGTAAGACAACATAAGCACAAGCTAAAAAAGAAAAAAGTTACATAAATTGGACTACAGTTTAAAAAGTACATATAAATGGACATTGTTGAGAACATGAAAATACCACAAAGTATGGGTTCTAGTATCCAGAATATATAAAGAACGCTTCCAAGTCAATAACAAATAGAGAAAGCAACCAATTTATAAATTTAGAAACAGATGTTTCAGATACACAAGTGACTAACAATCATGTGAAAAGATGCTCATCATTAGCCATTAGGAAAATGCAAATCAAAGAATTAGATGCCACTTTGCAATCACTGTGCTAACAATCATTTTTTAAAATAGAAAATAATATCGAATAGTGTGTAGAGAAATTACAACCCATACACGTTGAAGATGGGAACATAAAATGGGGTAGTTGATATGGAAAATTGTTTCATAATTGCCCCCCAAAAATCAATGTACAACTAACATATGAATCACTAGTTTCCTATCTAGTTATGTACCCAAAAGAACTGAAAACTGGCCATGCAGTGGCTCAGGCCTGTAGTCCCAGAACTTTGGGAGCCTGAGGCGGGCAGATCACAAGTTCAGGAGTTCAAGACCAGCCTAGCCAACAAAGTGAAACCCTGTCTCTACTAAAAATTCAAAAATTAGCCAGGTGTGGCACCTGCCTGTAGTTCCAGCTACTTGGGAGGTTGAGGCAAGAGAATTGCTTGAACCTGGGAGGCGGAGGTTGCAGGGAGCTGAGACCACGCCACTGCCCTCCAGCCATGGCGACAGAGCAAGACTCTATCTCAAAAAAGAACTGAAAGCTGGTAGTGAAACAAATACATGTACACGAACATTTGTAGCAAGACTGTTCACTACAGCCAAAAGGTGAAAAGAAGGCAAATTCCGATCAATGCATGAATGGAGAAACAAAGTGTACTATAAACATGAAATATTATTCATCTATGAAAAGGAATGAAGTACTGATACATGGTATGATGTCAATAACATTAAAAATATTATGCTAAGCAAAGGGAGTTAGAAACAAAAGGTTCCATTCATTTTTATGATTTGTCCAAAATAGGTAATAGAAAAGAGAAAGATTAATATTTGCCCAGGATTGGGATTATGGACAATGGTAGTGATTGCTTCGTGGGCATGGGCTTTTCTTTGGGTGAGAAAAGGGTTTTTAATTCAAGAGGTGGTGGTTTCACAATGAAGCAGCTACACTGCCTGGGGTTTGAACCCGG